TTAACCATCGAAAAAAAGAGATCGAAAAACGACATTGATTGAGATTGTGTGCGTTAAAAACCTTACTAACCAATTACTGATTTTTTTTTTATTTAAAAAAAATTATTATTACTTTCTTTTTTTTTATTATTTTGTTAGATTGTTGCAGCAGGCCGCTCATCGACAGTTGGCGGGCATTTATGAAACTAAACATTTTTGAAACTTAATCCCTTAATTACGCGGCCTTGCCTGTCTTCGCAGCTGACTATTTCACCAACTATTTAGTTGTATTTTTACATTTTTCAAGATCTTATTATGTACGCAAACACGCAAATTATATTTTCAATAACATACTAATCAATTGTGCTAGTCATTTAATTTAGGTCTTTCTTTAAATTAAAGGTTCGTTTTTAAATGATTTTATTTTATAATCGTCGTTGAACAGCCGATCCAATTTTTGAGTTTACGACTGTTATTTTTCAACTCCATAGTCTTAGAATTTTGAAACCAATCCAGAAGAAAAGGGAAAACTTAGATCAAGTATAGGACGACATTTTGCCTTCGTGGAGGACATTTTGGTGGAACTAACCTGCATTTGCGTTACATGGGAGGAAAACCTCCCTCGATTAGCCCGACGGCAAAGGGACTCCAACCCATGATCAATCTACCACTGAAGATATTTCACGTCAGCACTGTGGTCAATTCATGCAAATTTAGAGATTTTACTCTCGCTTTTGGACTCTCCACCTACGCTATAGCACTGAACTTCTTATATTGTTAATTAACGGGAAGGAAGTTCTTTAAGCTATATATTCCTGGAAGCAACGTGTGAGTCGTGGTGAGGTTGTTAGCGCCATGGGTAAAGAAGATTGTGGACTCGGTGGTCATGGGTTCGGACCTGGTCGCGGGTTAATTTTTAATTTTTTTTCTATTTACTTCATTTGATTTTTTAAAATTTATTTTTCGATATTTCAACGTGAACAAAGTGTGATATATACAAAAATAATTATTTTTCTTTGGAAATGAGGGAATAATAGCTGAAAAACGGATAAATTTCGACTCCAGAGCTGCGCACATGACTCACTCCGTAACTCTTACGTAACTCCCTTTAATATTAACTTATGAAAATCTTATGACAGGGTAGATTTTAACTGAGCATACGAGAACGCTGCAAACGGAAACCTTATAATTATGTAGATTTAAGATGATTTTCATCTTAGAACTAGCTTTATTCAAGGTTTTTTTTTTCCCGCTTGAAAACCCTAAGACTACCTCGTTTTAAGGTTGTTATGTTGAAGGTTGTTTTCCAAGGTTTTGGATTAGGGTAATGTGCGTAGAATAGAGCAGATTGTCTATAGATCTCGTTTTAAGGTTAGAAGGTTTACACGTAAACCGTGTAAAAAACCCTTTTTAGGTGGTTTGCATGAAAAGATTTTTGTTGTGTTGAAAAAACCTTATATTGCTATCTGGGTGTTAATGTGTCAGAGAGTAAAAAATAAAAGCGATAGAAATATAACTGGGGGCTTTTAAAATACATCATTCATAACTAACCAATCATATTAATAGTTTCTCTTTCGATTATTATTCCATCTGTTTTTATCAGACAAAATATAGAAGGAGCTTTTGCCATTTCCAAATAAAGGCACTTTAAATGAAGTTCTCAAATTAAATAATTGCGTTATTTTTTTAAAATAATTGAAAAAAAAAAAGTTTTTTTGTAAATATAGTTATGTTTAATTAAATCGTTGTGGTACTCCTACTAAAGTACGAGAATTTACGCTGTGCGGCTTCTAAGTATTAGGAAAGACGGCGCATTGTTTCTATGTTTAGAGAGGCACTGCTCTATACTGATATTATATCATAATATAATATTTTAACATGCATTGAATAGATTCCGACCCATTTCAGAATTGTAATTTTGATCCCAACCCAGAAAACAAGAGAATTTCTAGATCAAACATTGGGACAAACTACCCTTCATGGAGGACTTTTTGATGAGACCAACCCGCATTTGCGTTACACGAAGAGGAAAACCTCCCTCAGTTATTTCGACGGCGATGGGATTCTTACCCATTATCCGTCATCACTGAAGATATTTCAAGTTAGCACTGAGGTCAATTTGAGCCGGGAAGAGAATTCGTACCAACCAGCCACTGGTGGGATTCGAACCAGGGGCACCACATAGGGAAGCGAACGCTCTATCCCCTGAGTAATTCTGATTCTTTTTATTCTGATAAAGTAGATACTGAACAAAAACTGCAGGTAAAATTGTGGTATTCTTCTATACAAATAAAAGTTTAAAATGTTAAGACCGCCCTTTTTATGTATTGTTAGAATCAAAAAGTATGTACTTGCTGGATCGCAAATTAATATTTAATTGAAAAAAAATGAAAACATAATCAGAATCTGACCAATTACGGAAGAGGAATATAGCAAACATTTGGTGAACGGAAACACTATAAATAACTCTTGGAGCAAAATTACGATCTGTGGATGAATTAATGCATGTATGAATGGGTTCATTCTGTAAACGGGTGTGACGTATGGGTGTGTCAGAAGTCGAATTCTTGGCCATTGATGGCTGCACTGGAAAACAAGAATACTCGCACCCCCTTGCCTTAATGGCCGACAACAACATAACCATACGGGTGTGACGTATGGGTGTGTCAGAAGTCGAATTCTTGGTCATTGATGGCTGCACTGGAAAACAAGAATAATCACACCCACTTGCCTTAATGGCCGACAACAACATAACCATACGGGTGTGACGTATGGGTGTGTCAGAAGTCGAATTCTTGGCCATTGATGGCTGCACTGGAAGACAAGAATAATCACACACCCTTGCCTTAATGGCCAACAACAACATAACTTTTTGGGTAGTTCAACATTAAATTCGAATTTAGTTATTGAGTTATGCCGCCACAGTTTTTACAGTGTATATATTTTTAGTTCACTCCGAATTAGAGCCTCTATTATTGCCCTCCATTTTACTTAATTTGAGACTATATGTTTTACCTTCTTCCATGTCTTGCCGATTGCTTTTAACTCATTGGTAACCATCCTTAGCCTTTTAGTCCTTCCTCTTTGTCTGTTGCCTTGAGGGCTCTAATCAAAAACTTATTTTACTGTAAACTTCACGGGTTGACCGAGAACATGATCAATCGCTTGGCAGTTCTAGAATTTTTGCGTTAATTTTCTGCAACCGCTGTTGATTAGTGATTGAAGTTTTTCATGTTTCTTTTATTGCTGTGCTAGATTTCCGATCCACAAAGAAGATTACATATTAGTATACGAAAAATATATATTGAGGGTGATATTCAAGGAACATCCTCCTTTGTACTGAACAGGATAATCTATAGTTGAAAAATATCTTCTTTTTCTATGGTTTGATTTTTTTCACAAAAATAATTTTTCTGTTATATATCAATGTCTGTAGATCTGTTTAAGTTTGTCTTCTTCTTCTTATTATTATTATTATTTTAATCATTCAAGTAAAAACTCATTTTTTAAAATTTTTTTTTTAAGAATTTTTTTGCACCGTAGGATTTATTTTGAACTAGTTTCTCAAGAAAAAATTGGCCTTATATTTTTCGAAAATATCTATGTGTGCCCTAAAAGTATTTAAAGAAAAGTGAGAAATTAGAAACTAACTAAACAATAATAGTAATTTTTTTCAAAAAAAGCATAATTGAGATAAGAGATTTTTCTGCTATGTTGCATCCTTTTCTAATGCTATGTAATAAAAGTTTCTTTGAATATAAAGAAATGAAGCACTTTCTTGTCATATTTGGCCAGTTTTGTTAATATGATCTAATTTAGTAGTGTAAGAATAATTTAAATTTTATTATAAATTTTTATTGTGCGTAAAAAATTACAAATTCAGAAGATAGAAAATTTTTAAAATTTAAAGAAATTTGAAAATTTTAAATTTTAGGGAAAATATGCAATGACGGTCACGTTATACTTTGACCGACTTATAGTTTCTCTATAGTTTAGTAACTTTGTTGATGATAACTACGTGAGCAAAGGTTACAAGAGGCCCAGTTAAAGCCACAAGGTTACACAAAATAAAAATACATACACGAAAAAACTCTCTATGTAAATGAAGTCTAACTATGCGTTTTTTTATTGTTTATTTTTATACTTAACTTTTTTTTCCAGCTCTTACTAGAATATGGTTGTTTCAAATGAAAAGAAACAAAATTTGAAAAATGTTTTGATCGCTAATAGTAACATTTGAAAAAAATTGCATAAAAATTATTTCGCATTACAATCCTAAAAAAGAAGGCTGTATAATTATATTATAAATTAAAATTACAGGACCACACAGCTAATTTCGTGAAACTAAACATGATTAAACATTTTGTATGAGAGCATTTAAAGAGGATTCAAAAAGCTGTTGAGATAGTTGTTGTTGTAGTTCATTTGCGACGCACTAGAGCTACATAATGGGCTAATGGCGACGGTGTGGGATACATCCTTAAGGATGATCCGAAGACATGCTATCACACCTCGGGNGTTTTGTTTGACACTTAAAAACTTCCATTTATTAGCCATGCAACCATAGGTTACAATGAATGCTTTGCATAATCCAAGATGGCCGACAGTTACTTCAGTTTCTACTCATAGGAGGGTGGGAAATGCCATCTCTACTTATACTCTTAACTCTATGTAACGATCAGTCCACTGCGGGACCCATCGTGAATCACATTCAGAGAGTATTTTTCTTAATGACGCATTTTCACTGCATGTGGTTCACGCACTTTCGATCACCGTCAAAAGAAAATGAGAACATTGGTCAAAATTACCTTCCCTCGAAAAACTCACAATTAAGACCTCCATTTTTCTCGATGGTGATTGGAAATAAATCGTTAATTGTGTTCCCTAAAATGAACTGCTCGCGCGAACGCGAGGTGCATTTAAGTTCGATTGCACATGCAAATCATATGCAGTGAGAATTCTCCATGAAGTGACTCTTGAAAATTTAACGTTGCCATCAATTTTGTATAATTTTATGGACCTTGATCTGAACAGAAATAGGTAGTCAAAAACGCTTATCATTACTCGGCATCTTATAAAACTTTAATGCTGACTGTTTCAAACAATAAAACTGCTAAACTTAGAGATAAAGCATAAAAAAATTAAATACCCTTATTATTTTTACTCTCAAGATCTAATGCGTGGGGCATAGTTTTTATATTGAGCTGGCAGGAAGTTAAACATTTTTCTTATTTGTTGAACATGTATTTAGTTGTTTGTTTCATTGTTGTGACTTTTTGTTACACATCAACAATATCTGCTACTGTTGAAGTTTTACGACCTAGAGGAGTAGCTTTGTCAAGTAAGTTAGCAAAAATAGTTTTGGTCATGCTATCTTGTTTTAATGCTATATCGTGCTTAAAATTTAGCCGGGTTGCTGTCGTAATGAGATAATTATATTGTTAGTGCCGAATCAATAAAGTTAGTAGGGTGACCTGGGGTAATTCCTGATCAAAAAATGCAAACATCTATTTTGGGAAAAAACCATTCAAGATAGAATTTTAATATTTACTGGAAGTTTGAGGCTATATGAGATGAGTCCTATGCCACCTTCTTTTGTTTGAAAATCTGATTAGAATTTAAAAGATTTGACATTTTTAGTGATCGGGAATTACCCCTGGTCTTGATCATTTCTGGGGTAATTACTGATCACCAGTTTTTATTGTCAAGGGGCTGTTTAAAAATAATTATATGATGGTAATTAACAAGTAAGACATCAAGATCAAGCAAATGAACCAAAAAGATATGTTTAAGCAGCTAATGAAACGATTTATTAGAAAGCAAGAAGAAAGATTAGAACTTCAAATTTTCCAAAAATCTTTGCATCGTGCTATACATTTCAGGCAATCAGCCAACTCATTCTCATGTTCTGCTGAAATATGAGAGAGTTCCCACATAGGTTACTTTTGCTGGATTTTTTAACTTCATTGACGGAAAGTGTAAAGCTAAGTAAGGTATGTCAACAGCTCTGACAGCAGCTCTTGCTCTGAAATTTTCATTTTCAATCATTAAAAATAATTCACTAATTTTGCTTTCTAGAAGCTTAGTATCCTTTTTAGGCTTATAATTTCTCACCATATTTATACTAGGCTAATTTATAAACTTAAAAATTATTCTAACAATGTACACATATAAAATTAAGATAGACGCAAGGTAAGACAAACCAGAAATGATGCAAATGAGAATATAGTCTTGTATGCAGTTAAAAACAAATTTTGTGATGACAGTTAAAATATATTTGAGAGTTGTTCCACTTAATAAATATGAACTGTTATTTAAGAAAAGACAATTAACTATTTATTAGCTATTTTATATACTATTTATGAGAAGAAATGACAATGATCAGGAATTTTCCCCAGTGATCAATAATTACCCCATCTGTAGGGGGCAACATTTGATATAGTTCCTTATAATCAATTATAATGTTTACAGTAGATGTGAAACAATTAAACAAAAGCTTACACTACTTTTATATCAAAGAAAAAGAAAGTAACTCTAAATATTTATTATTAAGAGAAGGAGGGGGATCTTTGCAGAAATATGCACATTTTGAAACCCTTCTTTGAAATGGAAAATACAGAAAGCAGTTTAAAAGATACTTATTGTGTTAGATTAAACAAAAAACTATTATTAATTAAATGTAGTTATACTTTAGTAAAGTGTATAAGCATTCTTGTCCATGTCTCAAATTAAAAAAAAAATTTTTTTTTAAAATAAAACTTGGGTGATCATTATTTACCCCAGAAACAGAGTGATCGTGAATTACCCCGGGTCACCCTATCTCAAAAGATGATAGTTAAAATAAAAACAAGGTTTTTAAGCTACTAACTTGAGTTGATTTTTTATTATAACTGAATTATTTAGAATAGGGAAACAGTTCACAATTTCTTTGATTATTGCTTTAAAATTTTAGTAGCCCTTTACTGATAAAAAAAAAACCTGATGAAAATATAATGTGTAGGGTGATTCTTTAAGTGTCGTTCATAATACACTTTGCTTAAATTAATGAATCACTTTAACTTAAATATGATTTTAACAACAGCTAGTGGGGAAAAGGTTTTATAACAGTAATAATCTGGTTAATGCAGTTAAGAGTTTCTAGGGATGCTACCCTAATGGCTACAACTGCCAATTTGCCATAAAGATTTTAATCTTGCAAAAGTTTTAAAAAAAATTCAATTTGCCCTGGAGTGGTTATGAGTTACACCCTCCTTCAAATAGCTTCCCTTCATGGCTGGGTTAGCAAGTTTTTGACGCATAATAGTTTTTACCCCCATGTCAAAAACTTAAATTTTTGGTGGCTTAGTATTTTCATATTATTTCAATAAGTTGAAATAAAAAGTGAATATTAAAACATTAATTTAATAAAAAATTATAAAAGATATTTGACAAAAAATGACTTAAGATTGTTGATAAAATATTGTATCTTTATAGCTAGGCTATGAAAAGTGCACAAATGTAATCACTTGATTTTTACATGCCTTCTATATAATGACCCAGATTATTAAAAATGCCGTATTGCTTATGCAGTTTTGGTTTGAATTACGATTAAAAAATTTAATTAAAACCAAATTAGTAGAGCTTCTTAAATTAGTTTATATTTTTAGTTAAAAATTGTGTAAAATTATATCAAGTTTATATGCAGCTAGTCTAGTAAAAGTATAGGATAGAAGCTGAACGGATATCAATAGCAATTCAGAATGTTCGTGGTTCTTTAAACCATATTTTTAAAATTTCATTCGTGCAAAATTTTGATTTTTACTTTTGTCACTTATCAAAACATATGTATCACAACTCTTAATATTTTTTTTAATGTAATATATTAAAATAATTGTATAAATTATATTAATACTAATAACAAAATTAATTGTTAATTATGAAAAAAAATTTGTTATGAAATTTATTTCTTACTGTACGATAACATAAGAAAAATGTAAATGTTTGATAGTTTTTACCAGTAAAACACATGGTTTTTACCTTTATGAGTCAAAAACAGGTTTTTGACATTAAAATAAAAACCTTGCTTCTGGGATGTTTTTTCTTTTCTGTTTCTTACAGGCCCGTGCCTGAAAGTCGCCAAATCTTAGTGTTTATTTTGGTAGAGCTTTGGATTTAGAAATCTTCTTCAGCTTTTAATAATGAAAGTATTTTATAATAAGTAAATTCCATATGTAACAGACTAAATATTAAACAACTTTTGTTACTACACACATACATACTTTACTGTATAGTATAGTAACTTATACTCCTGTCAGGTAATGATAATGAAAAGAATTTGTTTTACATGAATAACATTTTAATTAAAATAAATAAATTCGCTATGACAAAAATAGACATGAATTTATTGTGACTGTGCAATATGACCTGATAGGGGACACCTGCTTCCGGGCGTAGTTTTAGAAGAGGTTGAATTCCAAGCTTAGCAGAGGGGAAATCACACTAGTATTTTATTCTAAAAAATATATTGAAGACAAAACTTCTACTAGAATATGCTACTTTAGGGTGCAATGTTTAATTAATTAGCATAAAATAATAAAAGAGCCTCATAATTAAATTGCAAGTTAATTAAAAGTACCTACTTGTAACAGTGGGGACAAATAAAATCCCACATTTTTGGCAAGCACTGTTATTTATGTTAAATTCTGTGGTCTGGACCATCCGAAACGTCGAAAAAATTTTTTTTTTTAAATTATCACATTTCAAGGTAAAATAAATTAGTTTAAGACTTTAAAAATTGCGAGCACATTTTTTTAAGTCTAAATAATGCATAGTAACAGAGAGGACATGGAATGTAGCAGAGAGGGCATCTTACAAATTTGACAAAAAGTTAAAGGGAAATATCACTGGTAAAAGTGGCTCTTTGGTTATTTAAAGTTGAAGTTGGTAGCACTGCTATAATTGAAACCTGTGCTACATCTTTGTAGATATATTTGAAAGTTTTTATTTTACCAGACCCTGTTTAAAAAAAATAAGTGCATTGTTTGTTTCTTTCTCAGTTTCAGTTATTTGGGCAACAAAAATAAATACCCAATTTTTTCCTAGAACTTTTTGCACTTGCAAATCTATAGATTGCAACTTCAAAAGAATCCTAGTGTTTTAAATGATGACTGATGTACATTAAATATGTCGAGTCACAAAGTCTTCCAAGTTTCCAAAACAAATCAACACCTCTGGGGGTATTGATCGAGAGTTCTCTTGTTTTTTGAATTAGGTTAAAAATTATAAGACTGCAGAGTTAAACACTCACAGCCGCAAACTCAAATTTGGGTTGGCTGTTCAACGACGGTTATAATATAAAAAGTTGATTGTCGCAAGTCGCGATATTTAGTAATTCTATGTAATTATTAGGCAAACGACTGATTTTTAATAGTAAATTCACATTTTCGTGAATAGCACATACACATTTTATATAGTGTTTTACCTACGCATAAAATATAGATAGATCTTAGAACAGCAAACTTAGATTTGCCAATTTTTATGTTTGAATGCATCTGCTTTGATACTTGATATGCTTCCATCAAGGTGCAGATTTGACTTGTGGACTTTCTGTCTATTTTCTGTGACTATCATGTGCAATCAACTCTACCAGAAGTCTGGTAAGAAAGTTTATCAGATGAGTAGAAAATTATTACAAGTTCTTTTGTTTCATCAGAAACTTTGTTACTAGGCTATTTCTTTTGTTTTGGTAGTAAGATTACAGAGTATGCGCAGAACAGTACAACATTTTCTTGGAGATATTGGGTAATGCACGGTTGGCTTTTTTAATAGCTTTCCCTAAATACCTAAGGAATATGTATTATATAGAGAAAGTGCTTTTTTATTACATCAGTGCCTTTTTATTTTTCCTTTTTTTTCTAACTTTTTTGTTTGTAATATCTTTTTTATTTATTTGTAGTAATAATTGTATATTTGATTGCAACATTGTTTTTATTAGAAAATAGTCAAATTTTTTTTCTGGATATGTTTAATGTATTTTTAATTTTGTTAGCAGTGCTTCTTATTTATGTATTCATTTTTTTAAATAGAAAAATTGTTCTACAATCCTGATCAAGACTTTAGGTGCATAGATGGATCAAATAGCATTCCATTTCAGTTTGTAAATGATGATTATTGTGATTGTGAAGATGGATCCGATGAGCCTGGTAAGTTATTATTGAGAATCAATTTTGTAAAGTTGACAGAAATTGTTTATTACAGGAAATAATTAACATATTAATCTTCCATATTATATGGAAATGACTATAATGTTTTCATGACTATACAGAAAAATATAATATTCTCAGAGTAAGAATGTTTTAAGAATTTATTGTTTAATATATTTCCAAACTATTTTAAACTAATCAGGGTTGACTGTTTAATGTCAAAAACTGATTTTTGACATGAATACTAGTTTTTATCGTGTTTCTAGTTTTCACCAGTTTCCATTATTCAGTTAATATATTTTTATTGTTATTATTTTTAACATACATGCTCTTTTATTCAAGAATTGTGAAGAAAAAAAAGAGTTTATTTAATGTCAAAATAATTCATCATGATTGATCACTTGTGTATATGTATGTTAATAAGTACTTCATGTTTATGCTTGTAATATCTAATAATTATCCTTACACCAAAATTTTTGATTTTAGACAATTGCCAAAATCAAGACCAAAAAGGATTTTTTGACAGAAAAAAAAGTTTTTTCATTAATTTTTATTTCAGTTATTCATTAAATAAAACTATTGAAAAATATTAATTTTAGGATATTTTTTTTAGTCATTACTGAAAATTTCGATTGGAGTTTGTATTCTCTTTTGGAGAGTAACTATACTCATAAATAACTACGTTTATAAATAGTATTAGATAATGTATTACATACATAATTTGATGTACACAGGGATATCAAAAGTTTTAACTAAGATAAGTTCACGAATCTTAATTATACTTGGAAACTGTTTTATTAAACAAAATTCAATTTTTAAAATGTTTAAAGTTAGCATGAAAGGGGAAAAATTGTTTTTCTTAGAAATGTTTTACTTATAAGTAACATACATATTCAGTTTTCATTTGGTCAGTTCTGTGACTGGGAGCTTTTAGAGTCTGTTACGTATTTTAAAAAGTTTATCTTTTAATGACTGTTAATCATTTAAGTTTATTTCTCAATAATTTAATTTTTTAATGTTATTATGCTTTATTTAATATAAATTATTTTACCTACTTAGGTTCAACTATTATTTCTGATGTTAACAATAAGATTATTTTACTAAAATACTTTTTTGAGAGCTATCAACCCTTAACCAAATATTTAGATAATTTTGAAAATTATATATATTTATTTGCTTATCTTTTTTTCATTGTTAAAATTTATATATGTTTCTTTTAGTTTTTTATTACTCATATTTCTTTTGTCTTGATTTGTTAACAAAAAATTCTTCTCATTACTGTTTTTTATTGTTTACCACTAATAAATTTGTGTAACAAACTGTGTCTTTCTTATTGTTCAAAAGTTTTTGAATGTTTTGTTTTATAGGTACACCAGCGTGTTCTAATGCCCTCTTCCATTGTATTAATTCAGGGCATATTTCTTCAGATATACCATCATCAAGAGTAAATGATAACATTTGTGGTAAGTAATTCATAAATTACTGTGAAACAAGAGCTGTTAGTGTTTTGATGTTAAAATATCCTTTTTTAATGTATAGTGTGTTTTATATTTAATTTTAATGTATACATTGAATGCAATACTCTCAAATAACTGAGAATTAAAATGTTTTTAATTATCTCTAGTTTAATATAAATTAAATCTTCTTAAAAGCAGTAATTTTAAAAAAAGTTTTTTTGTTGTTATAATTATCACTTTCCACTTTCAAAAAACATGTGTGATGATGTGACACTTCAAGATTTTCAGATATAAAGTTATTACAAATGTAATTTTTTAATTGGTAGAAATAAAATCCAAATTGTATTATAGCTTTTTATCTCTATTGTTAAATAGGATATAAACATACTTTTCTGGGGGAAAAAGTTCAATATAATCTAGTATTTTGTTGTAAACATGGAACAAATTATATTGTTTCTAATCTAACAATTAATATAGTCAATTTTCTTGACAATATATATTTATATATATTTAAATGCACATAGTAATTTTCTATGTTATAATCAAAAAAAGTTGTGAGGAAAAATATTTAATTATTTTGAAAACTTAAAATTAAATTTATGAAAAGAAATATCCTTTTCTTTATTAATTTTTGTTAAATTAAGAGATTTTTTGTTTTTAAAAATCTAAAATTTTTCTTTATATCTTTCCTATCACATTTTGTTTGTCATGCGTAAATTCATATTTTGGCATTTAATCTTTATATTTTTATTTAGTCTTTAACTTTTAATCTTATAGTTAAATTTGTATGAAACTTCTTAGTTGAAAAACATGGCGTTTCGATTGAATTGTTGCCGTCAATTTAACTAAATTTTAATTAAAAATGAATTAAGTGAAAAGATATGTGCATTGATGAACAAATAAATGCATTTGATACAAGTTGAAATATGTTACTCCACTTCTAGATGTCATATTCCATACTTAATATCTATCAAAAATTAGCATTATCACTTGCTATTTTATTAAAAACATAATGTTTAAAATATATAAAAAAATATCACTTTTTACTTCAGAACAATTTTTCAAGGCGTAGGAGTTTTTGAATAATTTTATTGAATTATCAATTTATTTTCTTTGTTACAGCGAAGTATAATTCTCGCAAAACTCATTATTTAGATTTTTCCTACTATTACAACTTTGCGTAAGAAACCTGCTATTTTGAAGAAATGTGAACTGTATGTAATCAAAATTATATTTAATATTACTGTTATAATTCATAAGAAAAGTGAAACTTTGATCGGATTTTCCTAATTTATTCCATTTCTTTCGGTTCTAAAACTCTTTCATTCCCTAAAGCTTTTATATAAACATAAAATAGACATGTGAATAGAAAAATGATTTATGCAACTCTGCATACTTTTTCTTTAGTTAAAAAGTATGTTTTCTAAATTATAAATATTTAAAAATCATTAAAAACAAACATAAATCATGTAAAAATAACTTAAGTGAAATTAACTGCAAATATTTAGAATAAGAAAAAAATTTTATAAATTTTTTTCGTTAGATTTGGGGAAAAAGTTAAAAAAAAAAAAAAAATGGTCTTCCTTTTATTAGCATGCTTAAATTTATTAACTTACTCTAAATCTTGTTGCATTTATGTTTGTCAGATCTAATGTTTTTTTTGTTTTTTTTTTGTGATACAATTAGACTGCTGTGATGGGAGTGATGAATTCAATAGTACAGCAGACTGTATAAACATTTGTATGTAAGTACTTCTTCATCATTACTTCTCAGAAGAATTGATAATATTCACATATATACACTTGTCTGTCTTAAACTCTAGCTTATTTCTTTTATTTTTCTCTAGCTTAGTAATGAATTGATCTTAAAAGTTCTGTTACAAACTGATGGGATTTAAATCTTTCAAAAGTTGTTAACTGGCTTATAAAAATTTTGACTTTGTGTGATTTTCAATTAATTTCTCAGCAGCGTGATTCAGGATTTAGGTCAGGAACATGGTAACAATCAGGGTTCCCACGGGTCAGGGAGAACAGGGAAAACCTGGAATTGTCAGGGAAGGATTTAATTTTTTTACAAAAACTTGGAATATTCCTATATCATACCTGGAAAATAACCAGTCTTAAAATTGTCAGTAACTGTAATCAGTTATTGTGATTAAAGTTAAATAATTAATCTATTACAATTCTTTGTAAATCTATTACAATTATTTGTTGTTAGAGGTTCTCATTTTAGTCAAACAGAAATGTTCCTTTCCTCATTTAATATTATTTTACACAGAAAATCTAATATTTCACATTACGAATAAGACTCAAAGTTTCCTGATGAAAATATGATCTAAATTTTTATTGAAATTTACCTTGCATACCTGAAGTCAAGGATTTTTTTTTTTCTGAAATTGAGTGGGAACCCTGAACAAGCAAGAATTGAGTAAGAATATATAGTCTGGAACAATTTCTGTTTGTGAAGAGGGCTCTAGATATGTTAAAAACTGGCCAGGCTGAAGTGACGAAAAGTGTATTTTGGGTGTATCTGTTTCAGCAGTTGAACACCTACTTTCGAACATTCTTTTTGCCAAAAATGTCTATTGTGTTTTATTTCTTTAATAAATTATTATTGGTAACCTGTCTCATATCTTTCAGTTTCTTACTTTATAGACGTGTTGCATATCTATATTTCATTTGCAACCAAATGTACCTATATTCTTGTTTGTTGTCATATTAATAGCCTGCATGTTGATTTCCGAACTAAAATTCTGAATCACCCTGTACATAAAATTGCGTGCAAATTATATAATCAATTATGTTTAAAGCTTAAGTATAAATATGACTCTTTTTAAAAACAAAAAAGGGATTGAGGCGTAACGAAATCTAAAATTTTCTAAGAGATACAAATTTCAGTAATTGTTTTTGCTATCTTTATTCCTTTGTATTTAAACAGATGGCATGTATCTGAACAGACACTAAATATTTAAGAAACTTCCTATCCGCACTTTGCCTATAGTATATTAGATAGCAATCATGGTGTTGTTTGAACTTGAAATTTTGTGGTTTAAAGTTTATGTTTTTATGATTTCAAGTGAATCTTTTCACCTGAACTTTTAGTGAAATGATTAGCATAAAATTCCATAAAACCACTACTTTCCACAAAAACAAAATGTTTTTTCTTTCTTTTAAAAATTCAGTGTGAAATGTTAAGCATTTAAAGCTATAGAGAGAAGACTCTATAAAAGGATTTTTTATCTTAATAGCAAACCCCATTGATATTTTTTTTTGCATTACTTCATATAAGGTCTAAAATACATTTAAATATATTTGAAGATGAAAAACAACTAACAGTTGCAATTGAAAAAGATCTAGTACTAAATATTTAATCTTAAAAAGAGAAATGAAACAATGGAATTATACATTGTTGGCAATATATATATTTCAAATATTATTAGATTTGTTTTAAAACATCACATTTTCATAATATTACTATGAGAACTGCTTTGAGTTTTCTTAGTATTACTATGAGAACTGCTTATTATTAGTTATGTTACATTATACCTTTTACTTGATAGGAAGTGGAACATGTTTTCTATTTTTTTTTTTTTTTTTGATGTTAAAAACCCTTTATTAGTGCCCAGTTTATCAATACTTTTAGTATTGAGTCTTTTCATTATTATCATTATTTTATATTTTATAATATTAAAATATATTATCTTAAAAGGTAAAAATTAGTATTTTTATAGATGCATATTTCTATTACTTATAACATACTTTTGACGAGACAAGCTTTTCCACCTAATTACCTATTTTTACTGAATACTAATTGAAATTTTTTTCCAGTGAACTTGGACGACAAGCAAAGGAGGAACAACTCAAGCAAAGGGAACTTTTTGAGCAAGGTTTTGCTCTTTGGCAACAGTATAGTGCTCAAGGAAAGCAATTAAAAGAAAATAATAAAGTAAGTTAAAAAGTGTTCTGTATATATTTTATTAAACACTATTCATTTTAAATTCTAGTTGGTAAAAGCATCATGTAACAGGGGTTGTCAAATTTCATTTTCAGAAATATTGATGTTTAATGTCAAAAAATAATTTAGTGAACATTTCTACTTATTGTTATTTTAAATTGATATCTTATTTACTATGCATTAAGTTATCAAGTATTTAGTCATTAAGATTATAAACAGAACTAGTTAAACAGAATAATAAATAAATTTTGCTTTAAATTAAATTTCATTTTAAATGAAGTGTTACTATCGAGTGTTTGCAAATTTTTTTTTTACAGTTAAATGTCTGGATTAAGAAATAATTGAGCAATTCCAATTTATGCAAAAGCTAATTTTATTTCCATTTTTTTATATTGGCAAATTTTGTTCAAACAACCTTTTTTTATAAGTTACTAGATTAAAATATGTATAGTAAAATATAACGCTGACTATTTAAAATATATGGTCAGCAAGAAATGTTAGTGTAAAAATGTTCATTATAGGGGATCTATTTCAAAATAATATAATATCTCATGATTTAATTTTCAAAAATGCTGATATTTAAATAAAATAGTGAAATTTGTAATTAGTATTTGAAGGTTATGATTCTGTAAATTCTGCTACAAGGGTTTGATATATGTATACCACTCCAGAAAAATGTCCTGATTTTTTTTTGCCCCACTATGAGGCTGCATATATAATTTTCATGTATTTAAAATGTTGAGAAGAACATGTGTTAAAAATTACCTTTTATTACCGAAATATGTTTAATACTAATTATATTTTACTATAAGTTAATAAAAGCTCTACAATTGCAAAGTTTCCTTTAAAAACACATTTTAATAAAAAGAGTTTTTAATATTCTATATAATAAATAATTATGCCTGTGTTCTCTTAAAGATAAAGTAATATATAACTTTAAGTTTATATATTAAACTACTAGATGCGTAGATTCTACAAAATCTATTTTGTGAATTAAAATTCAATTTTATTAATATGAAAATTAAAGAGATAACTGCAATGTATTTTAATTGAAATGAGTCTACTTAAAATTCCTTGAGAGAATAAGAGCTCTCATGTAAAATAAAGCAATAGAAAAGAAGTAGGAATGTTAATAGAAGAATTTTTTCTTCTATGCAAAATCATAATTTCTGCTTCAATGCAGTAAAACCCACTTACAACGAGCCCATGTTTAATAAGATTACAGATTTATCCAGCAAAATGGAACATTTTGTATGGTACATTGTTATAAATATATTAGAATGTAGTCTTTTTGCGAACAATTCTGCAATTTTCTTTTTTTTTGGACTTTCAGTCGGGAATAATTTTTAAAGCATGGAAATAGTATCAAAAATAATGCAAGACTATAAAAGCTCACATAGTGCACTATCAATTGCTTAAAATTATGAAAGGTGTTTTGGTATATGCTCAGTGTTTGGAAAAACATTTTCTTTGTTTCTAAGCTAATTACAACCATGTACTTTGCTAAAAATTCTGTTAACTACTTTTCTTAAATGTAGTGACTTCAAACTACTTTTGCAATGTTGTCACTACTGAACTGTTTTTTAAAAAGGAATTTTTCTTAGTTAATTCAATATACTCATGTTCAAAAAATCATGTTAAAAAAATTTAACAAATGAAAAAAATTAATGAAAAAGGGTTTCAAATAATAAATTGATTTATTTAAATGTGAAAAATTAAGAAATATCTATGTTTACATGAGAATTTGTTACTTTAAACTATTTTTTTTTTAACTCCTCAACTTCTATGTCATTGCTGGATTCAGGTGCAATTAATTCAACATCCTCACAATTTTCATTAAAAAGTTCCTTAAAATACCATCATTTTAAAATGTCTTGTTTATCAGTAATAATTTAACAAAATTTGTTTTTGTGTAGACTACAGGTCTGTTTATAGTCCAATCGGCTGCGGTTAATTTTCTGACAGAATGCTCTGCATTCATTAATGGATTTCAGTTGTTCAACATCTTTAAACAGTTCTTCATTAAAGACTTTTCTTTTGCCTAAAGAGTTTCTTCACCTCTTTTCTGCATCTATGGTACTTCTCTACACTATTTCTTGTGTTTGCTTGCATCATATGTATGTTAATATGCAACATCTTTTTATCATTAGCAATGGCACAATCAATATCATACCAATCCTTAACCTGTTTCATAGTTACTTTACTAATCACGGTATTGGTAGCATTACAAATACTGTCTTTTATACATTTCCATTTATTTTCCACAGTACCATAACAATTCATTAAATTCAACTCTTCCTTTACTTTTTGTATAGAAGTTGAGGCTCCAACTATTGAAGAGATCACGGCTGCAATTATAAATGTAAAGAATAAAAAGGCTTTGGGATATGATCTTATTTCAGCAGAACTACTAAAAAATTGTAAACCTACCGTGTTGAGAAATTTATCTGAACTTATTACTGACATCTGGCACTCTGAGATTATGCCAACGGATTGGAATATTAGCATTTTGTATTCAATTCACAAGAAAGGAGATCCTATGACCTGTGCCAACTATTGTGGCTTTAGTCTGCTTTGTATAACTTATAACATTCTATCTAGAATTTTATTTCTCAGGCTGTTACCATTCGTTGATTCACAAATAGGAAAATATCAACGTGGATTCCGTGCTGCAAAATCAACTAAAGATCAGATATTTTGTCTCCGCTAGATTTTAGAGAAGTCAATGGAATTTAACATTGAAACACATAATCTTTTTACTGTTTTCAAGGCTGCTTTTGATAGTATCAATAGAAATTATCTTTTTAAAACAATGAATACTTTCAAAATAACTTCAAAACTTATTAAATTGACGAGACTTACATTGAAAGATACGAAGTGTAAGATCAAGTTTCTGGGGTTTCTGTCAGAAAATCTCGACATATTTACAGGTGTTTGACAGGGAGATTCTCTCTTCTGTCTTCTTTTTAATATTGCACTTGAGAGAGTTTTTCGTGATTCAAACATCAATACCAGTGATCACATTTTTACTAGATCAGTACAACTGCTTGCATATGCTGATGATATTGATCTAATTGCTTGTTCCCTTCCTGTCATGAAAGAGGCATTTCTTGCTCTTGAGGTGGCTGCGAGGCAAATGGACTTAGTCATAAATGTAGAGAAAACAAAATATATGTTATTCTCAAGAAACAAAGTCCCAGAACCCTCTCTTGAAATAAATTCTTATAGATTTGAAACAGTAAGGAGTTTTACTTACTTAGGGTCAATTACTACCATTGATAACAGAATGACTCCTGAAATAAAATAACGACTCTTATCTGGCAAATAGGGCTGTCTATGGGCTGAGAAGATTTCTTAAATCTAGGTTTCTTTCTAGAAAAACTTAGTTCTTAATCAACAAAACTCTTGTCATGCCAGTCTTGACATACGATAATGAGACTTGGACAATGACAAAACTAGAGGAAAATTGTGCCACAATATTTGAGAGAAATGTTTTGCGGAGTATACTTGGTGCTGTAAATGAAAACAATAATTGGAGAAGGAGGTTTAACTTTGAACTGTACAAGATTTATAAACAACCAGATATTATTAAGTGCATGAAAATAAATGGAATGAATTGGATGGCCCTTGTGATTCGAATGAGTGATGACAATGCAATAAAAAAGATGCTACTTTTTAAACCCACTGGAACAAGAAAGCTGGGAAGGCCGAGGTTGAGATGGGTTGACTCAATGGAGTCTGATTTTCTTGCAATTAATGTAAAGAATTGGAAATCAAAGATAAATCTGAAGTCGTTATAGAGAAATCCTCATATTGGGCTACCTTGCCAAGTATGATGATTTTTTTTAACGATTTGATTAGCCTTTCAGGTAACTTGTCTCTGCTTTCTCTGAAATTTTTTTTAAATCAAAAATAAAAAGTTGGCCACGCAAAAAAAAAGAAAAGAAAAAAAAAACTTGTTCATGCAGAGCATTCCTCTGAGTTTTATAACATTTTGAATATAGCTACAAGTACTGAAAACAGGCAGATGTGTGAAGGGGATCATCATTACATTAAGCTTTTTTTGAATAGGCAAAAATTGGTTTTAGCGAGAAATACAGTCAAACCCCGCTATAGTGAACCTTCAAGGGATCGAAATTTCGGTTCACTATAACCGGGAGTTCACCGGGCTACGCAGGCATCTTAACTAATGGTTCCCAAACTCCTCCCTTTTATTGCATATTATTCAAATAAATGACTAAAAAATATTAGTTAGTAGCAAAAAATATGTTTTTTTCATTACTCTTCATCTTGCGTTATAAAAAAAATTAGTAATCTTTAGATGATGAGCAATCCTCAACATCAGATATGGAAACACTTCCCGACTCTCAGATAATTTTTCCTGAATTTCTGTTATTCCGCTTTTTAAGCCTGTCTAGCCTGCCATTCGAGCACATATAAGTAGTCACATAAAATAGCTTAGCAAATTCATTGGCATTTGTCCAGATACTGGAAGATTGTGAGTCCGATTGGTGAACCACTTCAGTAATGCTTCTTCAACATTCTTGTGATCTGCTTTTCTCAACTTTTTTCTGCCATCTAAATTTTTTTCATGAGCAGAAGTTATTAATTGCCTATTTTTCCATATATTACAAACTGCAGATTTGGATAGCTTATATTCCCTGCAAATATCAGCTTGATTGCATCCATTTTCAATTTTTCTGATTATGCCCATTTTATCATCAATGGAGAACGTTTTACGTTTACTGTTTTCTGTTTACGTTTATCATAGTTAAATTTGTGACACTTGTTTGCAGGATTTTTTTTAACTGAACTGAGAGCAAAAAGGAGTTGAAATGAGGGCCTCATCAACGCATATTAGTGTCCAACCCTTTAACCAATAATGAATAATTTCTCATTCCCTCTGACAGAAAATGCATATTGATCCCACTGACACCTTACAGGTGCATCATCTGCCTGAGTTGGAAACATCTGCTTGGTTTGCTTAGGGATGGGAAAGGGAGACAAAAGAAGAAAACAAGAAAAATGCTTATCGCTACATTCCCCTCTATAGATTGTTTTAAAAAATCTGTATATGTATTTATTTTGAAGTAGAAATTTCGAAATTATTACAAAAAAAATTAAGAAAAAAATCAGTTGAAGAGAGAAAAAAGTTCATTATATCCAACTTCCTCACTTTTTTGGTTCACTATATCCACAAAAAATAACATTACACGTATATAGCAAGGCACGGGAGGGAACATTTCGTTCACTATATCCGGGAGTTCACTATAAACCGTGTTCACTATAGAGGGGTTTGACTGTATATATATTTAGAGACATAATATTTTGTATTCCAGGAGTTGAAGTAAATTTTAAGAGAATTTTTATTGAGGTTATTTACTAATATTGATTGCATTTTTATTAAACTTCTATTAAAGAGCAGATTTAATCACAAAACTTCTCCTTAACTTCTATTAAAGAGCAGATTTAATCACAAAATAGTTTTATCAAATGAAAATCAAAAGTTTAATCACAAAGATGTTTTTTTAAATAAAAATCAAATTTAACCACAAAACTTATCAAAAATTTAACCGTTACATGAGCAAAATTCGTACCAAAGGACATTAATCATTAGATGTAAATCAAAAAAAATATATGTTCCATTAAAGAAATTGTTAAATTAAAACATTAAAATTAAATTAAAATTAAAAAAATATCTATTTAACAATAGATTTCATTCTATAAAAAATAATCTAATAAATCTTTTAAATATGGCTTTTATTTATTTTATTTTATTTTTGATTTATCTTTGCAAAACACAAAATTGTATTCATGCTCAAATGGAATTGTATCTTTGCTTCATTTCTTGCATCTTCATTGAATCATTTGCTTAAAAACAGAGATATTTTAGAAATTAGAGGTAAAGTTTCACTCTTGAATTATGTTATGTCTTTAAGTATGAAAAAAGAAAAAATAAAGTTAAAATTTAATAATGGGAAAAAATTACAAATGGGAGAACTGACAGTATTAGAGAAACTAAATGTTTTTGAGTACTTGAGGCTAATTATCATAAAATCAGTAACATTTTATAGAAAAGCAAAATAATAATAGAAATAAGTGGGTTATTTCATTAAAAGTCATTTGCCTAATGTCCTTTACAATTTTCACTAAAGAATTGTTTGAAGTTTACAGTAGGGGAAAGAAAGGAAACGGACAGCAGCTATAAATTTTCAATAGTTGGTTGTTGATGTTTCCCATTCATAACCATACTCTCTGCTCATTCTTAAACTCTGGATCATGGGGACATTTGCATTGTGCCACTGATAGACTTTTAAGATTTGCACGAATCAGGTTCAATAAATTACTTATGTTTGAACATTGTTTCTAATGTTAAAAGTAGTTGTCAGGTATTGCTGCAAGCTATTGTTTTTTTTATATCTCACTAGTCATTTCATTACTTAAAAAAAAAAAAGTAGCTCTCTACGCAACTAACTATGAAAAAAGTTGTGACTTCAGTAGTTTCGCAACATGTAACATGCTAGTTACGCCCATGGTGTATGGGTAACCTTCAGAGAAGGGAGACCAGGTTAGCCCATTGTCTTGTTTCCAGAAGATTTTTTCCATAGAAGAATTTTGTGAGAATCTGAATATTGTCAGAAAAGTACCTGCTTGATTGCAGATACATTTCTGGTTTCTGAGTTGTGTGAAAAGAGGCTCATTTTCAGCTGTTACCTTTTCTTGAAAACGTGTTTTTCATTCAGTTTCTTAAAATATAGAAAAACAAAGTTTTACTCATAAAAGAAAAGTCTGAAAAACTCTTAGATAAAGGGAAAAAAAACTTAGTTATATGTAATTAAAATGTGTTAAATAAAGCAATTCAAATAATTTGTATTTTATGTTTAACTTTTTTTTCTTGTTCTAAACTAGAATTCAGATTTAGTGAGCATCCAAATTTACAGGTCTTATTGTCTTATTATTGTTAATTCTATATTTATATGACAACATAACAATATTTGTTTGTACTTATTGAACAATTTGATGTTTAAATATGCTATAAAAAATCCTAATTTGTGTTATGGTTTTGTAGCTATTCTTTTAGAATAAGATTTGTGCTTGGCGCAGTGTAACTGCTTCCTTCTCTTGTGTCAACAGGTAAACTAAACTAACCTCTTGTTTATAATAACAATTATGAAAATTTCTTTTTTTTTAGTTGCAAGTTGAAAATCTTAAATCAGTTGAAGTGGAGGAAGAAAGAATAAAAGTTGATAAGGAAGGTAATTTGAATTTAGCTTGTGTTTCCTTTTTAATGTTAGTTTATGCTTTAGTAAAATTTTCCTTTTATTTCAGCATTCAATCATATTTATTAATGTATTGTTATTAGCTCATTGCATTTTTGTATGCAGATTAAAGATAATAATTTGTTTTTAATTTCGCCCAACGATTTTTGTTGAACATATTTCTATTTTTACCATTTTTATACTTATGGTAGTGTTCTGGAAATTATTAAAAGAGAATTTTTATGATAAGATAATATTTTTTAAAATTAATATCCATTTATAGAAACATGAGCTCTCGAAAAATGTCAATTTCTGCATGCCCCACAGAGCGTGTAAGTCTAAAAAAGAGGTGCCCCAGTGAACATACCCAAATATTGTGCATACCTCTTACATACCCAGATATGTTTTCCAAATGCATATAAATGCAGGAGTACCAGAATGGGAGGCCACGGAAGGTTGCTGCGACTTTCTTAAGATTTTCGCTAATCGGCATATTTATGTCATTTGGTATATTTACGAAATTTCATTTTTCTCTTCTTTTTTTGTTTGGAAAACACAAATACAATTAGTCAGTATTACAACTCAATTTAAAATTTTTAAATAGGGAGGAAAAAATAATCTCAGTATTATATCAGGCACACATTTCAAAAAATTTCATATTATCCTTAACATGTCTAATTCCTATCTTGCCATTGAAAACTTCGTTTTTCACAAAAATCGTCATAGAACTCCTATTTTCGAATAGGGAAAGCCAATTTCATCAGAAACATAGCTAAGATACCAAGCAGCTCATCTTCAAAAGCTCCCTCGTTCTGCATTTATGAATAAGACAAATTCAAAAATTCCAATTGGTTAGTAATGTAAGCGATTGTCGCAGAAATAAAAAAAAAAAATCAATTTAATTACATTCTGTAGAAGCAAGTGTCCATCAACATATTTATTTGTTTAAAATGATGTTATAGAAATGATGTCATTCTTGCATTTCCTTTCATATTGAAATTTCAAGATTTATATTAATTTCTTCTGCACAGTTAGAACATACTTTTTTTTTTAATTTTGAAGTTTGAAAAATATATTTCATATAGAATAAACCTTAATAATGCATTATTTACAATGCTGACTTGTAACTCTACATTAATTTTGAATGATTACTCTCCTTTTTATATAATGTTGAACCTCGATCCATTGTTTCACCAGGCTGAGGAGATTTGAGTCACTTTTAGTCACCATTTTAAAATTATTCCTTTTAACGTTCTTGAAGATATTTTACTTAATGATTAGAAATTGCTTCGAAATGACCTTTTTATGAAAAAATGACCTTTTATGAAAAAATGACCTTTGTGAAAATGAAAAGATTGATACCTATTGGCATTACTATATTTCCAAGAAAGACACTTCTGAAGATTACAAATTGACTTTCACTCTGTTATTTGACAATGTGGATATAGAGCGAAGATTTTCAGTTTCAAAATGTGTTTTATGTGAAGATAACACTGCAATGACAGAAAGGCATCTGAATGTTTTGATTGCAAAAATGCTTTAAAAGAGATCCTTATCTCTCTTCAACTTGTGCAAGTGACTGATAAATTGATTAAATATTGATTACTAGCCCATGAAATGTATGCAGCATGCATTGAAGATTGCAAGAATAAAAACATAATGGAAAAGAAATGAAACATGAAAACCGAAAAGAGACCCAAAAGAAAAATTTCAAATAATAAAAAAATCCTACATACGCGCAGGGTATTGAATTGGAGATACACAATAAAATAAAAAAAAAGCTGCTGAAAATTTGATAGAAAAATCCTCAAATTGATGCATGTGGTATGCTTATGGGTGTTAAAGCCATGAAATCAGAAGAAAATGTTTAAGAAAGGCAGAAGAAGAGCCTTGAAAAGAAACAAAATCATTACTAGAAAAACTTACATCAGCAGTCACATTTAATGCTTAGCTTAAAAAAAGTTTTAGAAAAAAATTATTAGAAAAAAGTTAAACTAGTTCCTGGTATGCTAATGGGTGTTAAGAATTAAAGGTACACAATGAAATCAAATAAGCAGCTGAAAATTTAATAGAAGAATCCACCAATTGATTTGAAAAAAGCTTTAGAAATTATTTTTTTTAAAAAAAAAGCGAAGCTAGCTCATGTTATGCTTATGGATGTTAAAACCATGAAATCTGAAGAAAAGGTTTAGGAAAAACAGAAGAAGAGTCTTGGAAAGAAACAAAATAATTGCTAGAAAAACAAAAATCAGCAGTCATTACTTCAAGGCAAATTAATAAATAATTGTACATCAATTTTTCTTATGTCCTGTTTTTTTTTTTTTTTTTAACCAATTATTTTTATTTAATAAATTTAGGAAAAAGCTACGTATTGTTGCCTTTTTTTAAATCACTTTTAATCACCTTTTTCTGTAAATTAATTACTATTTGAAATTGTAACCCACTCCCTACCTTTCCTACATCTTTCATTTTCCCATACGTATGGTCTTGTTTTAACAGTTCTATCCGGAACACTATTCTTTTAATAATCGCTTTTGAGACTAGCAGACTCCTGTGTCTGTCATTCAGTAATTCTACTGACTGTTAAAAAATTTTTAAACTTATTTCATTTTGAGAAGTAAAGCTGAAACTCTTGATGTTAAGGAAAAAAAAGAAAAAGATTTATTGCAGTTTGGGAAAATGTCCCAAACATTACATTTGATGCTAATGCATCAAATGGAACCACAACCATTGACGGTGAGATGGAAGTTGAGCTGACGGTGAAATTGAAGTTGAGCTCATGGTGAAAGGGAACCACATTCAGTTCCAACATTTTCAGAAGGCCCTTGCCTTTGAAACAGTGAGGAATTATCTGTGTTCATGCAAATATGCAGAATAAGCCCATTGCTTAATCGCTTCTTATAAATTTCATAAATTGATATTTTATACTTCATGTTAACCTGCATTTGTCAGTTGTAATGAATGGTCCTATGAGAAATGATCGATTGAAGTACTACTCTATTAACCTAAATTATTAGTGATCTGTTAACAAATTCATGATGAAAACTTAACATGAAACTGTATTAAATTGCTTTAGAGGTATAATTAATTTTTGTTATCAATATTCATTTATTTAGTTATTCTCCAAATTTTTAAAAGATATAATTTTGATATTATAAGTCTAGTTAGTTTTATGCTACTCAAGTTTAATAGCTGTGGGAAAAGTTTGTTATATTTTAATAAGTTTGATAAATTATTTAAAACTCTTTGAACTTATATTAAAATGCAATTTTTTTTTAAAGCTGTAAAAAATAATGCAGAAGAAAAAGAAAAAGCTGCCCTGGATGTTTATAAAACAGCAAAGGATGGTAATTATTTTTTTTTCTTTTCATTTCATATATTTAATAATTTCTTTAAAAGCTCATAATTCTTTATTAATTCACAAAATAAAACAAAAATTATTTTAATTTTTCTTTAAAAATTACATTCGAAATAGGCATTTTTTAATATAAAAAAAATTCTCTTTAGTGAAATAAAAGTAAGGAGAGTTTAAATGTTTTGTAAAATGTGGTGTACAACATTGTATATGTGTAATATCGGTATGCAAATAAAAGCAATAAATCGTTTTTAAAATAAGGAAAGGTAATTCTGATTTTTTTTTTTACCATAATATTTTAGAACAAATGAAGAAACATGAAGAGGAAGAAATGCTTAAGGATCAAGAAAAGGAAAAGAAGAAGGCAGAAGAAGCATTTAATGAGTTAGATATTAATCAAGATAAAGTGTAAGTGAACTGATAAGCTATATATTTAGTTTTAAATTATTAATTCATATCAAGACCTCAGAAGTAGAAAGTGATAACCCATATTTTGTATTTAAAGGATAAACAGAATTTCCTGTTACTGGTCCTGTAGAGATGTGTGGCTTTATAATATGAAAATGCCATTTCTTTACAAAGAGTCACATTACTTGAGCAGAATAATAGCTTTTGTGAGATCATTTTATCAAAGTGAAATTTTTTCAAGATGAGGGCTATCACTTTTTCTCCTCTGAGATCTTCAGTGGTGCACTCTTATTTAGAAGTGTTCCCTTTTTCGAAGGAGATACTAACGTTTTTGAGCACCAGCTCTTCTCCACACTATTTGACATGCTCCGTTTTTAACATTTATGGTTTAGTTTACAGTTAGTGACTTCAGTTTGTGATTTTTTTTTTGCCACTTCATTATGTGATTGGCAAACTCAGTTTTAATTCTGTGTTGGTTAAGACAGTACATATAACAATTGTTAAACATTCATTAGAAGGTTTTCATGTTACTAGTTACATAAATTTTTGGCAATATGTAATGTAATTATAAAATACACCTTCCTAAGGCTTACCATCTCTCATGTAAGCGAGATGCCATTTTACACCCTGAGATCTTTTTTCCCTCAATTTTGTATCACTCTTTGTTTATAGCATTCTTTGATCAGCTATATTTTTGTTTGTATGGTTCCAGCTCTTACACTGCCATTAATTGAAATTCTATACCTAACTAAGCTTAATATTTATTATTTTAGCATGTTTTCGTGTATGAAATTAAATTAGTTTTTCTGTTTGAAACTTTAATAAAATAGTCATTTATTTTTTAATGCCCTCTCAGTGTATTCTAAATTTAACAAAAAAACTTTTTTGCATTAAACGCAATTAGTTTCACAGAAATTTGTTTAAATTGAAAAGTTTATTTATGTTTCAAATAGTAATGAAAAGTCTTGAACTTACTGTTGATTGTAATTTAATTCTACTTTCTTTTTAGTCTTACTTATCAAGAGATTCAGGAATTTCAGAAATTCGACAGTGATAAGGATGGAATTGTTTCGGAACAAGAAGCAAAAGTAATTTTTTAATTTTAGAAAATTTTAACTATTGCATGTGTGACTATTTATCTGAAAATAATTTTGTGTCTTGTAATTAATGGTGTATTTATTATATTTGTGTATATAGAGTAATTTGTGATTCATTCGCTAAACAACGATTTACAACAAACAAAAGTTAACATTTCTTTTGTTGCAAAAGCATATTTATTTTTACTTATGCTGTATTTTTGGCCTTTTCTCTCTTACTGATATTCTTTCTGAGATGGTTTTGAATTCCTATTAAAATTGTGTAATGTATTTTAATTTTGGACAGTTGTAAGATTCAAGCAAAAACTTATTCTAATTTAACCTATTAATTTAAATGAATTAAGCATGAATTGAGAGGTCATTTATTATTATAATTAATGAAATCTTAATTGTGGAATTTGTTTCAAAATTTTTGATCTTGTATATTTTAGTTAAATTATTACAATTTATTAGAGCATCAGCAGTTCATTTAAAATTATTTTGAACCACTTGGCAATTCAATAATAAGAGACATCTAAAAATAGTAAACTAATGTATTGCTTACTAATTTAGTTTCTTAAATAAATATTTGGTTGCATTCAAAATGATTTAAACTTTTTAATTTAAATTAGTTTGTTCTGGTCAAAAAGTACTATACCATTACAGCTTTTTAAGAAATGATACCAGATTGGCTATGAGTAAACATTAAATCCAATTAAGAGTTTCACAAATATTGAAATTTTAGAATTAATGTAATTATTTTTTTTATTTATGAAGTTTTTTTGTTTTCTTTTCCATCTACATATTACATACCTTTATTAATTCATTATTTTAACTGCTAAGGTATTAAGAGTAATTTAAGCAGTAACGAGCAACTGTTACTGCTAAGAAACATTGAATAAATTAATCAAAATGATGTTCACGTCTAATTGATAAGAAAACGATAATGACCAGGGTAAATCAAAGTCCAGACCCGAAACCCATGGAAAACTTTTGGGTTATATTTGTGTCAAAAATTTTAACTGAACTGGAAATAGCTATCATAAAAAAAATGGTTTGATATTATTGAAATTTAATTTAACAACTTAGTCAATCCAATGAACTACGGGAAGCTAACATAAGAAAAGCTACAATATTACTGAAATATAACTTAACTACTTAGTCAATCCGAGGAAAAGCAGTTTGTTTGAAATAATTGGAAAAAAAGGGGGGGCCAATATTGTGTTATCAGCAGTACTAAGTAGATTTTCTACCAATTTCCAAAATTTTAGTTAGTTTAATCCTTGTCATATTTTTCGTTAGAAGATCCACACTATCATGAATACTGCACCTTAGTGAAACTGTAAAATAAAGGCAGTCATCAGAAATGTGGCTACAGCGTAAACGTGTAATGACATGATGCCACGCATATAAATATTTTAATATGAGGGACACTTGAATAATCATGCATGATCTATACACGAAGTTTCTAAAAGTATATGGGGAAAGAGAAATTTTCTTTTCCAACTAAAGAGAAAAATGTAAAAAAAAAAAAAAAAAAAAAATTATGTGAAACTGAATTATAGTAACCAGTTGGCATTGTGCAAAAAATTAAAAACTATCAAGAGAAAGAGAGCAAAATGATGCACTAAATTAAATGAATATGTACCCATCGTTGCTGAGTTGCTTCTCCGAGGGATGGGTGAAAAGAAATTATTTCATCATAAGCATTGCAGGTAAGAAAAAACAAAAACAATTTTTCTTGTAAGCACCACTGTGCTTATGCCAAAACATACAGTATTTGAAGCATTCAAAATAATTAAATGTAATTATGATAGCTATGTTGTAAGATTTTTATTTTGCAGATGTTAAAACCATTATTTATTTCTGTAGTCTTATTTATTAGATTTATGTATTTCTATATTTTACTGTATGTAATTATTTATTTCAGTAGTCTTTTTGAGCTTTATTTATCCAAAATATGAAATCTAGTTTTTTGCCTTTAGTTTTTTCTTCATATGAAAGAGTTTATGCTGCTTGAGGAATTTGTTTCAATTGGATGGATGATCATGAAGCCAGTTTTTGAAAGTGATAAAGTAAATCCATTTCAAACATTCAATTACATTAATTGAAAAAAAAAATTAATAAAATTTTTTTCCCAGTTTATTGGTGTGAATAAGGCATATTCTTAATGTTTTTATTTTTTGTTTTTTCATTAAAAATTGACGAAATATTCTGTGACAAATGAATATTTTGGGAGCCATAGATTAATTTATTTAGTAACCAAATTTTGTGAATAATTGTTTCTTAAGTTAACATTTAAACAAAGCAATTTTTAGGCGTTTCATTTTTAAATGATTTACTACTTTCATTTTAGTCCTATTATGATACAGTGCTAGCACTTTACTACTAGAATTATAAATTAATGACCTTGCATCTATCATGCATGACCCCTTTTTTATTTTTCTAACACTTATATTTTATAAATTTTGAACTTTTCAATATTGTTAATGTTTTACTTTATTAATCTAAGACTTTGTAATATCAGGTTATCAATCTCAGTCAATTATATCAGATTATCAATATTGTTTTATATGTAATTCAAGGTCCAGATGTTAGTGTTTAAAAACAGTTGAGTACTTATTGGTTATAGGGACCATGAAGCAAAGTTCATCAACATGTAGAAATGCCAGGTTCTGGTTTACACAGGCTACAGTGAATACACATAGGTTTATCAAATACGACCATATCACAATCATTGATGATAACAATATGTGTACATACATTAGTATCAAGATCATTATTGATGACATATTTTCAAGACATGAATATTATACATAATAATTATTATTGAATATATTTTTAGTGTTTGACAAATTTTATTTTAATAGTGAAAGTATTGACCTGTGTAAAAATAATATCAATTACCGTATTTTTCGGCGAAACGCCGCTTTGTCACAAGCGCTGCACATCGATGAAAATGAAATTTTTAAAAACAAATTTATAATAAGCGCGCGCCACTCTGGCGCAATCGCCACAATGACGCTACACCACGGATATCAGCATCCTTATAGAAGAGACCTCTAAATTACCATTTAGAATATCTGTGTAATAATAAAAACATTTTTTTTATACATTTCATATTTCTAAATTATAATAAAAAATTTCGTTTTCAGCAAATAAAAAACAACAAAATGATATAAAATGGAAGCTTTCTTGCCTGTTAAAAAATAAAGTTAAGTACCACAAATAATTCGGAATGTTGAACAGCAAAATATTTTAAAATACATTAAGTAACGCAATTTCTAAATTATTTGGGGGGAGGGGAGAATAGCCTAAAATGCGTTAACAAAGAGTTAACGTGAAAAAAGTTCTCTTTTCGCAAAAAAAGTAAGCAACAAAACAATATAAAATAAAGTTGTTCTTACCAGTTGGCATCGCGCCAAAAAACAGAAGAGCAAATAATTAACAGCAAAAAAATATTTATGTGCTCAGCAGCTGAATTAACTCAGGACTGATTACAGAAATCTGTAAAACAATATAATATGAAAAATTTATTAAAAAAAAGATTCTAAAATAAAAAGATTTAAAAATTTATTGCAGTTAACAATTTGAGGAAAACTAACAAAACATTGTAAACTAAGGAAATAACGAAACAACTAATAATAACAAGAATAAGAAATAACTAAGCGCGCCCCAAGAAATTTCTCTAGAAGGAATGAGTGAAGGGGAAATAAGTTTCACTTTCACAATGCTTCCTCCACATGTCATTTCTTCTGGAGCTGTTTAGGAGGAATCAATTATTTTTAAAGGGGTTGGGGAGTATGGGACCCTAACCCGGCATCCCGAAATTCGGCACTTAATCTGATCTAATTTTATTTATTTATTAATTTTTTTTAAAGAAATTTCTATTGAGAAGACAAAAAAGAAAAAAAAAATCAGCTGTATAGCTTTTTATTTGGAATTTTATTCTGTTGAAGTATTATCCAACTTTATCTTTTAAAAATAAAAAAAAGCTTGAAAAAAAATAATAAATCTGTGCCAAAGGAAGCATCTGTTTCTAAAGCAGTTTAAGATAAAGTGAAAAGTAAAAACACCTGCATTTCCAATGAACAAAATAAAGAAATGCAAGTTGGAAAAAAATGATCAATCAATCTTGACAGCTGTGCTTGTGCTTTACTGGTTTGTCCCCAAATTTCCCTCTTCTGTTTGACCATAAATTGTCCACACTGAAACTACCAAGTGGACTACAAAACAAATTTTATCGCTTTTGCGGTTTTTAATTCGATTCATTAATTTTTTATTTTGCCGCTCTTTTATTAGTTATTAACTGTTAATTTTTGTTTTTTTGTTTATAGTTAGCTTGTTTTTCTTCTTATTATTAGTTATTTGCTTGTTTTTTTTATCGTTATTAGTTTTTAGCTTGTTTTTTGTTGTTATTCATTGTTAGTTTCTTAGCATTATTTGTTACTTTTTTTTGTAGTTCCTTTGTACATGTCACACAAGAAAAAAAAAGCTAACAGCTTTTTTTTTCTTGTGGGGTGAGCGTCTTTTGTTAAAGCAAATTGTTTCTAAAAGAAAAAACGAGTTTTATGATCTTGCTCCGAGGAAGAAACTATTATTTCTTATTAGGAGGATTCAGATTATTTCTTGAGTTATTTCTTCGTGATTATATTGTATAGATTATTATTTTAATTAATAAAATTTTTTAAGATAAAATTTAATTTTACCATTTTAAATTCACCTCATCATAATCTACTATCGAAGTTTGACTAAATTTATTGGTTTTTCTGAAATTAATAGTGTAATTGAATTATAGTAATATTTGGGCGACATATTGGAATTTCCGAAAGAGATCCGAAATTTGCCATTTCGTCAGTCCTGTGAGTGCTGGATTTGGGGTTCTATTACTTCCTTTTCTGTTTGCTCCAATTACAATTGCCAAGGCGCTAAAGTAGATTTCTAGCTTGCGATTTTTCTTTAAGCTGGTGGTGGATATAAGATGCATACCTTTTAAATTTTCTCCTTATGTGATGTTTTTTTTTAAATTATTATTTCGTCTATTTATTTTCTTGCAGGCTGCTGCTGAAAGTTTGCTATGAATTGGCAATTGTTCTGCAGCGTATCGCGATACGGGCGAATATTTCGTCGACTGTGTTATGAATTTTTTTTAATTAGTCTTTCTCTCAGAAAATAATTTAATCTTAAATAACTTTCCTTGAAAATTTTTTCTTTGCTACTGAAAATTATTTTGTCGGAAGTGCCGCCTGTAGGAAAAAAACAACTTTTTTCCGATAGCACTGCGGCGCTTTTACCGAAAAATACGGTAGTTAAATTGGAAAAATATTGTAACATACTGTTAAATATCAATATTTTGAAAATACATCATGTATGAGCGACGATGACTCAGAGGATAGAGCGTTAGCCTTCCAATGCAGTGAACCTTGCTCGGATCCCAGCAATGGCTGGTTAGTTCAAATCCACATCTTGCCTGCATCTTGCATAAAATATCCTCAGTGGTCGACGGATCATGGGTTAGAGTCCCTTTGCCGTCAGGTTAACCATGGGAGGTTCTAGTGGTCTTCTCCATGTAATCTAAATATGGGTTCCACGAAAGCAAATTTCTCTCACTACTTGATTCAAGAGTTCCCTTGTCTTCTGTATTGGGTTCAAAATTACAAGGCTACAGAGTTGAACATTAGTAGTCTTAAACCCAAAAAATTGGCTGGCTGTTTAATGATGGTTATAAAATAAATCATGTATACTTAAATTATGCTCTTGGTATACATCCTAATATGTTTGTGTTGGTGACAACTCTGAATAGCAAGTGCAAACACATGGTCCTCATAATGGATAAGTATCAACAGTTGTTATCTGTGCCTATTTATGCTCATTAATTAGTAGTCGTACCATGCCAACTATCCTTATGTTTTTTCCCCTTTTTTTCACCTATTTTCTATCACCTTTTTTTCACCTTTTTTTTTACCTATTTTCATCAAACAAAATTTAGTGTATTTAGATTTAGTGTACCTTTCAGCTTAACCAAGTAAAAACATGATATAAGCATTGTTGCTGATCCTTCTGTATTGAAACTTTGTTTTTCTGTTTGAAAGATTAAATTTTTCAAATTTTTGCTTGATCTATGTTATTCAATTTTTGCGTGATGTTTGAGAATACCTATAAATAATTTTCAAAGTGTTGCAGTTCAAAAAGTCTTTTAGTTGTAAAAGTCTTTTTAGTTCCTTTTTTCCTAAGTCTTCTTTTTTTTTTTAGTCTTTTTAGTTGCAAATCTAAACGGGGCCCACTTTTTCTAAGTTCAATCGTAGAACTTAAGTTCATTAACTCCATTTTTTCTTAACCAGTTGAAAATGTTTCTTTATAAAATACAGATTCTACATTCTTTTAGGTATTTTAGGGGTGCCAAACTTTTTTAATTTTGTTTTATGCTCCTTATTTAGAACTTTTATTTTCCAGTACTTTTAGATTACTTGGTAAAGTTTTGTGTATTTATACATTAATTAGATAAGTTGTTAAAAAACAGTTTTGAAGTTATATTTTACATGAAAACTTTAATCTCCTAGGAACCAATTACAGAACCTCCTCTTAAAGAAGAAAGCGAAAAGGAAACTGATGAACCTGACATTAATGAGGCTGAGACAGCTGAAGAAAATGATGATGAGCCTGAGGTAATGTGAAACTTTTATAAAGGTGTTTGACTTAGATTTTTTTTACTATTTATGAGTTGCCTTTTTGTGAAACAAATTAGTTACTCACCATTAAAATGTTGTTCATATGATAAAAGTAAACACAAGCTCAACCTGCATGCTTAAAATGCAAATTCAGTGATCTCTACTAAAATCACTGGTTTATAAGAATCAGCTGCTTTTTAAAATCAAATCTACAATAATTGAATCATTGCAATATCAAAATATGTTAAAATCATTCTATAATAAAGTTATAGAATGATTATATCATATTGTTGAATGATGAATCATTGTTTTATGCTATCAAGCTTTGGAAGAATAGATGTTTTAAAAAAATAGAAAAGCATCATATTGCCCCCCTCCCTCCTTGTCAGATTTAGATTTCTTTTCAAGATTTGAAAGACATGCTGCATATAGCTAACAAATTTCAGGCTGCAACCTGTGGATGGATAAAAGAAACCAGGTGTGAATTAAGACTTTTTCTTAAAATTGAGGGGTCTTCATTAAAAAAGAATGAAACACAGAGGCGAGACCAAATGAAACTTCAAATGAATTGAAAATTATTGAATGACCAACACTCACTGTCACTGATTATCACACACTGACTAAACACCATTGTTAAGAAAGAATGAAGCTGTTATAACAGGGTTGAAAAACAATTCAAATGCAAATGAACTAAAGATTAGATTGAATGCCTGACATATTCAATGGAATGAACCATATCTATTCTGTGAAATATTTTATTCTTGCGTAATGTGAGTCAGAATATGCATGAACAATTTTGAATAAAGATCGAAATTGCATTTTTTAAGTCTTGGATACTCATTGTAATAAAAGTTGCTAAAACTGTTACTGACTCTTAAAAATTTTTTAAATTAGAATGCTGCCAATCAAATAACAATATGCTAATATTTTTACCCTTCTGTAAATTAAGAAAATATAGCTCATATTTGATCAAAATATTAACTGTAAATTTAAAAGTTAAAATTTAAATGCTGCAATTGATTTAGCTATTGTTTTTTTTTAGGTTTAACTTATAAACTTTTTTTTTTTAGTACAGATATATCTTTATAAAATTGGCTGCTTTATAAAATCAAATGTCCTTGGAATGAATATTATTTTAATAAGCTACAGGTACCGTTGTAATGAAATTATTTTCAGTAATTTAATCTTATTCTAACAAAAGACATTTATATTTTCCTTTAAAATGCCCCTTCATAAATCATTGAAAATTGACGCTGTGTAGGCTCCAAGCCCTCACTGGTAGTATAATATTGTGTGCTACTAAGTTAAGGTGCAAATAAAATTTTTCTATAAATTCTAATATTAAATTTTTTTTCCTCCATATTTTGTTAAAGTTGTCATGAATTAATAAAAGATACAACCAAGAAAGAAAAATTACTAAAAATTAAAATAAAACAATTAATGTTTAAATTTTTACTCACTTGATCTGCTACAAAATTTTCTGCAAAATAACAATTTTTGTTCAGAGAAAATGAAATCTAAAATTTTAAAAATGTATGTGATTACATTCCCCTCCCCCCAATTGCTACATGTTTTTTTTTATTGAAGGAATATATTTTGCATACCAAACCATTCTGTTTTTATGGTTTCTTACAGTTCCAGTGATGATGAGCACTGACTAAGTAAAGTCTAATATGAAGCTACTATGTTTTTACTCTAGGCTATTATTAAAAGGATGTAGATACATGTATGGTGGCATGATTTATTAGAAAACTCACTTCAGCCCACCTAATGTATCTCTGAAACATAGCAAATAGTTCTCTGATGTACTTTGATTGTTAACTGAGAATTGATAACCACTTAAAATGGTTAAGCCATCGAATTCAAAGGAAACACCATTACTAAAACTCCAGGATATTGTCTTCTGAGATCTCTTGGGCTCTTTTTTAGTTCTTACAGATAATATCTAGTGCCATTTGGCATATTTCTGGCTATCCACTTCATTTCATCGCTGAACAGCATATAAATCCATTCATATTCCTCTTAAATGTACTTGCAGGAATAATCTAGTCTCATTTGGATCAACTTGCATACTTTGAAATATCAGGTCTCTTAAATCATCTATAAATGATTATTATTATAATTTTTTTTTTTAAATAATATAATCTATCTGAATTTTGATGTTAATAATTAAATAATTTTTGAACTTTATTTTCTGTCTTGGTTATCTTTTCCGGCCTTTCGCATTATAATTCTTTACTTTAAGTCTGACCAGTGACTTGAGCTTTGTTATACAGTAGAGAACCGATTATCCGGAACGATCGGGACCATCGCTATTCCGGATAACTGATTTTTCCGGTTTTCTGAATCGCTACAAAAAACCTTCTTTTTATTGTTATGCCCAACTAAAAAAAAAATATTTGGAAATAATCTTAAAAAGAAGAAAAAACGATGAAGTAATACTTTAATGATTATTTCCAAAATGATGGTAAGGTAAACATCTTTCAAAAAAGAAGAAAAATCCTAAAACCTTATGAGGAAAAAAAATTTTTTTTTAAAAATGGCGGGAAAATTTNTTTGTAGGAATTAAAATACTACTAATTTTTCTTACAAAAAAGTAGAAAAAAAATAATAAATAAATTCAAAGAAAAATCATAGAAATTCTGATTGATGCAATTTTTCTCTCAAAACTTTTTTCTCCCAGATTTTTCAGACTCTGATGTTTTGAAAGCTAAAATTTCCAGCAAATTTTAGGTTTTTTAGTCATAGTTTTTGAATGATATAAAGTGTTCAATTGATTTAGAAATATGTTCAATGTGTTAACTCCATTATTATGACAGGTTAATATTATTATGACAGGTTAATATTGTTATCCTTTTTGTTCTTTTAATTTATGTACAATACAAAGAATAATTAATTTTTTATCATTTACAATCAAATTTTTAAATTTAGTTTTTACTGCTAATAAATAAAATTTAGTTCTACAGGTTTCATTGGTTATGAATAAACATCGTGATTCACATTAAACTGATTCTTGATTTACAGATCGTAATTCATATAAAATGTTCTGCAAATTGCGGTTTAACTGAAAGTGATTAATGAATCACATATTGAATATTATTGTACAGTGATTTGCCAATTACTCATCAGAATTCATGCCAGATCTCATCAGAAGTTATTTCTGAATCATATAATGTATTTAAGTAATTTCAGAATCATGCCTCACAATTCTCATTCTAGTAGTTTAAAAATCACGTATTGCTATTCACAAAAGAGAGATTTAAGAATTACCACCCACAATTCTCATCAAAATGATTTAAGAATCACACACAGCTGTTCTATATAAGGCACCTTTCGAATCCCAAATTGCAATTTGCATCTTAATGATCACTATTCTCATGAAAACTATTAGCTAATCACGTAACAGAATTCACATTAAAGTGATTTATGTATCTTCATACCTGCCAACTTTTACGCATTTGGCGTAAATTTTTTTTAGTAAAAGTTAGTAAGTGGTAGTAAATATATACTATTTTTTTCTTTTATTAACTTAATTTTTAAATTATTTTGTTCACCACTATTCTTAAAAAAATTAAGCATATATATTAATATGTGTTACTATCATGGTTGCCAGCTTAAGCTTTTTCAAATACAACATATTTTTTTTGCTTAAAATTGAAATTTTAATACCACTGGGAAAAATCATTATGGAAGGGATTAAAAGTTGGCAGGTATGTATCTTACATTGTGGCTTATGTCTTGTTAGTTCATGCATTTTATATCATTTGCTATTCATATTATTCCGATTTAAGAAACATACACCGCTATTCAATTTCAATTTACAAATCACACACTGTGATATGTGATTTACGCAATCTTAGAGACTTACTGCACTTTTCTTATAATTTCGATTTACATATAGTTTATCTAGATTCATATAAATGTGATTTAAAAATTACGCTTAGTAAAAATTATGCATTTTCACAAAATTTTAAAAATCATGCTTCACATTTTATGGATATATTTTAAAGAAAATAAAGCTCGGTAAGTCTTCGATAGTTATCTGTGAAATATTGTTCTACAATAGATTTTATTATGTCCAAAATACCTTACTAATATTCTAACAAAATCAAAAATTTGATATTATAATTGAAACAGGTATGTTAAATTGATAATTTATCTAATTATATACATTTCCTGTAACCTAAAATTTGGTCTAACATATTAAAAAAAATATTTATAATTTAATAACCATGCAATTAAACAACCTTTATCAATTATTTACTATGCTTGTTTGAAAGAAACTAAATGAATGTATAATATGTGCATTATACATTCATTTAGTTTTATTAATTCTAATTTTTCATGAAAAGTTACACTGATGTTAGTTTGTATTGTTGGATTTTTTTTTTGTCAATTGGAATTTTTCTAAGTGATTTGAAACAGCAATGTATCAATCATTTGTATTATTAGCTGATAAATTTAATAAAAAAAAATTTTGTTGTCAAATAAGCATTGTGATTTTAAAATATACAATTTCTGCTTCTACGTAATTGTAAAATCTGATTGACATGTACTACTTTAGCATATAAGAATAATACCAAATAGGTCCTTGAAAAATTTGATTTTAGGTCCTTGAAAGTCATTGAAAAGTCCTTGAATTTATAAAAAAAAATTGAGTGGGAACCCTGACAATCGTTGTTGCTGTAAAAATAAATTCAAGTTTGATTGGTTAAATAAAACGATCATAGTGATTTAAACTATTAGTAACAATCTATCAGAAGATTGAGGTGATAATTAATGACTGTTTTAATTTAAAATGATTCACTGACAATTAATTTAAAATGATAATTATCAAGCCTTATATATTGCTAAATTTTCTTTAATATAGTTGTGGTCAGAGAAGTTTAAAATTATAGTTTAGAAAAATTTTAATTTCACTATCTAAATGCTTTTGCCACTTAACTATAAAATAAAAATCTCAAAGCAGAGTTAGAAGTTAGGTTTTTATATATTTTATTGATATCATAGTATTACACTCCTACATTTACTAGGATACTCCCACCGCCACCTCCCATTGTCTGCATTGTAAAAGTTCATCTTTTTTTGTCCATTTTCATGCCTGTATATTAAAGTTAGAAAACTATTTTTTGGGAACAGTCTTATGTCCATGCAAATTTGAAATTGTGTGTTTCATTGTTAAGATAATATGCAGGGTTATGTCTCAATATTTTATTGATTTGGAGTATGCAATGATGATTTTTATCTTTTAATATTTGAATAGGAAGAGAGCTTTGAATCATATGATGAGGATGAGGCCCTGTTAAATGATGATGCTGATAAGCCACCTGTTTTTCCCCCTAAAGAGGAAGTAGAAGAATCTAAACCTCAAGAACCTGTATATGATGAAGAAACACAACAACTTGTTGATGGTATGAGTTGTCTCACTTGTTTCTAAATTTATGTTAAAACTCTGTCTAAATCTAGTTTTATTTTTCTCTTTAAAGCTGCAAATGAAGCTAGGCGTTTGCATAAGGAAGCTGTAGACAAAGTGGAAAAAACAAGAGAAGAAATTAGGTAGATAATGTAAAAATATATTAAAATTGCAATATTGCAACTTATTTTTAAGAGTTTGTAACTTGGTTTCCTTATTAATGATTGATCACATATCAAGGCTGGCTAGTTTAAACCAAATGGATTTTTAAAAATCTTTTTAATCATTTAAATTTTTATTATATACAGTGTTTACAATACAGAAAAAAAATGGGAGAGAATTTCTCTCCCTTTCTCAAAAACAGGGTGAGATTTCAAAAAGTTAAGTGAGATTTCTAAAAACTAAAAAAAAACAAGAGTAGACTTGAAAAAAAAATATTTCTTTAATTATAATACATTTTCAACATCTTATAATTTCTAAACCACTGAATATTTTCTGCATCATCATATGGAAAATGTTCTATATTTTCTTTAATCAGCTATTCTCATTAAGTTGCTCAAATGCTCATCAGTCAATCTGTTATAATATTTTGTTCTAATTCGGTTTTGGGAACTAAGTGACCTTGCAACAGATGCTGAACTATTCGGAATCACTAATTAAATTTGTAGCATTTGTGCTCACATTTTCTTATCCTTTACATCTACCAGCATAGGGTTTTCAATTATTTCTGTTTTAGAATAGTGAAGTTCGTTGAAGTTATTTCCATGTTCATACTTCTTGTTAGGTCTTCCAGCATAGTTTTCACAGATTTCAACTTTTATAAATTGCTGTAAATTGTCAATGAGGGAGTTTGGTAATTCATTAACAACTAAAAACAAAGCTAACTTTAAACAACTATGTTTAAAGTAGTTGATAAAGGAATCATTTTTTTTTCTCAACACTTGTCATAGCTGTTTTCATGCTTTTTTTCAAAATGGCGAAAAACGGAAATTTTTTCCAAAATTCGAGAGATTCGCTCATTTTAAAATTAATAGAGTGCGCGAACTTCTCACGTTAATTATTTTTTAGTGCGAGAAAAGAAAAAAATATTCGAGATTCTCGCTTTCTCGCTCTGTAGTGAAAACACTATATATAATTAGTTTAGTTTTAAACGAAGCAATTAAAAAAATTTCTCAGTTATTTAAATTTAAACTGATAATTGAAAATTTTTGAGTTTAGCTAAAGTCTGTATTGCTTTAAATAAACTTAAATACATAATATTTAAATTTTTATGTAGCACTGCATTTGCTGCAAAAAATATCTATATAAAGTAACAATATCAAATTTTAGGTTAAGTCTTGTCTGTAAAAATTTTTTTTAATAAAATGGAACATCGCAAAATGTTCTGATAAGATTTTAAAATGAGTTAATTATTGTTGAATAAGTTTAGGTGAAAAAAATTGTGAAACTTTTTTATTTTCTTAAAGATACATTATATTTAATAAATTAAAAACAAATTGAAATGATGTACTTTTCTGAATTTTTTACGTTGTTTTTCACTTCAATTTTCAATATTTTTCTGTTATCAGTGTAAACAAATTTTTACTGTAAAAATGAATCTCGTGGTTTATTTATTATAATATTTTCCAAAAATCCAAGGTACCCATTATCCAATTTTCGGGCCAATCCAAGATAACAGACAAATCCAATGCAGTTCTGTACTTTAGTAAGAACGCATAATAAAATATGTCTATTTATGCTTTTAATTTCATATTTTGTAATCTGGCAAACTAGTTATGAAAATATTTTAAAATAATTTTGAAAGATCTTTTACTGTAAATAACTGGATGTCTGATCTCGCTACTAGCTTTATATGTTACTTTTTGTCTTTTATTTTGCATTTTTCTTTAACTTATGTTTTTTGTGATATTTTTGTGTTTGTTTGTTTATGTTATAGTTTTGATTTTTTTTTTCTTTGGTGCTCCTCACACTTTTATATTATATTTTGATTTGGCTATATTGATACAATATTAGATTGTACTAATTAGAATGTACAATAATTTGTGAATATAATCGTGTGAGCTGACGAAGAAATTATATATTTTTTTATTTTGTTTTCTGACCTTATAATTTTTTTAAAAAGAATTTTTTAAATAGTTCGGTTTTTTCATAGTCTTTCCTCTTTTCCTTTAAAAAGTATTTTCCCCTTATGTTTCTTTCCATGTTTTCTTTGTATTTTAACTTATAAATATATTTAAGACATTTTAACAAAAAATATTCAAAATTCATTTAGAATTATTTCATTGTATATTATGTTAATAAGCATATTGTTAAACTTAAAGGCTAACTGTTGCTTTCTAGTCAAATGTGGCTCTTTCGGCTTCTTGGTTGTGGCTGTTTTAGATAATTCCAACTTCAAATAGGAAATGTCTAAAATAGGGGTGCACAACCTTTTTGAGTGAAGGGCCACTTGCACAGCAGGTTGGCTAACGAAGGGCCGCACATGTATTGAGACATGTTAATGACAAATGTAGAAATGTTTATTTAAACATTAGCATTCTATTTTTTTGTCAATAAACTTAGTAATATATTTGTAAAAAATTAAAGGTGTTCCATTTTTAGAATTCATTCAAAAATAAAAAAAACTTATACTTTTATTTTACTAAAAGAAAATTGCTATTTTTGTCATATGAACAATAGATTTATCAAAATAAATAAACATTGAAGAAAAGAAATGTTTCTTTTTCATCATATCACGCAATACGAAAATTCATTTTAGAATTACGAGGCGCATCCGAAAAGCAAGTTTCCCTATTTCTTTTTTTAAAAAAAGAACTCGTACTTTCAGGAACATATTTATTGGCAACAAGTACAGCAATGTTTCAGCTATTTTTCAACATAGCCACCACCAGAATTGAGACATTTGTCGTATCGTGGGATCAACTTTTGTATCCCTCTGTCATAGAACTCTGCCGCCAGTAAATGGAACCAGCGTGTGACAGACGTCTTCAGCTCTTCGTCGTTGCCAAAACGCTCACCGGAGGACAGGAATTTCTTGAGGTGCAAGAAAACCTGAAAATCGCTGGGAGCAAGATCAGGGCTGTAGGGTGGATGATCAAACAACTCCGGGCCAAATTTCGTCAAAACAGCTGCTGTGCATCGAGCTGCATGTGAAAGAGCATTGTCATGGAGAAGCACAACACCTGCAGTAAGCATTCCACACCTCTTGTTTTGAATGGCACGTCCCAATTTCCGCAGTGTTTCACAGTAACAGTCAGCGCTTACTGTTTCACAACGTGGTTCTATTCACACGCGGCAGAGTACTACGACAGGGATACAAAAGTTGAACCCATGATACGACAAGTGTCTCAATTCTATGTTGCTAAAATAGCTGAAACATTGCTGTACTTGTTGCCAAAGAGTAGGGAAACTTACTTTCTGGATATGCCTCGTAAATTCTAATAAATAAAAAAAAAACTGCAATAACCATAGAATGAAAGTAGGAAAAAATTTAGTCATAATTAAGTAATATAAATTCAAATTAAATATTTTAGTTGAAGAAAATTTATAGGTTTTAGACAAAAGCCTAAAATAAAAACAAAACTGTGATAGTATAGGAAAATAAAATTCAATGCTTATTTTGTAATGTACTTCATTATTTCATTTTATTAATCTTTATATTTTTTTATATCGTAAATGTTTTCCTTTTTTTTTATCGAAAAAGATCACTTAAGCAACAAAAAATTGAAATCTAAACTACAAACAGTTAGCAGTTTAAAAATTCACTTTTCCCGCCATTTTATGAATTTCTCAAGTTGCAATAACAATGCATTTAAATTAAGGATGTAACGAGTATTTGGCCCTTCCCTGAAAAATTCAGTTGGTTGAATGATCAGTCAAATATTCGGCAGAAATGTTTTAGAAATGTATTATTCAAGTTTTTTTTTTTATTTTTGAATTTTTATAGATATTACTTTTTTTTAAAAAATTATAATCAGACAAGTCAATTTTGTCATTTTTTCGTTACTTTGAGAATTGAGAAGGGATTTTTTTTCCATTTTTTGCTGTTTTTATTATAACCCAGCATTTTAACAGAATGTCTCATACTATTAATTTATTATCACTCTTTCCCTCTACTGTAATATAAATAACCAGTAACATGGAAAAGTGTGATTTTCAGTATTAAAGTTTTGTTTCTGGAACTAAGAAAAATTTGTTTTTTCTGTTTTTCTTTTTTAGGCATTTCAGCATTTTTTTAAAAATAAAGTTACTAATAAAATTTATTTTATAGCAATCTCTTTTCTTCTAAAATTATGGCAATGAGAAAAATTTAAATTGAGATTTTCAGCATAAGATTTTCATTTAAAAAATTAAGAGCGTTTTTTCTAACTTTTTACTTTCTTTGAATAAAAAAAACTTTTTTTAGACGTTTTTATTATAACGCAGCAATATTTAATAGCATTTCTGCTGACTTAATTATTTTTTCTTGGTTTTTTTCTGGTAATTGGAAAACTGAGATGTTCAGCTTTAAAATTTTCTTTCAAAAATTAAGATTGATTTTTATGCTCTCTGTTTCGCTTTTCGACATTTTCAAAAACTTTCTTGATTGGCCTTAATTTTTAGAGTTAATTAATGAATACGTTTTTCCAGGAAATATTATTCTGAGCATTGAAATTTTAGTTTTAGTGTTGCTATGCTGCTAAAAGATTTTGCTATTTGGCCCCAAGTGTACGGTGTTCAGTCGATTTTTGTTCTTTTTTTTTTGCCGAATATTTAGTTTTTAACTGAATCACAATTCATTACCACATTCGACCAAATCATATTCCTTGTGGAAAAAAAAACATAGGAAAAATAACTAGGATTTACAATAAAACTGCACCGAAATATCGTATCAAAAAGTAATTATTTAATTGCGCGATTAACTATCAAGTGTTGTAATAACATCATAGTTAAATAACGGGATCGTCAAAATCATGTGTAAAAGTATAGAAATAATTGGGGGAAAAATTACTTATATTTATGCTGAACTCAGCACGAATAAAGCGTGTCAAATGCACGATTTAAAATTTGCATATTGTAATAGAATCATTGGAATTTTTTATGATATGTGGGAACGCATAGCAATAACTGCCGAAAAAATTTTTGAAAAAAAGAAACAATTGTAAAAAAAATATAAAAAATCACTAAGATTTAAGATGAAATCATCACAAATAAAGTGCACTAAAAAGTGATTATTTAAATCGGCGATCTAAAACTCGCACCGTAATAAAAATTCCGGATTTTCGAAATCACGTAGAAAAGCGGAAATAACTGTTTAAAAAAAATCTTTTATATTTACGATAAAATCGGCTTAAAGAAAGCGCATTAAACGTACATTTACTAAAGAATCTCTTAAAATTGTGTCAAAACGTGATGACTTAAAAGTGCGATTAAAAATTCCCATTTTTTAAATTTTTTTTTTGTGTTTAGAAGCTTTCGCGGACCACACTTCAGTAGTCGAAGGGCCGCATTTCGGCCGCGGGCTGTGCACCCCTAGTCAAAAAGCTAACAACTCTGATATTTCGACACAGAAGCCTTTTTATTCGTTATTTGGTGTATCAAGTTAAAATTGCATTGTACTGATTCTAGTAAAATTTTTACTGATGTATTGATACCTGGGCCATTGAAATGATTTCAGTACAATTAACCACAATAACACTGACCTAATAAAATGAATAATAGTTTACCTACCTGTACACCTTAAGTTTAAAAATTGTTGTTCTTAAAGAAATTTCAATCATTTAGTTGTTAATGATTGGCTCTGTTTACCAATGAATTAGCCAACAACTGACCTAACCATTGCATACAAAGTAATGCATCTTAACATTTAAAAAAAAAAAAAACAGCGTAAGGTACCTCAATTAATAGATAGCTCTTTCGAATTCCTCATAAGAAAAACGTGATCCAAGCAATCATGACTACTATGATTATCAAAATTAAAAAATAAATAGAAAAATGTCGTACAAACAAAACCCACCCTGTGATCATTCTAACATATATATCCTGTAGTATCTTATCTAACCCACCATTATCTAAATATAATGTATTATTTATGGAATTATATTATAATCTAAATTTCTTTTATGATAATTCTACTCTCGACATAATAAATAGGTAGAAAAGAGATATTAAAACACCACTGAAAAATTAAATAAGAAAACTGAAATTTTCACCACGCAAGTTCAAGTGTAAAATAACTTAGGTTTTTGTTAATCATGTGGATTTAAATACTTGTAACATTTTCTATAGCTTTGATCTTTTTTTAACTTTTCAGTTACACTAATTCCTACAAGATAAATTTTGAGACACCTTGAGTATTAATATCTAAAAATATATTTATTTCAGAAATTTAACTGGGAATTCGAATGTATTTATAAAGTTTTTATATCAAAACTAAGTGAAATATCAGAAGAGAAAAAGAAAGGAAAAAATAATGCAAAATGGCTTTAAAAAATTATAATTTCTGAGAGCAAATCAGAACTTCTAAAATTAATGAATAAAATAATGAATGAGTTTCTTACTTTAAAATTGCAATTTTGTTGAGTTAGTTATCATGCTGTAAAAATAAATTCCATAATTGTTTTCAATACACATATTGTCAGTGGATGGGTGTTAAGCTTTTTTGCTTTTTTTTTTTAGTTTAATTCTTGGTATTTCAAACCTTTAGTATCAAGGTTCACTGGAGAGTAATTTATCTTTTTAAGATTTGAAATAATCAATGAATATTTTTCCTAAGTTAATGTTTGTATCTATTAATTGACATCAAGAAAATCAAATGCTTAAAGCTAAAAATGTAATACTTCTAAGCTAACCTGCTGGAGCTTTGAGGTAAATGGCATTAGCATTAATTTAATAATTATTTCATTTAAGGGACAGAAATTAGTATTTGTTTCAAACATTTGTGACAAGACAACTAAAATTTAAAACTTTTGTTTTTCTTTCCTTTTGTATCAATATCTACACTTATATTTATTTATTTCATTTTACTGCTCTGCTCAAGAATATTCATCATTTTAGACTTCTATAATAAATATTTTCTATGCCCAAATTATATAATTATCATTTATGCTACTGTTTATTTTTTCTTTCATTAAATAGTAATTTTATACTGTTTGAGGGGTTATTGTATTCTTTTACTCTATATTAGTTCTAGTAACTTCTACTAAAGATTCTTTATATATTTTTTAGAAAACTCCTTATACATCAATTGGCATTTATAGTAATTTATTTCATGATTAATACCCAGGTTTGATTTTCAGATATAATTTATCTTAAATTGATCTAAATTTTCTTAGAAAGTTAGTAAGGGCTTTAAAAGTTTCTGAGTTGCTAAAAAATCACTGCTTTTAAGAATGATTAAACCAAATGTTACTCAACAGAATTTAATGAGTTTTTATTTTGTAAAGTATTACCAAAAAAAAAAGTGTAAATATAAAACTAATTTCGATAACTTAAATTTTTTAAAATTAATCACATTTCTTAACCCACTGACGGTTCTGCATGTAAAAAGTCTTATTTTAACCTGCAGTCTTCACCTCATAGCTAAACCGGTTTTTCTATGTTATTAGATAGGAAAATAGTGTATTGGGGAGAAACATTCTCCCAATCTTGCCCTTTTGCTAAACCGCCAGTGGGTTAAGAAAAGATACTTATTTTCTGGAAAATGCAACAAATATAATTTTTGTGTTTAATAGAAGTTTAAAGTTATATAAAATTGTGATTGTCAACTATTAATTGACAGTTTAAAATGAGAAGCAAATTTATACCATAAAATTGAGTATCTTATATTTTTCTATTCAGTTTTTATTTCTTTGAATTTATGTTCCTGAATCTTGTTTTAATATTGAATGTGACTAATTAAGCAAATATTTTAAATTATGCCTGGATATGTCAGTAATTTGTTATGAAAGATCTATATGTTTAAAATTTACTTCTCATTAAAAAATCAAAATATATTACATATAATTATTTAGCTCTAATCATTTTATACTTTCCTTATTTTAGACGTCTTCAAGCTGATATTGAAGCTGATTTTGGTAAAAATGAAGAGTTTGCGGTACTGAAAGGTCAATGCTTTGATTTTGAAGATCGATATTATACTTATAGGTTTTGTCCTTTTGATAAAGCTAGTCAAATAGATAAATCAGGAGGCTCTGATGTTAGTTTAGGGTAAGTACTTTTTTTAAAAATGTTTTTATTTTAATTTCTAGCTTGTTTTTATTATTTTTTAATTTTATTATTTATTAAATTTTTTTAATTAAATAATCATTGCATTTTTTTTTAAAAATATGAGGTACATTTTATGTTATAGTTTTTATTCTTTGTTCAATTCCAAGTTGCTAGCAATTGATTGTTGGTTTTCTGACTTTTTTTCAAACATTTTTTATTTGGTTTAATTTTTAAAAAAAAAATATATCATGATCTTTTAAATTTATTTTTAAACAATTCATGGGTATATATAATTAAATATATTATATACAGTCGAATCCCATTTTTGCGAATTCCTAGGGACCAAAGCAATCGCTATGCAATCACGAAAATTCATTACACAGATATTACGAATTTCAACATTAACCAAAATTATTTTGCCCATATCTTGTAGCTACAGCTTTTTTTGCACCACCATCAACTTCTGATATGATGTCAAGTTTTTTCTTTAATCAAATATTGCTTTTGTTTCTGACCTCATTTCGTTTAAGAATGAAAACAAAAGGTCCACAAACGTTGTTACTAGCAATGCAGTTGGAAACTGGTTCAACATCCTTCTCCTGCAGAATTCGTACATGGTGCTGCACACGGCACCCCCTCCATAACTTAGAATTCTTAGAACAATTCTCCCACCTCTATTCAACCACATTCAAGAAAACAAGAGTTGTCCCAATAAGGGTGATCATATCTAAGCAATCATGTCATTCTTAACAAGCCCTTTCAGAACTGGAAATCACTCTTTTGGAAAGCTGCATGTATATTTACTTCAATTATGAATGGGTAGGGGTTGAGTCTTTTCAGGGTGGTCCCTTCCGAGTGATTAATCTTTTTTGGCATATCCCTTTCATATCTGAAACTGTTTATTTTGAAGAATTTATTTTATTTTGAAAATATTTGAATTCTGAGAACAATATGTACTTTTAAATAATGGAAAAGTGTTTTGATCATGAGAGAAAATGAGAAGTGCAGCTTATTTTCACCTTCATTAAAAGCGGATTATCAATTTCCTAATATAAGTATTTTTAATCCATTGTTTCTATGGAGATTTGGAAAATATTTGTTACATTTAAATTTTTGCTATTTCAGATTTTGCTAAAACTGGATTTGACTATATTGATCTATATTATTTTGTGGAATAAGCGGTGTGTATTTTGTGGAATTACCAAATGGAAACTATAGTTTAAAAAGCGGCTAACATAAATATTAAAACCCCAGACAAGGCAGGATATTAAAAGATCAACTGATTAAAAAATAAAAAACTGAAAATTCATGGATGAAAAGAACTAATTTATTGAATATGAAATTTAGTGTGAACAGTGGGGAAAAAAAAACTCAAAAAATAGTGGAATGAGAAATGCATCACTTTTAAAAAGAGAAATCTGCTTCATAAAATAATCAATTGCTATCAGTAATAATTAATTGTATGGTTAGATTAATAATCATTCTTCTCCTTTTATTTTTTTTATAAAAGCGGGCAATTATTAAATAAAAGTTGATGTGATTCCACATCAAGCAAACCTTGCAAATGATACCACACTTCTGAATAATCAGAATTTATTCAATTGAAAAATATTGTTTCCTTAAAAGATGTCAATTAGATAAGTATAACAGGCAATAAAAAGACGTTATGTTCAATATAATTTATCGTAATAATAATGTATTATCCAAAATTATAAAAATAATTTATCATAATAAGTCAAAGATGACAAGAATTGACTGGATAAAGCTAAATTAAAAATAATTCCTAACATGTTAATAATCTTGAGGCCGAAGTTTCAAGTTCCTTAACTCGGATATCCAAGAGATCACGCTCCAGAAGTGATTAAGAATAATGATAAAAGAATTTTGAGGATACACCTAATGACGGTTGGTCAAGAAAAAAAATCAGATTATTTTTTATTAAATCCTCTAATGCGCAAGCACAAATTGCGATATCACAGAAGAGTGAAATTCAATAATTTGATAGTGTCAAATTTTCTGACAATGACAAATACTGATAAAATTGCATTTTTCCCTTATAGTTCACTGGCTTTTCTTACCACATCTCACTTTACCTAACAATTCCCGGAGCTTACGAATCAGTCATTTTACTTTAACACAATATCGTTCAATTTCCGAATTTTCATTCTAGATTCTAAATTTCACAGGATCGGAGTTTAGAAAATAATATATATGTATTCATTATTTTTATTTCGTTTTTATTTTTTTAAACCCCATGTTCTTATAAGGAGTGGAAAAACTTTCTCGTGTTTTCAATTAAATGCTACTAATTTCTTTTATATTTAATCTACTTTTTTAAGCAATACTCTGAAAAAAAAATACTACTCAAATTTGAAATCGAACAGATGTCTCTTTGGAACCAGGTAATTTGTACCAATAAAAAAAAATTATTTTATTTTGATAAATTATGAATTTTATCAGTAGTAGTTCAGACAAAGCATGGATTTTATATTTTTCCCTTACTAGCTCAGCCATTTATGTTTTGAGTTATAATTTACTAAATTCTTCTGATTATTTTTTAAATGATAAAATTCAGCTTAACTACATTCCTTCTTTATTAATGAATGAAAAATAGCCGTATTTTAATTGTTTTCCAATTAATATTTTGCATTTCTGTTTAACTTTTTTTACTTTTTCTTAGTATTAGGGATATATATTTCTTTTTATTTCTCTTTCACCTTCTGTTCATTGATAGATGTTTGCAATGCATTTCCCGACCCCCTCTTAAATCAAAGAGAAAACAAAATCATCTTTGCCACTCCTATATGTTTAATTGATGGCAGCTTATCAGAAAACAACAGATTCTTTTGGACACACAGGAGAAAATATAATATCTGTCCCTTCCCTGCCCCCTCTCCACCTAAAAATCTTCTAGGTCACTGATGAAAAATTAAAATTTTCTTTTGATAAACAGGAAAAGAAAATAGCATCAGTCACCTTTTCCTCTACTAACTTCAAGGATGAGTCATATTTCTTCTTTTTTTTTCTCAATCGTACTAGTTCAAAATAGCAGGAATACCAACAGAAAAAAATTTTGGTTTCCCGGTTTTTTAGATATTGGATTAATGGTTCTGTACTGTATTAATAATTGAAAAAAAATGTTAATAAAGAGGAACTACCATTCACAATTTGATTTATGATTTATTATGTGAAGAGGTTAAAATCTAAATAGGGTGTAATTTTCTCTAAAAATTTTGCTATCTTTCATAGTAATTTTTTTCTTTTTAAAGACATTTTTTTTTTTTTTTTTTTGAATCTTAGGAAATGGGGATCTTGGATTGGACCTGAGGAAAATAAGTACTCAAAAATGAAATATGAAAATGGACAGATGTGTTGGAATGGTCCTACTAGATCTGTGACTGTAAGTGTTTATTTATTTTGTATTTATTCAAGTTCTTAAAACTAGTAATGTTGTTTTGTGGTATGTTTTCCTAATCCTGTAATTTCAAAAAGCAAAGTGTTCTTTTTTTTTGTGTGTGTAAAACTTGAAAGTTTGGACGCAAGCTCATATTTAATATCTTAAAATTTGTTTACGAATATTACGTGGCTATAATATCTTACCAGTTTTTTTGTGAGTATTATTATTAAATTTCATGACTGGAACTTTATTTTTATATTTATGAGATAAAAACATTAATTTGTCTTTTTCTCATCAGGTTTTACTGCAGTGTGGTCTTGAAAACAAACTATTATCATCCAGTGAACCTAATCGTTGTGAATATCTATTTGAATTTAGCACACCCTCTTTGTGTTCTTTACAATTAAATATGCCTAATATGCACCAACATGAAGAACTATAGAAATTTTAGGGATGAACTTATATAAATAAAACTTATTTTTGTGGTTGTATCTATAAATTAAAGAATATAACACAAATAGTCATGCTCGCTATATAACTTTCATAATAACAAACAAAAAATGTACTTTTTTATTGTGATAATTCAGTTGGAAACTACTTATTATAAACAAGATATGCGAGTGTGAATTATATATATTTTCATACACAAGTGCTGTTACTGAACAACTTTTAATTAAAAAAATTTCTTTTTGGATTTAGTTTATTTTTGCATATTTTTTAAACATTTTTTTTAAATCTATACCTTTTAATGTGCTACAATTTTAAAAAATGTTTCTCTTAAAAATGTATTTATGTTACACGTTAAATAAATAATGAAACTCTTAATTATATGGGGATAAACATATTTATAATTCAAAAACTTTGTAATTAGACAAAATTTACTAGCCAGTCATTGCGATAATCAACAATAAATAGGATAAATAAAATTTCAAAAATTCTATGGGGTAATTAATTTAATCTAATTAAAGAATTATTTATTCTATTAAATTAAAAGAACTCTATAGGGTGCTGAATAAGATATATATTCAAGGAATTTGAATCTGCAATAATTTTTTTTTGCAAATAATTTATAATATTACAAATATGTGAGGGTAAAGGCACATTTTAGTCATATTTGTTTTTTTAAATTTTACATCGAGGTTAGTAAATTAGGACATTGTTTCTATTTCTAAGTATTGTTATTACATATATAAATTTACCCAATATCTATCATGTACTGTTCCTATTCATATCTCTGCCTTTTTCTATTCTNTTTTTTTTTTTTTTTTTTTTGATCTCATTAAAATAATCTGAAAATTTGATATATTGCTCAGCTTTCTTTGTGCTATGCTTCAAGTTCGTTATAAAAATGTAATATTTATGCTTTTGAACATTATGCATGCATTTTTAAAGATTTAAGGTTAAATTTGCTGCTATAATTTGTGTATGTAATTTTGAATTTCATTTAAACTAAAATTTGAAACAATTTTTTAAAAAATAAAATTTAAATATTTGTTGTAGTTTTTTGTAATTTAAAGTTACAATAAATTAAATAATCATCATGTATTGTTATATATAATTTTAAATGTATTAAAACCTCAAATTTCTTTATGTATTTTGTGGAGTTATGAAACTGATGAGAGACTCAAACTTTAAATTTTTTGAAAAAATTGTTTCCCCCNCCCCCCCCCCTCTCAAATTACTCTATTTTCAAAATGGTCTGGTTTTTTTTTGTACCCTTTATTTTTTAATTTAATAACGTTTTTAATCTTTTGTATCTCAGAGACAAATCTTAATATTGTGTTAATTAATGAAATCCAGACTAATTTGTTGATGCTTCAACGAATCAACATTAATTTTTATACTATTAGATGTATTAATGGAGGCTTTATCATTTAGTAAAATGTAGATTGGGAAATAATAATAATCTATCATTTTGTGTTTTAATCTAACTTTGAAAAGTACTCTAGAAATATCCATTAATGCGGAAAATCAAACCTAAAAATTGATAATTTTGGTGATTCTTTATCTAACTTATTTGTTTCTAGAATTTCTAATTTGTTTATGATAAAGATTATTTCAAAAAGTTTTTTTTTTCATATGAGCCCCTGTGTGTGGTTCTATCTTGCTTAAATATTGTCTCTGGGTGTCTTTTTAAATTATTATATATAATCAATTATTAAAGTAGTCATCACATTAATTTAGGTATTAAATCTTCTATGACTTACTTTCTTGGTGACTTAAAAGTTGTTAATCTTGTTACATTTTACATCATTAATATGTTTTAATTTTACAGCAGCTTTTTGATAACTTTATTTACTGTTTGCTTTTTATAGAGATAAATATATTTTGTAATCATAATATGTGACAGTTTAATGTGTGTACATAGATATAAATCTTATATTAAATTAAAATAGTTCCTTTCTATTGTACAATCATTTTTAGATAGACAATTTTTTATGATCAATTAATAGTTAACTTTGTATGAGATAATATATAATTTTATCAATATTATAACATTCTATTACATTATAAGTCCAAATTGTTGGATAAGTTAATTTTATATTTAATAATGGTATTGCCACTAACCGATTCATTTATTGTACCTGTATTAATTTCATTTGCAATATAAGCTCTGATGTGATCTGTATTTTTAATTAGGCTTTTCTCTGTTATAGAATTAAATTATGTTGTATATTTCATGTATGTGATATAGTAAATGAAGTGTATATCAGGGCTCCAAAAATTCTGTTTTTACATGCTTAAACATCTTTTTCAAATACTTGTTAATGAAGTGATCTAAAGGTACCTATATGAATCATTTAAAATAATGCATTTACCTCCTCACTTACCAGAACAACAATTGAAAAATGTATTGGTAAGTAGGAATGAATTTTAAACAAGCTGTAGATATTAATAATAAAAAAACCAGTTCTGACATTGTGAAATTTCATGAAAGATGCAAAGCAGATGTTAAGTTAAAGCTAAAACACATCTTCATATCACTTCTCCCTTTGCTTTTACAATTCAATTTCAACTTTAATATTTGCTATTTTTTATGCATAGCATTTGAAATAAACTTTTTTCTTTAAATAAAGCTAGGCATGATTAGAGAATTAAAAAAAAAACATATGATGAAATAGTTTAACTTTTGTTTTATAAATTTGAGGTTGAGGTTGCATTTGGTCACTTTTTTAATGTATTTCTAATTACATATTTACTCACATCTAGCATGCAAGACAATAATATTTTTAAGGCAATGTTATTGTTAAACATAATTTTTTATATTTTTATCTCTAAATGACTCTTCTAAATATTTTTTTTATCTTTATAATGAATTCCTATTCTCTAAATGAATTACTTTTGAGTCCTGGTATTTATCTTACATGGTATTATTTTTTTAAATATTTTTTATGAAGTAAATTCCATATAAAGTTTGAAATTCCAGATTTTGTTCCCTTTTTTTGTCATTGGGGACAATATAATCACATTTTAAACAGCACATGTAGCACAATTCTGATTATAATTTTTGAAAAATGTTATTTCATTTCAATAGTTTGAAATACATTCAATGAACATTTTATGCTTAAAATTATACCCGTTAAAAATTAGTTTCTTTAATTATCTTAATATTTAAGTTAGAATTTAATTTTAGCAAGAGATGTTCCATTTAATTATTACTTATGTTTGTGATAAAGTAACATGATATTTGAACAAAAACTTGTATATTAGAAGTATTTAAAATTTGCAAAAATTTTAGTTAAAGCAGCAGTGAAAAAATTAAAATTCTTTCCAAACCATTTTTCTAGAAAAATAGCTCATTGGCACCCCTCTTTATTTCTAATGTAGTTTAACAAATTCTAGGAAAATTTTAACTTTTTGCCATAAGTTAATTTTTTAGTTATAATTTAATAAAGAAAAGTAGTTTTCACCAGTCAAAAAACCTGTTATTTCTTTCCTCTTTTAAAAATTAACTAATTCAACAGCAATAACCAAATGTGATGTAATTTTTACATCAAATTTTTCACTTGAAATTAGCTCCATGATATTTTTTTCTGTCATAATCATCGAAAAATTATATAAAATTTGCTTGTTATGCTTTAAAAACAAAAATTTAAAGCATTACTGAATAGTTATTGTTTACTTCTGTTGATAAATAACTAATACTGTAATTGTTAGGGAAGTAATTTTTCTGTGTTGAATCTATTTGAAATTAAATTTATATATATTTGGCAAAATATTGTTTTTTTTTTATACATCAAGTTGGGTTTTTTTTCTTGATATATAATACCTTTATCTCAATCTAAGTTTAAAAGCATTTGATTAGAATTTGTTGTTAATATGCAATGATTGAACAAAATGCTTTTTATAAATAAATGATGTTATCATTCCATTTTCAATTGTGTGTTTTTATTGCCTTATGCTTTTTTTATTGATTTACTTGTAATGACCACAAATATTTTTTGTGGAAATATTGTAAATTTAATTTCCTTTTATATATTATTGCATAATATCTTTTTTCTTTTCATTAATATATGCTTTCTATCACACAAAGAAACTGCAGTTTGTGTAATTTATTTTAGAATTTTTCTTTATATAGATTGTGAGTAATCTAGAGTAATTTATCTTTGTAAACTACACTTTATAAAGGGCTCTTTTTTTCTTCATATATGCAAAATATTGTCCCTGTTTATTGCTTCATAATTCAAATCTTTACACACTAAGGAATTTTTTCAGAATTCTATCATTACGAATGATCTTCTGAACCATATATATAGCGTTTAAACAATTTGATTGTCTACATATATTTCTACTTCTAACAACTTTTCCCCCCTCAAGAATTTCATGCATATTTTTTGTTAGAAAATTATGATTTTACAGATGACAGATCATAAAACCATTTATCATTTGCTCAAAAAATCATATTTGTAAAAATATAATGATGCATTTTCTAATAATGATATTCCTTTATTTTATTTCAGTTTTTCTTCATATTTATTAAAGTAATTACAAAAGTTTTGGAAAATACTCAAATTTCATTTGTTGAAAATACAGTAAAGTAAAGCAAATTGGTCTTTAGCTGTTCATTTCATAGCACTTTAAATTTTTTAAAACTGCATAAAAAAATTTTAAAATCCCAATTAAATAAGTAACAAAAAGGATCATTTAAATTTTCCCTTTGTCGAAATGATGCATTTTAAGTTATAAATTTTAAAAGTCATGAAATGTCAATTTAAATAAGTTGCAAGAGTAAGTATTAAGAAAGTATATAAACTTTCTTATAAGTTAAGATTAGATTGTTGATCTCTTGCACACACATTATACCATATTCATCAAACTTAACTTTTAAGATACCTTTAATCAAACTTCTAAGTGTGACCTTTTTGTTTACTTTATCTTATGTAATAAGTTTTTTTTATCAGTTATCATAGTTATGTTTCATTGTTATTTTTCTTAAAATTTTATGAATTTCGGTTTTTAGCAATCCACTTGGTATGGAAGCCATTCATTGCATAAATTAATTCCATTAAACAAAAACTAGAGAAATGGGATGAAACTATGCATTTTTTATATAAATAAGAAATTGAGTTTAGAATATAAATTTAAATATTGTTGAACTTATACATATAGATTTACACATTACATGTAGATATACAGATGTGTATATACAAGTTTTGTTTTTATCTAACCATATATAAAATTAATAAGAAAGAAAAGTAAAAAAATAATAATGCTAGTTTTTTAATGACTATGGAATTATTTGAAATTGGCAAGTAAAAAAAGCTTATGTTAAATTCAGTGTTCAAATTTTTGAAATTTTCATAATGGAAAAAAAATAATTACTATATATTTTTATTAGATTTTTCATAAAAATAAATATCAGTTCTGCAATGTTCTCTCTAAGCGTTTTTACAGGAGGGAGGGGTTAGCGTTGACGTCCTTTGATCCCTATAAATGCACTCTCTTTGCAAGATGCACTTTTTGTGAAAACATCCCTTAAAAACACAGCATTTTTTTTTCGAGATAAGGTTTTTTTAACCATCTATTTTAATGAAAAGTTCACTTCCGATTTATTTAGTCATTGATTTAACTTCCTTCATTTCAGTGAGATTCTTCTTATGTTGTCTAGTTATATTCACACAAAACTTGTTTTCTTTCAATAATTTATTAACAACACAAATATTTTTTCTAATTTTATAACAGTCGCTTAATAGTCGACCCAATTTTTTGGTTTGTGACTAATGTTCAACTCCGTAGCCTTGTAATTTTGAACCCAATCCAGAAGACAAGGGAAATCCTGGATCAAGTATTGGGAATAATTTACCTTCGTGGAGGACTTTTTTTAAGATTTCTCAGATTTTAGTTAAACTAACCTAGAAGTAACTAACCTTTGTTAATATATACTTTCTGAGGATTAAATTAGATTGAATAATGTTTTATTTTTTTATTGCCGAGCATCTGAATAATGTTTGTGTATATAGAGATTGAAACAAATTGAATCAATTAAAAATAGTATTTCATATATTTTAATCTATGAATATGTATTTTGTTGTACAAACTAATATAGTCACTTGAACAGATAATATACTTGATTGTTCAGTTACTTGAAATTCACCCCCAACACCAACTTTAGGTTTATAATTTTATAATAGTTTTTCTTTATTAGCCATCACAATAAACAGTTCCATCCATGCGCAGGGTCAGATGGTGATGCATTTTTTTGTCTGTAGCTAAAGGAACTGTATCAGGTGTAACAGCATCATGTGTGACAAACGTGTAACTTTGATAAATAGCTCCTGATGCAGTGTACATTATAGAAGATGGTCCACTTTGCTCAATGATGTCTTCTTGGTGCCTGAAATTATCATCGTACCTGTCGAAGAAACAGGAAAGACTAGTTAGAGACACCGTGGCAGGGCTGAATTGGATGCCGTTGGTAATGATGGTATGGGTGAAAATAGGCACTGGAATGAAAAAAATATTAATTGTTTGAAGAAAAAATTATATTGGGTCATTAAGTATGAAATGTCCGATTACCTAAAGCCTCGAGTTTGATACCAGATGTCTCCGATATTTCATTTCGATCGTGCTTTATTTTTTTTTGCATTAAGAAGGTACGCCATCTGACTTTCTAATGCACTTTTTTGTTTTTAATAGTCTATCGTAGTGTCATCTGGAGGTTAAATATTGTAAGCCATGGATAAGACAAAAATGCGAGATATTTTCGAATATGCGTTCTGTGATGGAAGTAATGCAGCTCAGACAAGCCGAAGTGTTTGGCAAGGATGTAGCTAATGAACTTACAGTACGTCGATGGTTCATAAAATTCCGATGCGATTGCGATTTTGGTCTTCAAAATGAACAATGCTGGCAGCCTGAGAGCAAGGTGGATGACAACCAACTGAAAGGTGTAGTGGAAGAAAATCCATCTGAAACAACGCGTGAACTAGCATCAAGGTTTGAAGTTACCATCCCAACAATATTATGTCTTGTGAAAGCAATTGGAAAAGTAAAAAAGCTGGATAAGTGGGTTCCACATGAGTTGAGCGAGCGTCATCAATGGAACCGCTTCGAGGCTTGCTGTTCTTTGGTATCAAGACTAAAAGTCGATCCATTTCTGCACCGGATAGTCATGTGCGATGAAAAGTGCATACTTTTTAATAATTATAAGCTTTCGGCACAATGGTTGGACAAAAATGAAGTGCCAAAGGACACCCAAATGCCGAGTATACACCGAAAAAATCTAATGGTGTCTGTTTGGTGGTCCAGCGTAGATGTTAAACACTATAGTTTTATGAAACCTGGGCATTCGATAATGGGGGACCTCTACTGTGAACAGTTAGAAGAAATGATGAGGCAGCTGCAAATTAAGCAGCCAAGATTGCTCAACAGGGACAGACCAAACCTCCTGCAGGACAACGCTCGACCACATATTGCATGATGGACGTAAGTAAAACTACAGGAACTGGGCCTGGAAACCTATTGTCACCCACCGTACTCGTCAGATCTCGTGCCAACTGATTACGATTTTTTCCGAGCTTTGGACAATTTTTTGCAAGGAAAAATATTTCATTCCCAACATGCGGTGTAAAATGCATTTTGAGATTTCATCACCAACTGCTCTCCAGATTTTTTTGCTAGCGGTATTAATAAGCTTTCGTTAAAATGGCAATGTAGTATTGATAGTTTAGGTGCATAGTTTGATTAATTATGTTACTTCTTACCCGTGATATAATAAACCAAACTTTCGGTCTCAAATCGGACGTTTCATACTTAATAATCCGATAAGTAATGTCCCTTTATTTTGTATTATGTCATTCAACAGAAAGAAAAATATTGACTGTCATTTTTTAATTTTTATCTGTATTTTTTTATACTTAGTCCACCTGCTCTTTTTTCTCTTTCAAAAAATAAGGGTAACTACCTTTTAGTTTAAGCTTTGACTTTTTCTCAGTGTCCTGCAAGCAGGCAGAAACCTGATATCTGAAATGGTTTTTTTTATAGTGTGGGTTCCACTAAAAATTATTGCTGTGAGATGATTCAATCATCAATAATTTGTAGAATGCTTTTTACATACGCAATAAAATTGAATTTTTAATTCATAAATTATCGTTGAAACTAACTCACTGAAAGGACCCTGCACTGATCAGTACTCTAGTCACTTGAAATGTTTTTTGTTTACTTTTCAAGAACATTACCGTTACATAAATAAATACCTTATTTAATTAAAAACCATTTAAATCTATACCAAACTTAATAAATTTTGATTTCAAAAATTGAAAGGAAATAAGATTCCCTGAAACATTTTCAAAATAACTTATTTTCAAATTTCTTAGAGTTAATTATTTTAAGTTTAAAATAAAACTGAGTCAGGATTTATAGATTTTACTATTTTCCTGCTGTTTCTCATTAACCACCATTTTCTTAAGCTTAGAGTCATTTTATTGAAAATTTGTTTCGTAATTTTGAACTTACCCATGGTACTGATGCTGAATTGATGATTGGTCTTGACTAACAATCAAATACTGAAAATAAAACACCTTTAAGTACTATAAAAATAAAAACATATTACTCAGTACTTATTCATTAAATGTTATTTATCTAAAAGAAGGCCAAAATAGCTTTCTTATTTGTTAAGCGGGCAGTATTTTTGAATACTTTTTGTTTCGTGTAATCATTGAAATAGGCTCTATTACACCTAATTGCTAATTATTGTGTTTTAAATTTTAGGGTATTTTATAGTTTTTAAAGGCTATATACTTTAGCAAAGTTTTAAAATAATTTATCTTAGAACTGAAAATTATTGGTAGCAAAGTTCAATAGAACATTTTAATGAATAAAATGAAAGAAAAATCAATCTTATGTTTATTAGTTAATTAAAAAAAGTTAAATAATTTTTCCTATGGTAACATAGAGGAAACAGAATCCTTTTTTCATCTTTGAAGGATCTTTTGATATAAAAAGTAGCATCAATTCATTAGAATGAGAGTGAAATGCTTTCCTATGGTCTAGATCCAACTCTGTACTAAAATATTCCATAAAAAAAATTATTTTTGAATATTATGAAAAATGTATATGTGGTATTTTGGAATGAGAATTTTAATGTTATGATCTTGAATTCTCAAATGAAAATACAGCTTGTGTGAATAATGAAATTGAGAATTTGGAAAAAAATACTAGTCATCTTATTTTTTCAATTAATATTTAGTCGATGAATATCAAATTTAAGTAGTACAAACACTATTTAGATTTTAAATGTACTTTTGTGTTAAATTTTTTTAATATGCTTCTATAGCTATAATATGTGGTTTTGTCTTATTTTCTTATTGAACCTAAATCTATGTTTTTAACAAGGTTCTACAATAGTTTGACGAATTGGCAGAAAAGCAAACTACTATGTTTTTATAGTCAAGATTATGGTCTTACGTTTGAGTAATAGCCTTTATATGCAAAGAAAATGCAAAATTTATTCTGTATAACATATTAAAAATAGTTTTTGAAGGGAGTAAATTTATACTGAGCTATTTATATCTATTTTATTGTTTATAATGTATCAATATTTCACATTTAACAAACATCTGACTTTATTATTGGTGTATAAGTCTACCCTTTGACTTTGGGGATTTGAAAAGTTAGCTTATACAACCAAATAACAGTATTTTTTATTTAAAAGCTTTGCATCAATATGCTTAAGTTTCTAAAATTTTATGTTACAAGATATTAGACTAGCACTTTCATTTAATATGTTTGTTATGACAAAAATATTGTAACAGGCATTCGGTGTAAATGAAATTTTATAGTCTATGAAAAAATCTGGAAATCTAAAATCATATTAAAATTAGTGATAGTATATATCATTCCCTGGCTGAATTGATTTGTAATTTTTAGAATTATCTTAAACTCTCTTATGAACAAGCTCTTGCATTAACATGTATAGCAAAATAAGGTTCTTAATGGGGCTCATTTGTTTTTATTAAAACATTATAGGCACTGATGTTTGTCAACTATAATAAAATTGTTGAAATAAATCAATATTTGATCAAGTGCATTTTAACTAAGACATAATTTTTCCCTTACAGTAAATACAAATTTTAATATTATGTTCTAGGTATTATGTTAATAGGTACTAAATTAATATCTTCAATGCATACAAGTTTAAAATAAAAATGTAAGTACATGAAATACGAAATAAAGGTTTGTTTATCCTAGGGAGGATATCGCATTTTAAATAATTTCATTATTAATGATGTCTTATATACCTGTGCAGTTTGCTGATAATTATATGCTTTGTTTTCATGCCGAATTGAAGGATTCCACGTTCTACGGTTTTCACAAATATTGTTACTTGGATAAGAGCTGCAGAAAACAAAATTAAAATTTAGAGCATCTTATTAGGTAAATATTGAAAATTTGTTTAAAGTAAAAGTTGAATTTAGAAACTAGTATCATATTCAGCTAAACAAAGTTTTTTACATAATTTAAGACTATGTAAACGTGTCACTTTACTTTTTTTGATTTCCTAATTTTTCTTTCTGTGAAAATTTGACCATGATCTGTGTTAATTGTCGTAATAACATTACACCCATTTTAATATTTCATATACATAATTTCTAGAACGAAACAAAACTATTAGTCTGGCTGCTATACAAAAACACTGAAGTTTTAAAAGCATTGTGACCAACTAAGTTCAAATGAAATAAAATGGGTTTTAATTTTAAAAATTATTCTGCCTCAGTACATTTTAAATTGCCCTAAGATTTTTAATTTAATCCTTCTTAGTTTCTTTAGTATGTGCCAGTAGAGGCATGGCAAAAATTCTTTATAATTAATTTACTGTACTATTTATACTAAATATATGTGTAGTTTCACTTATATGGGGCCTTTCAAATATTAAGTCAGAATTTTTTTTTGGCACTTTTAGACTTCTTTCTAATTGTCAGCAAAAAAAAAAATTATAAATCTTTTCCATACTTATACCCAACACCCCTGTTTTTTGTTTTAACTTTTACTGTAGTAATTTTCAAAATTTTGAAAGAAATGAAAATTAAAAGCGTTTCTCTCCCAAATTTGATTTTTTCCAGGTGTAATTTTTATCCAAATTTTTTATTTTTTAAAAAAAAAAGAAAGTAAAAGGATTTTAGTGTCGTGCGTAAGCATTGCTGATATTCCTATTACCTTGATAAAGTGTAAAGAGCGAGAGAATTTTAAAGTGATAGAATTTTTTGCCTTTTAACAAAGAAATTTAGCATTAATAATTTTATTTTGTCATTTGGCAAGGAAATTTAAGAAATCAAAACATTTTTTATGAGATAAGTGCTGAAATGAAAATTGTTGTATATACCCTTCACTATGCTGCTTAGCGTAAAATATTTTTTCATAGACTCAACTTATTAAGTTTTAAATTTTCTTTTTCATAATTTTGATCGGAACGGCATTTGAGAACTTATGAAAAGAATTCGATTTGATTATCTTTAAAGTTTCTAGTAATTATTTAAGTAGATTTTGTACTTTAAGAAAGCTCTAACTGTTAATGACATTTATGGAAAACCCCTTAAGTATTATAACAAAATTTAATATCAAATTACGACCCTACAATGATGGTCTGGACAGCAAAATGCAATAGTATACGAAAAGAAAACATGAAATAAATCATACTTTCAAAGGGTATGGTCCTATATGATGCTGATGTCATTTTTAATAAACTTTAGTTAAGGGTTTTCCACAAATTATATTTTGTACTATTAACTATTTATAAGCTTTCTTTCAAAATTTACAAAAACTACTTTGGAAATTGCTGGAAACTTTTTGAGTTTTCAAGATATTCAAATTGAATAATTTTCATGCTACCAATTAAGATTCCTAACAAAATTATGAAAAAAAATTGTTTTCTGTATATTGTTTTATAAATGGATTAGTTTAAATACTCCAAAAAGTTTAATTTTATTGAATTTTTCTGCAGTTGTAGTTATAAAATGTAAGACAAAAAAAATTGTTTTTTTTTTCATAAAAATGTCTATGAATATTTATGGTAGGGTTATGAAATTTTCTGCAGTTTTTCTTGCATATTATAACCAAAGTGATAAGTGTATCGCTATATTTTTTGATCTAGGGCATTCAAAAAATTGTTTTTTCATGTGTAATCTGTTGGTTTCCTATTCCTTCCATAATTTTATCCAACCTCTGTATATCTTGTATCCATTTTAGTTTCGTTATAGAAAGTAATGTACAATGTGCAAAAAACTAAATACCTTTAATTACTTTTGATCTAATGAACTTATTTTTACATAGCTTTTGAACTATTGAGTATCGAAAAAATTGCATCATTAGATCAAGAGTTATCATGAACTTCTGTGTATCATGAACTTTTTTTTAGACACTCTGAATTTCAAGTCAATAAAAATTGTCTTTGTGGTCATATAGTTACCAAAAAGATTTTTTTTTGTCAAAAATATGAATTTAAAAAAAAGCTTAAATATCAAACCAATTTTAGTTTTCAAGTTAAAAAGTGTATGTTAGAATGTAAAGTAACAGTGAAAAGTTATGTATTTGAAATACACTATCTATACCTACTGACATCAACATGAAAACTTTTGTAATAATTATAGTATTTATTATTATCATTTCAATTTTTAACCAAATCTTTTCATTAAGTGATTATGTAGATTCCAAGTTAGATTAAAGTCTAAATTTTACATTCATGTACAATTTATATACTGTTAGCTAACATTTTTAGTTTTATATTTTTGAACTTGAACATGCAAAGTAAAATTCCTATTGTATATATTTTTTTGCTTTGAAAGAGTTTAAAAATTTATGTTTCTGATCCAAAAATGAAACTGGCCAAGTACAAAAAAAAAAGTGACCACTATGACACCCTTTTTGTAGACTTTGAGATTCATCTTACTATGCAGTATTGTGTTAATTCACTATTGGATCACAAGTTGACATTTATTTAGCCCAATTATAACTTAAGTAAACATATTGGCAATTCATATAAGTTTAATAAAAGAAAACTCAAATTTTATACAACCTCTGATAGCATTCTCCTGGCATCCATTCACTATGTTGGTCATCTGTTGCCAAAAAAATTAAAATTAGTATTCTATTATTGAAATACTTTAAAATCTAAAACTTGTGCATAGTAGGTATCCTTTTCATCCCTGAAATGGCAGAAATGTACATGTTTCACATGTGGTTTCCCTTCTCCTCAGGACAACATGTTATTAAGTTCATGTTGAAACATGTTGATTTTTCTTCCATTTCAAATATGAAACAAATAAGTATTTTATTTTCTAGTTATGTTTATGGCATCAGATTTCTTCAGATAGTTTTGTTTTCATAGATATTTTGATCTAGTTTCAAAATGTTCAAATTCTTAAAGATGTCAATCTAAAAACACATCTTTTTATATACATATTTAAATTAGTTTCTTTTTAATGATTTGAATTTAACTTTTTGTTCACAGCATATTTTCACAATCTGAGTTACAGAAATGGATAAGTGAGAATTGATATGACGACTTAAATAATTATTTGATGAATTACCACAGAGGAATTACATTCACATGCATCTATTAAATGAAAATTACTTGATTTTGTAGTTCTGGATGGTAATTTTAAATAATCGGAAGTAAGTGATAAAACATTGCTTAAAACTGACGCTTGCATTGCTAGCTTGAAAAATTTGACTGTCACTCTTCTCTTACACTTTTAAATCACTTAAAATTTTTTGTTGTAACTGAGTTTATAAGTATTTATGGTGGTGAACAAAAGACTATATCATTTAGAAAAATTAATATTTTGTAATGTTTATGTATAATTTTAAAAACTCAAATTACGAAATTGTTGAAAAGGCAAAATATGAGATCATTTCAGGTTCGATTTGTGGAGTGCTTACAAAGTATCGCTTTATCTGATTTTGTTGGAAATGCAGTCATTAATTTGTTCCACAAACAAATGACAGTTCCGTCTATTCAATTTATGCAAGGGGAAAATGTGCAGCACTTGCTTTAACTAAATAAAGAATATTTGACTCAAGAGATTGCTAAAAAAGTTAACTACAATCAATTTAGTCTCGAAAGTAATTACTGAATAAGAGCGTGAAGCAAGTGATGTTACTAGAAGGGTTCAACTAAAACTACAACTGTCTCCAAACTGTTTTATCATAACAATTCGCGCATATTTTAAATATTTATGAGAAAAGTATTACTTCACTTATCCACAATAGTCGCAGCTTTTTTGCGTACGCCACTGTATAATTACTTTGTACATTTACAATCAATTACAGTCAGCCAAAACCTGGCTCATAGCTCACACTTTTGACTCGCACATTTTACCTGTATAGACAATTGTTCAGAATGTTATTAATCCTCAAATAAATGTCATTAAAAATAAAACATGGAGGTCATTCAAAAACTATTCTCTGTAGTGGCATGCCATTAGTAATAGCAGTGTGCAAAGCACAAATCGTTGTTTCCTCAAGCAATCTGTGATTGAGTAAGCTTCCAGATATACTAGTTAGAGTAACGTACTGTTGCTGGCAATAACATAAAAAATAGAGAATTGCTGTTGAAAATCCCAGCAAGAGCTAGGTATCAGGAGTTAATTGTAACTTCAAGAAAACCATCTACAACAAACATTGCAGTCTGCTAATGTCTGAAGTTAATTTTCACATAACAATTGTCCCCACAGTGCTCGGCAAATATGCAAGTCTTCTTTTTTTCTCAATGCAATTGGGATGAGTTTAAGTATCACCCTTACAGCCGGAACTTGGCCAATTCTGAATAATGTCTCTTTATTGTGATGTAGTATCTAAGGGTTTATTACTTCATTCCCAATGAGGAACTTCAAGCAACTGTGAAAAGTCTGGTTGAAATCACAGGGGACTTATTTTTTTTGACAAAGGGATTGGTTAGTTATTAAAATCCTATGACAAGTGTGCCTTTCATATGAAGAAAAAATTTTTTTTAATTTATGTAGTTTTTCTTCTTCTTTACTCCTAAATGATTATTTACTGAATTGTTATTTAGGTATAGACAGGGTGCGTAGCGTTTTTAAAAAGTGCTTAAAGGTGCTTTTTTCATTGGGTGTTTTTAAAAAGTGCTTAATTTCCCCTTTTTAAAAATGAGATTTTTCCTTTACAATGTTGATTTTTGCTACGAATGATGCAAAAAGACCCAGTTCACATTGACATATTCAACGTTTTCACAATCAATTCAACCCTAATCAATTTCGGCGTATTGTCAGCCCGTAGCGTATGGAAACGCCATTCGTTTTACATGATTCAAAACTTGATGATTTTTGACAACTGTCAAAAATAATGCCAAAAGTTATTATTATTTTTTGACATGATGGTTAAAACAGGATAAAACCGTCAGTTGTCAAAAACTTACCAACCCTGCCTGATTATGATATTTTTTAGTGCTTAAAAATATTCTTTGAGTGCTTGAAAAGTGCTTAAAAGGTGCTTATTTTTAGTTGAATAATTTGGCTACGCACCCTGATAGAAATGAATGATGATTTGCTCACTATAAATTTGAATTAATTTTTTCGATGCCTTTTAATCTGCTAAGATATGACAATTGTAGTCTTTAATTATGAAATCTGAAATATGCAATTCATATTTCATTGCCTTCTGAGTATAATACATAGGAAATCTGCTTGGCTTCTTAGCACAACTAGCATTATTGCAAATTATCGAAAGTATAGTCTATAATGTCCACGAACAATTATATCTATGTAAAGGTAAAAAATACAGAGTTTAATTATTAATCAGCTCTAGTAAACAAGTTATGCCACTTTAGAAGGTCAGGCACGAAAAAAAAATCTTATTTTTTAACAGAAAATGTAGCTACCCCTTCTAAATTCAGATAATTGATAGTATTTGTAACGAGGGCACTGGGTCCACTGGCTCCAAAATACATGTCTCACTTGTCACAAAGTAACTCCATTTTACTTTATTATTGGTAAAGATTTGCAGCTATTAGTACCCAACTCCATAACCTCATAATGAACAAAAGTTGATGTTGAGGAACACTTTATATTTTGTTTCTCAAAAAATTGATATTCAAAATTATGCACAAATTAGTGAAGTTCAAAAGATTAAATTACCTGTAGGTATTTCTTCATAATGAGTAGAAGGTGATGTTGAGGAACACTGGGCGTAATTTTGACTCTGATGAAGATTAAATTGTTCGATGTTATCCATTTCTATACCACTCGATAAACTTTGATATTCTAAAAATGTAGGAAACCGAATACATGAATATTTATGACAGATACAACTAAGGTCATCTCAAAAATTTTTAGGAGCAAGTTCTATTATTCAAATTAGATTTGAAAAATACAAATTATATATATATATATATGTTATAATCTATCTAATTTTCAATCTTGAAAAAAAAAATTTTTCTTTCTAGAGGGGGTGCCCTTAACCTCCCCAACCCTCATCCCTGTTTTTCTTCTGACCAATTAAAAAAATTGTATAGAAATTGCAAATTAGATTTTTTGAAGATTTCTAATTTCAAGTCTATTGTACATAGTTAAGAATTTTCAAAAAATATTTGGTGAGCCCCCCAATATTTTTAGCCCAGCTACGTGCCTGAAGAAAAGATGCAGAATCTAATTTTCATTTAACAGAAAAAGATACACAATCATATTAGCATCTGGCAACAAAATATATGAAATCTTTTGATAAAAAAAAAGTATAAGTTTTTTTTAGAAGGAACAGCTGTTTCACAGCCTATTATTGTCCCCAAGAGCAAAGGAATTTCCTTTATTTTTGCTACTATGGAAGCCATTTAACTCTAAACTACATAAGTGTCTCAAAGTAACCACATTGTAGTGAATCTACCACTATAAATATACAATTCCAATTCACTAGTATATAAGACATGTTAACTCGATTCTATGTTGGGGTACCTTTTCATAGATGAAGGTTGACATTGTCAGTAACAACGATCCCCACGGCATCTTATTACCAGTATGTATTACAGGCATAGATTTACAGCTATCAAAACGAAACTCATTAACCTCGACACTGAAGGAAGAATAAAAACCTTTTGGATCAAGCATTTGGACAAAATAACCTTATTAGAGGACTCGTTGATGTGACCAACCTGCATTTATGTTACATGGAGCAAGAAATCTCACATGGTTAGCCAGGTGACAAGTTGACTCTGACCATAGTTCCTGAGAAATCGAATTTTAAATATACGACGTTTTTAAAATTCGATTTCTCAGTAACTATTCAACCGATTTCGCTTAAATTTTGTATTTTGCTATGTAAAATTACGTACATAATGATGTAAAGAATTGTATGCCTTACAATTCAAAATTTTTGTCTTATTTTTTAAAATAATAAAATATAATAAATATTTGCTAAAATTTATTTTTGCATAATTATCTTTGGATAAACGAATTTTATAATTGTGTGCGAATTTTTTTCACTTTGCTTAAAAATTTCTCATGATATTTCGAAATACGCAAAAGTAAAATTAACATTAAGGGGTCCAAACTTTGAATCGCTATTCTGACCAAACTATAGAGGGCATGTTTCTCATATTGCCGCTACTACCTAGTAAATTAATTTTTCTTTTTGGGGGGGAGGGGGTCAGAAATCTGAATCCGTAGAGAAAAAAGGTATGTTTATTCATAGAAAGTACGTTTCTGTGTCTGGTTTCGTATCTTAAAATATTATCTGCACTAATTAATTAGCATATTTGAAGGCACCTCCCCGAATCATTAAAAATGAGTCCTAGAACGTGAAAATCCGATCATTAGATCAAAAGCTATTCTGGGTGGTTCATTTTTTTAATAATTTTTTTTTGGTGCATGGTACATTTACAAAGAAATCGTTGCTTACTCAAATTCGCTTATTGTCGTAACATATTAAAAATAGCGGAATTTGATTTTTTAAAAAAAATAGCACGCAGAAAAGTTTAAAAAAAGATTCTGAAACTAACAGATTTACAATATTTTTTTTAAATTTATTTTCAACTAGATCAGGCGCGTAATCACAATTGAAGGGCTAACGGGTGGTGTTTTCGGTAAAAAAACAAAAAGTTTTCGGACTAATTTGAAAGCCTTAACGAGTAGAAAGTTAGTTTAATTGAAGCTGAATGTTCTAACATAGGAACTTAGAAAAAGTTTGAGAGAAGAAATTGAACTTTTTCAAACTGTTCGAAAAAACAGAAAGTGATTGCTAAACAATAAAAGCCTAATTACTAATTTAAATGAAACTGAATATTCTGTAATTCTCCTAAGCCCTAGTAAAGAACGATAAAGCCGTAGCTGAGAAACAGTGAGAAAATTTAAAAAAAAAAGAATTTCAGCTTCACAAACAAAATGTAAACGCTTAAATTTGCAATAATGAGCAATACAATGTACAGTGTGCCAAAACAGAAAAAAAAAACGGACCACCCTGAATAACTTTTGATCTAATGATCGGATTTTCAAGTTTCATTTACTCTTAGTTATTCAGGCTGATTTTATTTTTATTTTGGCTCTTTCTATTTTTTTTATAAATAAGTGATAAGATTTTTTTAGAATTTATTCTGAGCTAATATTTCTTTGTCTTCTCATGGCGTGTTTTTCTTTATGAGAAAAGCTGATGAAGAGATGATTATTTAAAACTTAGATAATATTCTAAATCTATTTTCGGACTTACTTGAATATTTACTGCCAAATTGAACAGAGCAAAATGTCAAATTGAGTAGAATAATGTCAAAACTTGAAAATATTTTAGCGCTATATTTTTCCATATGTTTATTTGAATAATGTATAATGCTTCGGAAAAGCATGTCACCAATATTTCACCGAATAAAACAGCAGTATATCTGGTCAATTGTTCATCGAAAAATTTCTGCTGCTTTAATATTTTACTAATCCCTTGAATGTAAAATGCGGTCAATAACATTTACATAAATTGAATTTCTTTAAAACTAAGAAAAGGAGAAATGCTGCGAAGGAAAGGTCATGAATTTTTTTTCCTTGGCCCTGGTTGACACCCTGCTTAATTGTTTGTTTTTTTTGGAGATAGCATTGTATTACTTATGAATTTTAAAAATTTGGTTAGACCCTATTGATTTACAGCGATCCCATTTACATTAGATAATAATGAACTCTATAATAATCGCCTTGTTAGTTCAGGGACAAAACTTAGCTGCTTTAGAACTTCACGTGTATAAAACTTGGCAGATCTAGAACTTAGCGTGTACAAAACTTCGCCGATCCATAAATTGGGCGTTGATGAAACTTCGTCTATCTATAACTTCGCGTATCTAAAACTTCGGAAAAATATTTTTATGAGAATAATTGGATAAATTATTAAAAATTATGGTGAAAAAAATAATATATATAAATTTTTTTTTTACAAATTATTCAGAAAATTAAAGCTTTAAAAAATTAACTTTTCTAAACAACATTAAACATCTTCAAATTAAAATAATAATACATTATATTTTTTGAATTAAAATATAAAAAATAATCCTGTATTTATTAATTTTAAAAAATTAATTATTTTCTTTATTAAACTTAAATTATGAATTTGAACCAATTAAAATTATATAATATATAAAATTTTATTAAAATTAATGCATAAATTAACTATCAATTTAATGTTAATTATTAATTTAAGGTTTTAAACTTGCAGAAGTTATGTCTACGCCAAGTTTTGTGCAGCTTTGGACCCCTAAGTGTTAGATCTTAATTTTAAAAAGAGTGTTTCATCTTGGCAACTTTTCCATGTTAAAAAATTTTCTATATGAATTTGAAAATTTTAACGTCATAATTATTTATTTTTGTAATTTACATGACATTCAAGTAATAAGATATGTTTTACAAAAGTAAATCTTACCTGAAAAAGAAGAAATTTGCGGCGCAACATCTATCATAAGATTTCTCATAAAATCTTTCATTTGATCTTCCGTGTGTATAGTTTCCACAAGAAACAAGACATAATCATCAAACATTAATCTTAATAGATGGAAGGAACCTTTTGGAAAAATAAATATTTAAAAATTTTAACTAAATTATAGGAAGAGTACAAGAGAAAAAGCATCAATCCACTTAATAGAGGTTGAAAAGAATATAAAAATAAAATTTCAGATTTTTGTCATGCCACAAAAATCTAGAAACTCTTCAGGTTGAAATAAAAATACAATTGAGAAGTTGTTGAAAACACCAATATAATTGGAATGTTATAGAAAAAAAGTTATAAAAATTTTCAAAAAAAATCTTTTTAAATTAAATTTTGCAATGCAGTTCTCTGCATTTGTTTTGTTGGGGAAAAAACTTAAGGAAACAGTTCTTCATGGAATCTGCTTTTGTGTAAAAAGCGTGAAGTATTTAAATTTTATTTTTCGTCTTTTAAAATTTCATAACTTGTATTTCTCAAATGAACTTGTTTGGAAAAATAAAACAGTTCTCAGTCAAATTAATTTTTAAGGGGAGGATAACATTTTTAAGCATTTCAAATTTAGTTTTCTTTTTTCAAAGTTTGCAATTAAATTCTAAATGAAATTTGTTAGGTAATAAGAAAAAACAAATACGCACTCACTGAAAAATCGGTTCGATGTTGAAGTTTAATGCTGTAAAATTTGTGCAGGTAGTAAATTGAATCACGTTTCCCTTCAAGTTGAACCATAGTAGCGTGTAATACGATGCGATAATAGTGATCAACTTAGCACGATATTAAGGTTGCGGCAAATTCTAACTATATTATGGTTCAATAAATATGCTCCAAAATTTCTAAAAGTGTAGTGCAGTGCATTCGAGAAAAAAAAAAGTTACAAAATTTTCAGTTTGGGTATAAATTTTATTTGTGACCAAATAAATTAGCATTTGTTAGGTATTAGTTGTTGTAGAAATCCGGGATTCAGGCCTTTATCTGTGAGATTTCTGACTAAATTTGATATCAATACATTGTTTAACGCAGTAAAAAAAGATATAACATTGAATAATTTTAGCTCTAATAATTCGCTTTTCACGTAGTAAGCGATAATCTTAACGGTTGACCTTAAATACGCCAATTAACAATTAAAGTCACGAAATCAGACATAAAACGCACTTTCTCTGAGTAAATGTTCTTTTTTTTTTTCGACGTATTTAGATTTTTGACCATTAAACCTATAGAGGGTAGGTGCTATCTTGAAAATGTGATCTCAATAGTTATGACGATTTAATGAGGAGCGTAGCGAGGATTTTATCACGTGTTAGAGAATTAAAACTTCCAGAATATTCATTAACTTTCATAACATTTTAGGGTTAATACGAATTGTCTGGAACAAAGCGGCTTTTTTATGAACTTTTATATTATTAATATGTAGTGTTGGGTAGAATAACTTCAAATCAAAATTTTTGAACCAAGAATACTACATTAAAATATAAATATTACACCACTTGAAAAAATTGAAGCAGCAAGTTGGCATCTGTCGTTTAGGTTACTTAATAATATAATTTCACTTTTTGCGCATTTCGTCGTATCGCATGAATTTTTAAAGTGTCTCAAAAAATATTTTGCACTCAATTATAAAACTTGTTTATTCAAAAATGCAAAAAGTCTTTTTTTTTATAATTATTTATTATTTTTTGTTTAACTACCTTAGTGTTGGAAAAATTGAATTTTGAAGTACGCAAATTTTTACATCGTGTAATATCCAATAACAAAATTTGAACGCTATCTGTCATGTATTCAGAAATGGAAACTTAGAAAAATGATACTGCGGAAGCTTATAGCTCAGAAACTATTCAACCGATTTCTTTTAAATTTTCTGTCGATTATTTAAAATTACTGTTTAAAGTGATGTAAAAATTCGATATTTTACAACTAACTTTTAACAAATTTTTTGACAAATATCAAATTAAACAATAAATTATTAATAAAAATAATTCTTTGTATGGAAGTATTTTTGAATATGTGGGGGGTGGAGTACTCACTGCCTACCTGGTACGCAGTGAGTAGTTACTTNTACTAGTGAATTGTAGTTGTAATTTTGTAATACGCTACAAATAAACGAGTTTTGTATCTGTATGCAAAAAGTTTTCGATTTGCTTAAAATATTTATGAGATTCGACGAAATACGCAAAAAGTTAAATCAATATCGACGGCTTACTGATAAAACTTTTGAGAGCACTATATTTTGATGGAGGAAAATGTAAATGCGTAAAAAAAAAAAGTCATGTTTATTCAAAAGTACGTTTTCGTGTTTCATTTTCTAATTTAATCGTTAGCTGTAATTCATTAGCATATCTGAGGACTGACACTTAGTTTATGAAAATCTAAACAAAAATTATTCAGAGTGGATTTTTTTTTTCTTCTGTGGTATTAAATTCTACATTCATCCTATGGATTTGACGTTTTCTAGGTGACATTTTATGAGCTATTTTGAAAAATCAAAGCACATTAACTCAACTCCACAAAATATCAAGCAGCGCAATTTGATTTTACGAAAAAGTGGATTGTATATATAAAACTGTACCAAAGCTTGCAGCACTATGAAGAGTCATATCCCTGATAACTCTAGTGCCAAAGGCAGACCATAACAGTAAGAATTGTCGTGCCAGGCGTCTACCACCTCCTTTTCTTCTACCCGAGGCCTGGAAAGGAATAAAAAATATTTAATGTAGAATATATATGATTTAATTTTGAAGCAATATATTGTTGCGAGAAAATATCTATTATTATTACTTCTCTTATAAATTTATTTCGATTTCTATTTTTATACTGAGGAATATCTTTCTGAAGTTTAGCTTTCGAGATTTCTCACCTGTATGCGCGCATCCTTTTTTAAATTCATTTCTTAACCCTTTCTTAATTTTTTATTTGAACACGTTGACTGCCGCCTATGTTTTTATGTATTTATTTATTGTAAGATTACGGATAGCAGAATATGCTATAAGAAATATGCAGCACAAAATGGAATTTTCAAAGCAATGGATTACAGTAATTTTTCAGCCCTTCGTTCCCCTTCTTAAAAATAGTTTACTAATACTACCAAAAAAATGTCCTGATTTTTTTTTTGCAAAATTTTGCCTTGATTTTTATTTTGACTATGAAGCCTGAAATATGCGATGCGTCCAAAAAGTATGGAAATGGTCGAATGTCCAGAGAGTAGCCTCAGGATATAAAACACTCATCCCAATGAGGTGCCCCAAATTCGAATATTAGAGATGGCGATATGTTGTCGGGCTAACTGTGGAAGGTTTACCTCTCCATTTCGGTCACTCTGTATATTTTTAGAATCAAAAAGGGAGAATGTATACATTAAAAGTCACTAAAGAGTAATTACAATTGAAAATATAACAAATCATTATCGGGCCCTGTCATACGTGGTTTTTTCTAAAATAGTGAATCTTCATTTATTTTCTAAAATAAATGAAGAAAGACATTTATACAAACCAACTTTTTCTTGAAAGTTTCATCTACCAATTAAACAGATTTTGATACTTTTAATTCCATATTTACCATGATTAATCACAATAATAAGTTGTCAACTTTGATAAAAAAAGTTTTCTTGAAATATTCATTTGTGTCTTATCGCTGCCAGGTGATCTTGCACAGAAAATAAAAATTCTAACTATTCTTGAAAGAAATAAAAGTTTGAATAAAACTCACGTATTACAGCCAAAAATATAGTAAAAATCTGCATTTCCAAAGCTTGCAGCTCCGTGTTTTTCCCCATTTACCTAACGAGTTAGGGTCCGGTATATAACTCGTTGGCAGGGCGCTGTTCTCACGTTCTTGTAAACAAGAGTTCGAATCTTATCTAACTCCCGTTCGGGGAATCGAAGACTCCCCGTGTAGTAAATGGTGACTGGTGTACGTTAAATCCATCGGGTTATAAAGTCCTCTATGTTCCAATAAGAAATTATACTTCTGGGGGTACTGAATTTGAGATTGATCGTTCTCAAGTTCAGGTCAAAATTACGATCTGTGGATGTATGAATGGGTACACGGGTGTGACGTATGGATGTGGCAGAAGTCGAAATATTTTCCATAGATTGCGCCACTGGAAAACAAGAGCAATCGCATCTTCTCAGCCTAAATGACCAACGACAATAACAACCTAACGAGTTTAAAATTGCGTAATTTAGCTGTAAAGTTTTGCAGAACTTACAAAATGTTTCTGAATATTTTTCTGAACAATTTATAATCAGATTACTACATTTATTTAGAAATAATTAAAGTTATGTAAAAATTACGAAAACGCTGCCTTATAAAATCGGTTTTTTTTTAAAAATTTTTTAGCTTAATCTCTTTGAAACAATATTTTTAATTAAATTAGGCAAACAATTTTTGGGTTACAAATTATTTTGAAATACCAAATGAGGCGCCTGGTGGCGGAAAAGTAAAGCGCTTCGCGATCTTGTGCCACATGTCCTGGGTTCTATTCTCGAACCGGGTAAGTTGACCGGTGACCTCGGGTGGAGGAAACCAGGTTCTATCTTCGGACCTGCAGTTGACGCAGCCTTTCACCCGTTCAGTGGATCGATAAAAATGAGTACCAAGAGTGCTTGAACACTTAGGGTTCCGAGCTTGACTGACCACCCAACTGTTGAACTTAGGCTCTTGCACTGCAGAATCAAATCAATAAAATTGGGATGGCTTTGGCCCTCCACAGGCTGTCACGCCATTGAGCCTGAGTTTGCAAAATATGTACGATAATTTTTAAGTATGTCCTGTATTAATTTTCTGTCTTGGGTTAGTCATTTGTACTACATGAATACAGATTCCAGGCAACTTAAAATTACAAGGAAGCGCCTTAATAGTTGAGATGGTAGGTACTTTATTTACGTCGCATTAGAGCTGCACAATGGGTTACTGGCGACTGTCTGGGGAAACATCGCTGAGGATGATCCGAAGACATATCATCGCAATTTTGATCCTCTGCAGAGGGGATGGCTCCCCTCTGTAGAGCACTTTGCAGGGCACTCGGAATTCGAGCACTTTACGGTAGAACAGTTTAGCAAGGACTGATACCGCGCACCCTCGGTCCCTACGCAGGCTGACCAAAGTGGTCACCCACCCGCTTACTGACCACAGCCAGTGATGCTTGACTTCGGTGTTCCACTGGGAACGGTGTCTTTATGATCTGTCCACTGCGGGGCTGATAGTTGAGAATATTAAACATTAAAAAATTGTTGAAATATTTCAAGGAAAGTACTTAGGAATTTTTAAATTTGAAGTTTTTCTTTCAATAACAGGGAATTTTGTTTCACTACTGTATTTTTATTCAAAAGCGAACCTTTTATAGAAGTAAGATTACTTTATTTATACACTATGTGCTATTAGTGATGGTGTGGGAAGTATCACTGAGGATGAACAGAAGACATGCCATCGCAATTTTTATCTGCTGCAGAGGGGATGGCTCCCCTCTTTAATAGTTCGATGATCTGTGAGCGAAATAGACAACTTTACGGCAGAACAGTATAACGAGGACCGATACCGTACACCCTCATTCCCTTCACAGATAGATCAAGTGTTCACCCACCCGCGACTTCTGTGATCTACTGGGAACAGTTTTTACCTTTTTGAGGAGTTCTGAAATCTCTGAACTTTTCCAAAAATGTTTTTTTTTTTAAATATTATTATCATTATTGTTATTCTTAGTTTTTCTTAAAATTCATCGTATTTCAGCATTGTAAATTACGAATTTTTAAACTAAACACAGCTACTAATACATAAATTTGTGTAACATACTGCGTTCACAAATTTTCAAATTTAAATCACGTTTTTAACCCTTTGACGCAGAATTTGTATTAAAAAAAATTTTTATGCTTTTTTTATTATTTTGTAAATTTAGGTNCTACGCAGACTGATCCAAGTGGTCACCCACCCGCACACTGACCGTAGCCAGTGAAGCTTGACTTCGGTGATCTGCTGGGAACCGTGTCTTAACGATCAATCCACCGCGGGACCAATAATTTTTGATTATGAAATACAACATGAAACACTGGTGACTTTTTCTGCGTTAAAGGTAAAATCTTCCAAACTATAATTTTTAAAATTGACACTTATTTAGATTTATGAGAGATAGTAATTCATCCCTGAAATTTCTTTAATTTACAAAATCAATTATTGATAAATATTTGAATATAAATGAAAAAAATTCTTTTTTTTCTTCTTCTTTTTTTTTTTTTGGATATGATATTCTTTATAATTTATAATGTTGCTTTTTTTGGATTTCAGATTTTAGTACAAATATAATTCCGATAATCTAACAGATTTTTTTTTAGTTACTATTAGACGGTATTTTATAATTAAAAAATAGCAAAATATGTTTTTGCTTGTGATTATAGTCAGAAAAAAAAATATCTAAGAGGGACACCAGTATCCAATCTGCATCAAAGGGTTGAGAAGCCTTACTTTTCAACCCTTTTTCACACAATTTTTATATTTTCAAATATTGATATGCAATCGAATTATTGAGTTTATTCCTCTGGTTTCGAATTCTTTTATTAGCTCAGAAAGTCACTTTTGTGAGTAAAAAATGAAACAATAAACTTTTAAAGCTTCATTTAGCAAAACTTCTACATCTCAGTATAAAGAATTTGATTATTTATAATTTCTTAAAAAACCATGATTTCCTTGAAGTGTGATGGAAAAAATTGAATTTCGGAAATCATTTCAATGCTTTGTTTTAAACACAATAAAATGTAAAAATAATAATAAATAAATGAAGTAAAAATTAATAGAATAACAGCAAAAAAATAAAGAAAAGAATAAAGTTTGAAAAAATTTGGTTTGGTATCCAAAGTATTCTGATAAATTGTTGCTTTCTGATTTCAAAATTATATTTTGTTTCAGATCTTTTGTTTCAGATCTCAAATGTAAAAAGTGGGTAATTTTTTTATTGCATTCTTGCTTAAATAAAGAATTTTTTTTTTTTTTTTTTGCATTACGTAATTTATAATTTTTAGTTACATATAAAGTTATTTTAGGCGTGTCTATGAACAAATAATAAATTAAATGTATTAGATCTTCTTAGAAATAATGTAAAACCTTAGCTACTTGTTCATTTGCGTTAAATGCAAGTAATTAAAAAATGTTTTAATGAAGTATAAAATTCTGTGAAATGATTAAAATATTTTCACGAGGCTCTAAAATTATCCAAGATTTTTGTTTCTTGAAAAATCACGTCTGAATACAGTTTTAAAATTAATTAAATTGATCTACACGAGTTATTCAAAAATATAAATTTTCGATTGCAAAAAGAAGAAAAATTACACCTTAAATAATATATAGCAACGAGATTTAAAAAAACAATGTAAAAAGAAATACTGAGCTTGTTTTTTTTCCAATAATAATAATACTTATTCTTGTCAGATAGGTATTCATAATTCTCTAATCTCTATTTCTCAAATTATTTTGATTGAAAGTTACATTATACAAATTTCTTTAAAATTTTTAACTAATCGTCTAATAACTTTAACATTTCACTATAATATTTATTTTTAATATTTAATATAGGCATACGGATTTTTGAATATAAAATAAACAAACATTCCACCAAGTATAAAAAAGTAATTACTTACGTGAACAGCACATTTGTTTACCAAAAGCTCTAACCATTCAGTGTAACTCTCAATAGGTGCTTCTTCTTCCAACAGAGATTCAAATTCTTTACCAACTAAAACACGAAGAAATGAATTTAAAAAAGGAATATTCTTGACATCCATCCGCTAAATGTTCTGAAAGTGGATGTAGTGGGTTTATTTATTTATTTATTGGTATAACACATACGGCAGGTATTTTATTTACGTTGCACTAGAGTTGCACAATGGGCTATTGACAACGCTCTGGGAAACTTCGCTTAGGATGCAACACGGAGGCCGAAGTCAAGCATCACTGGCTGCGGTCAGTGTGCGGGTNCAACGCTCTGGGAAACTTCGCTTAGGATGAAACACGGAGGCTTATAAATCTTTGTCAAGTAGAAGAACATATAGCACAATACGACAGCACGAAGACACATGCAGGGTAACAACAGGATTCGAACCCATAACCTCCACGCTACTTACAGCGTTTAGCGAGCGATACCGCTTCGTCATTGAAGCCCCTAGTGGGTTTAATTAATTAATTTTTCATTTATTGATATACATACATGCAGGCTAGTGTGCGCAGTTACATTAGTACGGCTTATAAGCTTTTGTCAAGTAGGAAGACACATAATACAATTCAGAGTTGTTGTAGTTCATTTATGTTGCACTAGAGCTGTACAATGGGCTATTGGCGGCGGTCTGGGAAACATCCCTGAGGATGATCCGAAGACATGCCATCACAATTTTGATCCACTGCAGAGGGGATAGCACCCCCTCTTCGGTAGCCCGACGACCTGCACACGAAGTCGAGCACTTTACGGTAGAACTGTTTAACGAGAACCAATACCGCATATCCTTGGTCCCTACTTAGACTGATCCAAGAGGTCACCCACCCGCACACTGACAGCAGCCAGTGATGCATGACATCGGTGATCTGCTGGGAACCGTGTCCTGATGATCAGTCCACTGCGGGACAATACAATTCAGAGAAGATGTTGTTGTTGATTTACGTCGCACTAGAGCTGCACAATGGGCTATTGGCGATGGTCTGGGAAACATCCCGGAGGATGATCCGAAGACATGCCATCACAATTTTGATCCTCTGCAGAAGGGATGGCACCCCCGCTTCGGTAGAATTCAGAGAAGAACAGCATAAAGATACAACCAGGATTAGAGCGGGATTCGAACCAGCTACCTCCACGCTACAGAGCATTTGGCGGGTAAGACTGGCGGGCTTAAATACCGCCTGGATGTATTTTTGTGCTGGCTTTCTCTACTTTGTGCTGCTATCTGTCCAATACGAACAGTGAGTCGTGGCTCAGGGAATGGAGTGTTCGCCTTCCAATGAGGTGAACCGGGTTTGAATATCAGCGATGGATGATCGATACGAATTTCGCATGCACTGACCTCAGTGCTGACGTAAAATATCCCCAGTGGTAGACGGATCATGGGCTAGAGTCTCCATGCCGTGAGGCTAACCGTGGGAGGTTTCCGTGGTTTTTCTCTCCATGTAACACGAATGCTGGTTAGTTCCATCAAAAAGTCTTCCATGAAGACAAATTTCTCCCAATACTTGATCCAGGAGTTCCCTTGTCTTCTGGATTGTGTTCAAACAAGCAAGGCTACGAAGTTGAACAGCAGTAATCGTAAACCCAAAAAATTGTTTCGGCTGTTCAACCACGGTTATAAAACAAAAAATTAAACTATGAATAGTTTATAAGCCATTCTTTGTACACCAGTCCACATGTTTATTTAATTATTGTTGCACAAATTATTATAAAGATGACTAATAAGTCATTGTTAAGTTGTAGAAGAAATAGCTCAAATTAGAGAATGACTGAGATCTGTAGCGTGGAGATAGTGAGTTTGAATCTCGTCGCAACAGTAGATGTCACTGTATGATGTTCTTCTCTACCTTGTACTATCTGTTCCTTAACTTAACAATGACTTTTAGGCTATTTTGTACTAAGCATACATGCCTGCATATGACATGTATAATAGTAAGATCAGAAACAGAAAGATTTAAAGTTTTGCCTCTCAGTGCAAAACGTGCTTTTTTAATAGTAAGTGGAAGTGTTTATTTATTCTCACACATGCATATACAAGCTTGTGAGCTCATTACAAAGACGGCTTATAAGCTCTTGTCAAGTTGAAGAGCAGATAGCACAAATTAGAGAAGAACATCACAAAGATGTACACTAAGATACGGTGGAATTCCAACAAGCTGCAAAGCGTTTAGCGGATCGGTGAGACCGCTCGGCCCTCTAAGCAGAAGTGGCATACACTCTAGAATATAAAAGAGAAGATCTGTGGTTCGTTTCTTGAAATCACTTATGAATATTAGCGATCACAACGAACAGTATGCAAGCGCAAAATTGTTGTAAATCCTAGTATTACAGTTAAAAAAACTTGTATGCCAACGTGCAATTGAAAAAACAGCGGAAGTGCTTTAGCACTTATGTTGTTTTTCCAATCACACGGCAGTACGCTTTTCGCTAGTAAGTTTCGCTTGTAAGTTTCTTCATTGACTTCGGGGCACGATATGACAACCTTCTCTGTCGTCTAATACAGTTTCACTTTGGTTAGGAACGTTACAACGGGCTGTTTTTTAAATAAAAATGCTTTCAGAAAATAAAATGTAAGCACAAAATGGAACATTTTCATTTTATACACGTTTATATTTTTAAATAAATATGTAATCATCCTTGTTGTTAACAATCTTTTGCCATTTAAAAATTAATTTAAATTTTTTAAACAATTTTTCTCGAGATCGCATTTAAGGCATCATCCGAATTGTTACAAAATGGTCCAGGGATCCGAAAAATTGAAATTGTCATCACATTCTTGTGGAATAATTTGTTGAATAATTTCATCCGAACAATTGGAATTGTCATGTCATAACAATTGTCATAAGTCTAAACTATCTCACGTATCACGTTATATAATTTTTGATTAATTTATTTAAAAAAAAATGTTTTTAACAAAACCTTGCTACAGTAAAGATAACCTTCCCAACATAATTGCTCAAATTTTACAATAATAGGCCATGATAGCACAGTCATTAAAGAATCGGACTCCAATCCGGAGGGATCGGGGTCCGATCCTCGACTCCGCAAAGATTCACCGAGTACATGCGATTAACGCGCTCGTAAAGTCTGTGAAATCGAAAGTTAGTTGATCGCTGAACAGTATTAAGGGTACAGGGATCTGGTGAAAATTTCCTTCCCCTTCAGATCTATGTCTAAAATAAAGACGTAGCCTCACGAATGAGTGGTGCTGCCATCTATCCGTGTGATTCAGTACTTTCAATCTTGCGGTGTTCTTTTGTCATACGAAAGGCGCACATTCCTGACCTAATTCGCGAAAGGCCAATGGCTGGTGAGCTTGGCCCATCGAAGAGTTATTTAAAATAACAGTGCATAATTAGGCATTAGCATATCAACTTAGTTAAATACATTGTTATGGATTTTAAAGATTTAAACATAGTTTTTTTAAGTAGGTAACATTATTTATTAATAACTCAACATTATTATGAAAAAGGAATAATAAGCAAAACTTACGTTTCAGAATTAACTGACAGGTTGTGGCACTATGTTCTGTACTAAAAAGCGTTTCTCGGCAAATTGCATCCAAATCCAATTGTCTCCAGTCATGTAACATCTGCGATGTTATATCGCTGTTATGGACAACCATTCTAGATGCTTGGGCTAGATGATTCAAAGACATTTGTCTTCTAAGCGTATGAGAAAACCTATTCGCCACTAAAAAACAATTTGATTAGAACTTCGATTTATTTTGTGTAAGTCTTAGGCTAATTGAATAATACTGGGGAACAAATTTCTTGTTGTATTAACCCCTTAACGCACAGATTTTTTTTAAAAAAACGGCCCAAAAAATCACTTTTTTTAATGTAAAAAAAACACATTTTAGAACATTGTCTTTTCTTTTAGTAGACAATTTTGATATACTGCGCTTTCGTTCCATGGAAAAAGTCTATATTCAGAGATGCCAACTGCTCCGGACACGCCAAAATAATTAAAAAAAATTGGTAAATTTTGCAAATATTTGACTATTTTTGCTAGCTTTTTAAAAGATATAGCATGACATAAGTACTATAAAGTGGTGAATTATATAAACCTACAAATTATTTCGAAATAGTGGTGGATAAAAATCTACTAAATTGAATTTATTAAACCAAGAATCACAATTGATAAACTACCACTTTAAAATATATATTTGCAAGTTAGCATCTCTGTATATTTTATTCTTGAATAAATAAGTGTATGATAAATATCGTAATGATAATGTAATGTAAATAATGTAAATGATAATGTAATGATCCCATGTAAATGAAAAATATCAATAAAACGATTGTTTTTCTTAGCTTTCACATTGTTACTTTCAGTTCTCGATTATGTATAGTCGAGTGTGAAAAATTATAGCAGCATAAAATACAACGCCGCTCGAATTATCTCGAGTGTGCACAGTTTGGCCTGCTTAGCGCTCTCAAATTAACTCGAGCGCACAAGTTAAGGGGGTAAAACAAATACTTAATCTTGCTTAATTCGGGTGTAGGAAAGCTACAGGTTTTTTTTTTTTTTTTTTTTTTTTTTTTTTTTTTTTTGAAAATGGCATTTTTAATCAATTTTTGTCAGAAAGTACAAGTTTAAAAACGTTATATAGAGCAAATAATAGCATAAATGGTGCGACAAGCTTCTAGCGGAGTTAGGGTACACCATCAAGATTAAAATGGTATAGGAACTGGAAATGTGATCACACGCGGCTAGTGACGCTTTACTATTATGACCTCTGCAGAAACACATGAGGAAATAGTTCATAATAGGGAAGTGACCTCAAGCGGCGTATGACGACATCTTCTGGCATGAGTTCGTATGCAGTTTTAATCCTGATTATATGTCTTAACTCTCCTAGATGTTTGTCGCCTAAATTATGCGACCCCCTGCTATATGTGACGTTTTTAAACATGTAGATTTCGACAGAAAATAGACTAAAATAGTATTTAAAAAAGCCGTAGCTAGGAGAAAGAAACCGATTGCAGATTTTCAATCAGCGACGTGAAATAATCAAGATCAGTTAAAATTCTAATGGGACAGAAAAATTATTCCCCAGAGTTATCAGCCTGTTAGCAAAGAGTCGTCGTTATTTTGCGATACGACAGGCTAATTTGAAAGAAGTCCAGTACTTTCTACTCAGTCTGATACTTTTTAGGCTTATTGAAATAAACTCATTTAGCTTTAGGCTTATTAAAAATATACAATTTATTCATTATCCTTTATCAATTTGATTGTATTATATATTGCTAAATTTCAAGCAATTTGCAATAAACACGGAATAGAGAAGGCTTATTTTATTTTATTTCAAAACCGGGCCTGGACAGCCGATCCATTCATAGATTTATGACTTCCAGTGTTCAACTCCTTAGCCTTGTAATTTTGAACCCAACCCAGAAGAAGAATGAATTTCCTGGGTCACGCAGTAATATAAACTAGCGTTTGCGGAAGTCTCTTTGATGGAACTAACGCGCATTTACGTTGCATGGAGAAGAAAATCTTGAAAACCTCCCACGGCTAGCCCGACAGCAAGAAGATTCTAACTCATTATCCTTCTACAGCAGAGGATATTTTAGGTTAGCATTGATGTCGGTATGAGCTAGGAGTGGAGTTCGTATCAATCAGCCATCACTGGGATTCGAACCTTGGTCACCTCCTTAGGTTCTCTGAGTCACCGAGGCACAGTGAAGTTTTATTGAAAAAAGCCTTAAGTATAGGCTTATTGCAATAAGCCTAAGAAAATTCAATCTGATTGAGTAATTATGCGTACATTTTAAAATTAACCAAAAAGCATTCAAGCTGATTATAATAAGCCAGAAAACATCAGACAAATTGGAAAATACTGTTTCATCAGTAACAGATTAGAAATCAGTTAGATTAGAAATTAGACTTCTTCAATTAGCCAAGTGCATTGTAAATTGCCAACGATATTTGCAAAGAGCTGGGATTTTCAATTAGCCAATTACATTTATGAAGAGATTATTTGAATAATTAAATATTCTTACTTTCTAGCTTTACAATTTTAAGGTTGTCCGGTAGATGGGAAATGGATGATTTCAACCAACAGTCAAGCTCTTCGGCAAATTTACGAACGACTTTTGTTAAACTGTTAAAAGAAATGCTCTATTATACGTTCAATTATTAATTTCAAAAATAAATTTTAAAATATAATATATCAGAAACATTGAAAGCAATACTGTAATAATCATTATATCTATTGCTATATAAATATTTCCACATTTCGCTGTAAGGAAAACATCAAAGAGTTGTTTTAATGTTATATTGGAATAGAAAATTCAAATTTATTTCACGGAATTTGAGGAAATACCAGCTAAAAATAACAATTTTACTTATTTTTATTTTTTCATTTCTTTTTTACAAAATTAATTTTCTGTTTGTGTTAATTATTTTCCTCTCCGTTGCATTAGCATCGTTTATTTCATGATTAGAGTGGTCAGTGCAATTAGAGTGGTCTGTTTCAATAATAATAATCCTTAGAATATCCTTAGCATAATAATAATCCTTAGCATAGCGCAAATTACTAAATCTCTTGAGAGAAAAACATCTTCTCTAAAGTTCTATAATTGAAAATTGATTATAAATATTCTTAACCTAGGATGATTGAAACGATGGTAAAATATAATTGTGAAAATGACCCTAGTTCACCTAAGAAACGAACGATGTCGAAAATGGCTTTGTTTTCCTTATAGAAACTTTTAGATTGCTATAGTTTGTCTAAAGTAAGAACTCCCCTAGCCATTCGTCTGAACCCGTGGCGGTAACTGTGGTAACGAGGTATAACTATTTCAAGTAGGGGTGTGGGGTCATTGTTTAGGACAAGTTTTGGGTCTGGTCGGCGAGAGAAAGGTAATTTTTTTATTCGGTCTATTATGTTAGCCCTAGAGTGAAGTGAAACTCCCCTTCCTGAAATGCGTTATTCTTGTTTCCGTAGCGTAGCAGCAGACGGCCTCAGACTATGTGGCCGGGGAAGATCTTACCGTAGACAAACTATATAGGTAGCTTCATCCTTTTTGCTTACTTAGCTATTCGATTCTATGGCGTTCCGTCACTCCTAAGCTTCATCAGGCAATCACACTGGTTTTAATGTTTTATATTTTTCATACTGGTGGTTAAACAGGTATTTATAGCTGATTTGTTTAAACCCATCTTTAATATTAATTTTCATGCCCCATGTGCAAATAACCCATGTGCATACATGCCTTTTTGAGTTCATTAGCATATTCCAAAAATACACAATAAGGGATATGATTACCGAACACCTTGCAGTAAAATGTCGGTGTAACTATTTGGGAAGAACACACAGTGGTTATGATGATTTGGAGGGTAAATTTTGCAAATAGTTTCTTTGATTAAGAATTTATTAACATAGTTTTGATTAAGAACCTTTTTTATATTGTATTGGGTGCAAAACTTTAAATAGTACTTAATAAACGTAGAGCTTATTCTTATTGTATATTACTTCAACCGCTTCACTTAACAATTAAAAAAAATGCAAAAAATCAACATATTTTTTTATTTCATTAATACTTATTAATATTAAATACAAGGAACTGAAATAAAACATAATACACAAGCTCTAAGTTGAAATTGTAATTTTTTCACGTTTAAAAAATATTTAATTTATACCATCAGTTTACCATCCCAAATTATCTCGGACAAATGAAAAAAAGTTATATATTAGTCTTTGTATATGTTCACATCTTCATAATCTGAAAAATCATATGCACTACTTTCACATTCGCTCGTGAACGCCATTTTTTTACTCTTTTTTCTATGGAAATTCATAAACCATCTTATATACATTTGTACAAAATGCGTCTGCAGTCCCACAAATAGAAAAACTTCCAATCACAGCAGATTATTACTATTTTTTGAACTCTGCCATGCCCGAGTTTACTCGGGATGATAAATATTTGCATCATATACATACCCGAGTTTACTCGGGATGATAAATATTTGCAATATATACATACCCGAGTTTACTCGGGATGATAAATATTTGCAATATATACATACCCGAGTTTACTCGGGATAATAAATATTTGCAATATATGCATACCCGAGTTTACTCGGAATAAATATTTGCAATATATACATACCCGAGTTTACTCGGGATGATAAATATTTGCAATATATACATACCCGAGTTAACTCGGGATAATCAGGGAAATGGTGAATATATGTTGATTAAATTACACTTTTTAATCAATGTCGATTGTTTTATTCGTTTGTAGGTGCAAATTGATCACTTTGTTCGACCCGGAATTACATATAAAAGGCGAGACGTCGCCTAATCCACTTATGGAGAGCCGACGATCATGAGTTTGATCTTGGAAGTCGACTAAATAACCGGCGTGTATACGCACCAAGGTTCACATTAAATCTGAAAATTCCCTCGTCGGTTGTGGTGTTAAAGTTCTGAGAGGGGGCTACCAGCTCAGGCGCCATGATCACGAGGTATTAAGAGGACAAATTGCGCGGTATTTCCTGCCATGGCAGTTAAGAGATTGAGTCCCGAGAAACGAGGCTAGGTGCTTGGCCATAATCGGGTGGTATGTGTGTATATATATATATATACATAAAGGGCGTTATTTTGAGAACATCCTGTGAAATAAATATTGATTTAACTGACCTTTCTGGCACAGTATGTAGCATGGAAGGCAGCAGGGCGTTTGAAATAGTTCTATAGAGAATACAATCACAGACACCGACTAAATTGACGAGAGCATTCGATTCTAAAATGGGTAAAAGATGAGAAGGAATACCCTGCCAAAAATGGAGTAGAAAACTTTGAACCTAGAATAAAAATCATAAGTAATATAATGAGAACACTTTGATAAGTTTTGATCAAATAACTGAATTAACAAGTTTGGAATTTGTAGTTTTAATTTCACTTTTTTTCCCTACTTTACCATAAGTTTAGAATTTGAAAGGACGCTATACTGCGGAAGAAAATTTTCGTCGCAAATTCTCTTTGTCCTTTATTACTAATTTAAAAGAAAGAAAAAGAAAGTTCAGGCACACCTAAAGTTTGAAAATAATAAGTAAAATTTTAAAGTAGCTGTTAAATAACCTTGAGAAATTATGAAACTAGTAAGGGGCCTTCAAGAATCTAAATCCACTGGGGAAATCCACATTTTTATGTTTGTTTTGATTTCGTAGCTTAAAGTATCGTATGCACAAGAAGTTTATCATATTTAAGGTCAGTATTTCGAATCATTACAATTGAATCTTAGTACGTTAAATTTAATCGAGAACAAAAGTTATTTAGTTGTTCTCTTTTTCATTTCGTACACTTTACACTATACGAAATAAAAAATGTAAAAACCAGAATAACTTATTATGATCTAAACATTTGATTTTCATGTACTAAGGGGTGACATAATGTTCCGAGACGAGAACCTTAAAAATGCTAATTAATTAGAGCAAACGATATTTTAATCTTAAAAAAAAAAAAAAAAAAAAAAAATTCGATTCAAAAACGTACTTTCTTTGAATAATCATACTTTTTTACGAGAGATACGCGGGGGTCTCAAAAAGGGGTGTGCGTGTGTATGGGGGGTGGGGCAGTCGCTATGAAGAAAATTTACTTTCCATACTTTTGATAGTCCTTAATGGTAATTTTACCTTTTGCATATTTACTCATATTTCTGGAATTATTTGAGCAATTATAAAAAATGCATACAGTAATAATATTAGCTTATCCAAACGTATTTTAAAAATATTTTTAATAGTAGTTTATGATATTATTTTCTATTATTCAATTAATTAATAATCGAAGAACTTTTCCTTTATAAGGTATAAAAATTCTTACATTATTTTACAATATGCAGTTTTAAATGAAAAGATTGATAAAAGTAATCGATAAATGAAGGAAAATATCGAGAAATGAAAGAAATCGAATGAATAGTCCTCGAGAAAGAAAATTTATATATACCGACTTTTTCACTGTTCTATTACTCAAAAACTCTATGACTTGTTTTTACCAAATTCTGGTTTTGGTGTTCAGCGCCGGTACGGGATCACTAGATGAAACACAATGAGGTTTTCAATTACTTTTGAAAATTCAATTTCAAATTTTCAATTTAATCAATCATTTTCGCAAAAGGTATAAATTTGAAGAAAGCGTTGATGGATTCTTCCAATTTCTCTCTTCAGTTTTGAGAGAGATCTATTTATTTTTGATTCGTGCGTCGACGCTTCGTTTCTATTAGCTACCTTTTTCATTAATAACTACACTATCTGGAAGAAAGTGACGGGACAACTGTAAAGTTTGGTGGAGGAGGATTGATGGTATGGGCCTGTTTCTCTTGGTATGGGACTAGCCCACTGGTGAAGGTTGATGGTATGATGAATGCCGATGGATACTGTGATATTCTCGACAATCATGTCCTTCCTACCTTGTGGGCAACGTACGGTATGGATGATTGATTGTATCAGGACGACAACGCAAGATCCCATGTTGCAAAGAGGACTCTTGATTGGTATGTGAACAACAACGTTAAACGCATGGAGTGGCCGGCGCAGAGCCCTGATCTTAACCCAATTGAACATCTCTGGGACGAATTGGACCGTCGGTTGAGGGCCTGCACCCCACTCCCCAAAAGCAAGCATGAACTATGGAACTTCCTGTTAAACATTTGGAAGGAAATTCCTCTTGCCACAATGGCTTATTTAGTGGAAAGCATGCCCAGAAGAGTTGCAGCTGTGATCGCAGCCAAAGGAGGCCCTACCTCCCATTAATTTTAATAAATATGGGTTTATATCGTTATAGTGTCGTGTCCCGTCACTTTCTTCCAGATAGTGTATANATTTTTAATAGTAGTTTATGATATTATTTTCTATTATTCAATTAATTAATAATCGAAAAACTTTTCCTTTATAAGGCATAAAAATTCTTACATTATTTTACACTATGCAGTTTCAAATGAAAAGATCGATAAAAGAAATCGATGAGTGAAGGAAAAATATCGAGAAATGAAAGAAATCGAATGAATAGTCCTCGAGAAAGAAAATTTATATATACCGACTTTTTCACTGTTCTATTACTCAAAAACTCTATGACTTGTTTTACCAAATTCTGGTTTTGGTGTTCGGCGCCGGTACGTGATCTCATCACTAGATGAAACACAATGAGGTTTTCAATTACTTTTGAAAATTCAATTTCAAATTTTCAATTTAATCAATCAATTTCGCAAATTCGAGTTGATGGATTCTTCCAATTTCTCTCTTCAGTTTTGAGAGAGATCTATTTATTTTTGATTCGTGCGTCGACGCTTCGTTTCTATTAGCTACCTTTTTCATTAATAACTATATAGGCTGACAATAATAGCATTTTAAAACTAGGGAGATAAGCAGAAGTCTATACTTTTTAAATTTTTTTACTCGGTTATTATTATTTTTCTAGTTTATTTATTGAATAAACGTTTCTACAGAAAATGCAATTTGTTAGCTTTTAAAATAAATGGAACTATGTGAAAAATTGCAATTAAAAGCAATGGAGCAGGTATTAAAAAATTGTTACTCAACAATTTTTTAAAACAAAGAAGATTTTTTTTGTTTACAGAAAAATAATTTCGATGAGTTAAAGTTAAATTTGTACTTATAATTAATAAAAATTATCCTCACAGAAAAATAACTGTTTTTCTTACCTCATCAAAGCTACCTCTAATTATAGTGTCAAGAAGCCTTTGACAATGTGTTCGATACATCATCAGGAATGTGCTCATCTGCAAAATAGTTCATAACTTTAATTTAAGTATTTTTTTTAAATTAAAAATTATATCCCATTATTCTTTTTATGCACATGCAACAGTAAAACAATTTCAAATTTTAAAAATTTAATTTTCTGGTATGGAAAAGCTACTTCTAAAATCTGATAATCTATAGCTGTTAATTAATTTGCAAAATAGGATATACTAATTAATTTGTATACTTTTAATTTTGAAAAATCTTTCAAGGGGCAACTTTTTTTATTACATTTTACTTCCTTCCCACAATTCCTTCTGCTACATTTTACTTCCTTATTTGAATCAAAATAAAGTATCTCTGAAACCTAACTTCTCACTAAAAAAATATTTGCATCTCTCATTAAATGTTTTTAATAAAATTTCATAAATTAAATAAAGTATTTTTATGTCGGATTTAAAAACTTGGTAGAAAATTTTGTAATATGAGATAAATATTATTTTATTGAGTTAAAACTACTCAAATTAAAATACAAAACTCATAAGAAATTGAATCATAAGATCCTTTGAAATCGTACTTTAAAAAAAGAAAACAAAAAGGAGGATAAGGAAAAAAAACAGTACTTATTGATTAGCATTAGTACTTTATTGAGTTTAAAATATTCAAATAAAAAGGAAAAACACAAAGATAAAAACTGCGCCTTGAAAAGAAAAGAAAAAAAAAGGGTGATAAGGAAAAAATTTCGTCTTTATTGATAAAAATTAGCACTTTATTTGGCTACAAATATTCAAATTAAAATACAAAAATCAAAAGAAATTAAATGATTAGATCCCTTAAAATTGTTCCATAAAAATAAAAGAATAAAAAAAGGGGGTGGGATAAGAAGAAAAAAAGTTGAAAGAAATAAAATGGCTCTCAATTGTGAGATTAAACTCCGAAGGGTCGCAAAATAAAATCCTTAGAAAAGGACCCAACAATCTTCTTGCTGATCTTGTTAACAGTCCTGCTAGTCCAGACAATAGAGCTAAAAAACAGACGGAAAAATTGGTGGATTTTTTTTTGGGGGGGGGGGGNAGGGATCCGCATTTCGTGACCAAAATTTTTTCCGTTAAAATTGTTCTCCCCCCCCCCCAAGAAAAACCTGTAAAATCAAGTAATTTGCATCTAATGTTTTTATAGTTTAAGATGGAAAATTTCTAATGGCATATTTGAAAACTAGAAGAAATTACCTACCAATTCGATACTTACAGTGTAATCGTAGGGTAATAAATGAAAGAATAATGAGTGTGGGAATAATGACTTTATCAAAATATAGTTAATTGCAGATAAAAAAGTTGAAATGCTATATCAGAAATTAGCTCAATCAAACAAAAATTCATTTTCATTTTTATTTATTTATTAAATTTTTAATCTTTGTCTTAGACACCAAAGCGTTTTGTGTTGTATTAAAACCTATTTACAGCTGCAACAAATCTATAGCAAGGCGTTTATTTTATTTCTAATGTTATTTAAAATTATTTTCTTTGTACTAATTATGGTATTAATTGAAACTAATGGTTTTTGATTTGATTTATCGCTTTTCATTCGCGAAATTAGATGGATAAAAATTTGGATTTAATTTTTCATTCGCTTTTGGTTTTAGGATAAAACAAGAGATGGCGCTCTTTAAATCAAGAACTTATTTCTCTTCAAGTTTTTTTTTAACCCTTCGATAAGAATTTCTGATGAAAATAAAATTCAAGAATAATGAGAATCAACATTTCCCGAAGTTGCCTGTAATTCTCACATTATTCTTAGTTTTACTTTATGTTGTTCAATAACTTAATACAAATAGCAATATATGAGATATTAAGCCAATGAAAGCTACTCTTTTTTGGTTTTACGTACAAAATCCTATGTTAAAATAATGATAGGCCTTTTGTTTTAAGAACTTAAACCAAACTGCATTTTGTTTCTTATATACTCTTCCTTTTTCTTCTTTTTTCATGTTTTCCGTAAGAGATTTCCCTGTTACAGAAAACCATTCAACAATGCCAAATAATCATTTGTAAAAATTTGTGTCGAAAATGAGGAGTTTTCGGCGAAATATGGCATTAGATATTACTTTTAAATGCAAAAGTTTCTTAATCGAAGAAAAATTACCCGGTACTTTTTTTAAACCGCTTCCCTTACCACTTTTTTCGAAAAGAAAAATGCAAAAAATTAACGTATTTTTTTATTTTATTAATAAATTCAAGGAACTAAACCAAAAAAATAATACACGAGTTTCAAGTTTTTTTTTAAATTTTGTTGTGCGTAAAAATTATTTAATTTACCATCAATTTACTATCCCGGGTTATTTCGGGCAAATGAAAATAGTTAAATATTAGTCTTTGTATGATAGTTTTTAAAAAGGAACAACACAAATTGATAATTTCCAAACACTAGTGAAGTGATACGGCATTTTTGTTTATTCCTCTTTTTTTCTATGTAAATTCAGTTACCATCGTATATGCAATCGCAAAAAGTGTACAGTCCCACAATAAAACAAGGAAACTCCTAAACAAAATTTGGCAAATTTCAAAACACAACAGATTATGTTTTATTTGCTTCCTGCCGAGTAAAAACGTGATAAAACAAAACAAACTGACAAATTCTGCTACGCCCGAGTTTTCTCGGGATAATAAATATTTACAATATGTACGTAACCGAGTTAACTCGGGATAATAAATATTTGCAATATGTACACAACCGAGTTAACTCGGGATAATAAATATTTGCAATATGTACATAACCGAGTTAACTCGGGATAATAAATATTTGCAATATGTACATAACCGAGTTAACTCGGGATAATAAATATTTGCAATATGTACATAACCGAGTTCACTCGGGATAATAAACATTTGCAATATGTACATAACCGAGTTAACTCGGGATAATAAATATTTGCAATATGTACATAACCGAGCTTACTCGGGATAATCGAGGAAGTGGTTAACATCAACAGGAATGCATTAAAAAAATAACAACTACCTTTTTTTTTTGGTCCAATTGTTATACAGTCGGATTTCTGTTTAACGAGCTTCCATTTTGCGAATTTCTCTATTTCGCAAATTTTTTAGCGGAACCAAGAATATTTTGGAAATTTCTTCGTAAAATAACTTCCAAATAGCGAAGTAAATTTTCTATTTAACGAACTTCTCTTTGAGATCCACTTTCCGTATTTCCCAAAATATTTCAGAACATTTTAAACTTGTTAACGTATTTGATGGGAGAAATGATCTTGAATTGATTTTTGAAGATACTTAACTTTTAGAGAAAGCAATGAAACCCTTTTTTGTTTGCATTTCAATCGAAAAACTCAGACAAAATTAACGGATTTGAAGATTGAAAATATATGTAGCATGATACTGTAACACTGAATAATGTTTTGCTCTATTCCTGCTTTTCATGCAGATTTCTTTTATAGCTACGATTTATAAAATAAATAGTAGATGCTAGTTTACAAGATAAAAGTGTATCAACTGCTATTTTAATTATGTCAAGTATCCATGAATTTAAAACCTGTTTTGTGTCATTTAAGTATTTCAAAAGGGGATTATCTATTTAACGAATTTTCCATATAACGAACTTATTATCGGGATTTAGCGACTTCGTTAAACAGAGGTCCGACTGTATTTCAATAACGAAAGAAAGATCTTACTTTTTCAATATCTACAGAAGGAGGCAAATGAAGATCTTTGACACTAGGAAATTCAGGAAGAACTGTCCCAGCTCTAGTTCTAGTTGAATAGAGGGGAGTCTTGAAAATAATAACAATAAAAAAATTAATTTCAAACATGTATATTTTATTAAAGATTATAATTATGGTATTTAACTTACTATTTTCCATTGAGAAGTCAAACGATTAAAAATACCTCAATTATTTACAATAATAATAAACAGAAATTATGATTTTATAAAAATTAGGTCTCACCTTTTAACATGGTTATATTCCGTTATAAAGTTGGAAAAGCATTCAAAAATAAAGACTTAGGTTATATTTAATTCTTAATGACTTTTTCGCAGGTTTTTTTTTTCAAGCGCTTGCCCATATGAATTAAACGGAACCAGGATCAAATTCCACTGGTTCTTTTGCTCACTTTAATTACAGTGTTAACGTTGAATATCAATATGTATCTTGGGTTTGAGTACCGTCGATCAAATCATAGTAGTTTTTGTGGTTTTCTCTTTCATGTAACGCAGTTATGCGTAGTTTCTATTTTGTCTCGATACTTGACCACGACTGTCTTCTGAATTGGTTTAGAAATTGCAAAGCTATGGATTTTCTCATGAAAACGCCGCCTATCCGCTATGAGGAACGGCTTGTTCAATGTCAGTGATTATATAAAATATAATTTGCAAGCTGAAACAATTTCTGCGGTCTATTAGTTTGATCGCGGTACTTAGACTATTGAAATGCCAAATTAAAAAAAAAAAATTTTAATATGTAAACAAAATTGTGTTTTTATGGGAAGAGTTTCCACCAATTTATTTATGTAGCATATTACTCTACACTAAGTTTTCTGAAAGATTGTTGCACATTTCTTTCTTTATGGGTCGAGTTTTCACTGATTAATTTATGTTAATGTACTCTACACTAGGTTTGTGAAGGATTGTTGCACATTTCTCTCCTTATGGGTAAAGTTTCCACGGATTAATTCATATTACATGTGCTGTACACTAAGGTTTCTGAAAAATCGTTGCAGAGTTTTTCTTTATTCAATTTAGCGAGAGGCTATCAGATTTTCAAAATTCTCTTGTAATTTGCTGAGTGTAATTCGTATCTAGAATTTAGCTGATTAAAAAGAAAAATCAAATATATAAAAATAGGGTTCATAGATTCATTCGTATAAAATAATTACTAATTTTTTTCACTATTTTAGTGTTGTGTGTTACTATATTAGTGTTTAGTTTTCTTCTTGTGCTGAAATGCATAGCATCAAAATGTATAGCATTATGTTCATTTGTAATATATATAGTGCACAAAAGAAAAAAGAAAAAAAAAAGCGGAATAACTTTTGATCTTTTCATCAGGTTCTAGACTCATTCTTAATGGTTCGATGGGGTGCCCTCAAATTAATTAGCGCAGACGATATTTTAAGACAGACAGTACTTTTCTGGGAAATATGGTTTATCATTAGAGCGATCCAAAGTTTGGATCCCTTAATGTAAACTTAACTTTTTGCAAATTTCACCATGTCTTGAGAACTTTTAAAGGGAATCTAAATTTTTTTTCACACAAATATAAAATTCATTTATCTAAAGATAGGTCCATGCAAAAAATAAACATTAGCAAATATTTATTATTATTTTATTAAATAATAAAATAATTTTAAATTGTAAGGTACACAATTTTTTACATTATTTTAAAGTATGTAATTTTGCATGGCAAAATACAAAATTTGATCGAAATCGGTTGAATAGTTACTAAGAAATCGAATTTTAAAAATGTTACCTTTTTAAAATTTGATTTCTCAGGAACTATTCAACCAATTTCACTCAAGTTTTGTATTTCGCCTTGTAAAATTACGCATTTTAAAATGCATAAAAATTTTACACATTAAATATAATTTTTTTTCGACTATTATTGTAGAAAAATACTCAATTTTCAAAATTTCTGAAAGGCATAGACAGATGATATTTCACATAAAATAAGTTTCAGATCAAATAGCATAAAAGAGCTAAAGACCTCCCTCGCCGATAGGTCTTGCCGATAAGCTAAACGTTCCGTAGCGTGATGGTATTGGGCTCGATTCCCGCCGTAATCCTCGATATATTTTTTTTTTGCTTCTTTCTAATTTGTGCTATCTTTTCGTCATTTTGACAAGAGCTTATGTGCTTATATATGCATGTGTAACATTACATAACATAGAGCCGCGATGGCTCAGGGGATAGAGCATTCGCCTTCCTATGAGATAAACCGGGTTCGAATCCCAATGATGGTCGGTCGATACGAATCCGCATCCGGCTTGCACTGACCACAGTGCTAACGTGAACTATCCTTAGTGGTAGACGGATCATGGGTTGGAGTCCCTTTGCCGTCAGGCTAACCGTGGGAGGTTCTCGTGGTCTTCCTCTCTCCATGTAACGCAAATGCGTGTTACTTGCATCGAAAAGTCCTCCACGGAGGCAAATTTGCCCCGATACTTGATCAAGGAGTTCTCTTGTCTTCTGGATTGGGTTCAAAATTACAAGGCTGCGGAGTTGAACATTAGTAGTCTTAAACCCCTCCAAAAATTGGGTCGGTTGTTCTACGACGGTTATAAAATAAAATAAATAACAGAAAAAAGATATAAGAGTAGGTTTTAATTCGCGATCAACTTATAGTTGAAATAGCAATTAGAAATAGCGAAAAACTGTAATAAAAAGTAAAACTTCAGGTACAAGTTTAAATTGATGGAATAAATGTGTAATTAGGCTTGTTGAACCCTGAACACTGCACAATCTCAACGTTTGAAAATCAAAAGTAAGGTGAGATATGTAGATGGTAGTATACTTTTCGCTAAGGAATCCATTATTTGGCTATTAATATCTATAAAATATTGCCAAACTTCTTATCCTAAGGGATACAAGCGATTATGAAAAACAATAAAGACTATTTAATAAGGATAAAAGATAGTAGCAACCATGTAACGCTTTTCGAATGTTTTGTAAGATATTAGACAGTTGTATAGAGAATCTCTAAATATAGAACAGATTATCGTTCTCATGTCAAGGTTGCTAAAACATTTTCTTTAACCATTATATTTCTCGAAAAGAAAATTTATTGAAGCATCAAATTGATTTTTAAATTATAGAAAATAAGTTACGCTTATTTTTGCATGACATATGTCTAAACTTAATGTTATCGCAAAAGGATAACTTAGAGCTATATCAATCTAAACGAGACATCTTAATTTAAATAAAATAAATAAATTCAAAATAAAAAATTTCATATTTTAGACAGTTAGAAAAATTCTCAAATATCTCTTATTTATTTCGAGCGGGGTTAGAGATTAATTCAAAAAATCGCGTGGAGACATTGAAAAAAAAATTACCATTTTTTATATGACAGATAAATTACACCGGAGGGCATTTTTCTTAAAAAATAAATGAAGTGATTTATATGTCATTAAAAAACTAATTTGTCAGGAAAAATAATTTTCCGATTACCATATTTTTAATATATTTTTGACTTATATCAAAAATACTGATAAAAGCCATTACACTGAATTTATTATTGATTCTATTTTCCACATGTGAACACGGAGCTCCACATTCCTGAATGTCACTAACATTAAAAATAAGTAATCGAGCGTATTAATTGAATTGGATTAAATTCAAAGATCTGAACTCACCTGTTTATTGGCATCCCTCCTAGGCTCGCAACTGAAAAAGAGTAATTCAATGTGTACTTCCCTTTATTTTCTATTCAATTTGAATTAATATGTCGGCATAAAGGAAAAAGTCATAATGACATGCCAGGGAAAGGAACGATAAATCCATGGCAACTCAAACCCAACCCTCCTAAGTGCTTTCTTCGATAGAATATTTTTTTTTTTGATGATGATCGTTCGTTTCCCGGACATGTTAGATCATGCACGAAGCATTTTTCAAGACAACGAATTCTTAGCTTACCCAATAGCTCCTTTCTTTGAAAATGAAACTTGGAAATAGGCAGAATTCTCTCGGATAGCTATTCCGTAATAGTGATACCTATGAAAAAAAAATAGGATGAATTATTTGAGGATAGTTCGATCTTTCGCTTGAATAAATATAAAAATGAGATTTATTGTACCTAGACTGTCCTCTTGTTCCTAATCTTCGTGTAGTCAGAGTTGGAAATTGTTGTCGGATAATCTGAAAATATAAAGAAATAGTTTAATATTTCTGAGAATTACGTGAATAACTATTTAAAGGATTTAATTTAAATGTTTTTAAAAATATAAAAAATCATAACGTGATCTAGATTTTAAAATTCTTGAATATATATAAAAATCGCGCTTCTTGAATTTCGCTTCATTAGAATCAAGATGTGTTACTTAAGGTTTTGTTAAAATATAATTTCTTAATAACAAGGTGTTCCGTAATCATTTCCTGAATATATATTTTTCAAAAATATTTTTTGAAAATGAAGTCAAAAAAATATACATATTAAAAGATGCTTATCGATATTTACAGAAAGAAAAAAAAAAGGAAAAACGCTATCGAAATCAAACTTGATTTTAATTGGATAAAGAAGAGAGGAAGGAAGGTCTAAAAACATCATAACCAGTTTATTTTCCTTTATTTTATTACCGTTGTTGAACAGTCGATCTAATTTTGAGTTAAGAATACCAAAGTTCAACTCCGTAGCCTTGTAATTTTGAACCCGAAGGCAAGGGAACTTCGGTATCAAGCATTGGGACAAACTAACCTTCGTAGATGAGTTTTTGATGGAACTGCCTTACATTTGCGTTACATGGAGAGGGAAACAACGAAAACCTCCTACGGTTAGCCCGGTGGCAAGGGGATTTTAACCCACGATCCATCTAACACTTAGGATATTTTACGTCAACACTGTCTTCGGTGTGAGCTGAGAGCAAAATTCGTATCAACCAGCAACCGCTTGAGATTCGAAACTGTATCACATTATTTAGAGGCGCGCGCTCTATCCCCTGAGCCACTTATCTGGGGAAGTTTGGAGGAGATTCATATAATCACCTTTAACTTTTTTTTTGTTCTGGTAATGAAACAGGTTTTTTAATATCGCCTACCTTAATTATGATTTGGAAACTTTTTACAGAGTTTTTCTTTTTTCCTCATTTAAATAATTAATCTGCCACCCTAATACATAGACTTTTTCAATTTTATTTATGGCAATGATCTTAAAATCATGCATTAAGGGTGGTGATTACAGAACACTCTGTATGTTAAGTTTGAGAACTTATAAGTAAACCAATAATAAAATTTCTCTGATCGTATCGAAGCGTTTTCCTTGTGTATTAGAAATTTAAAAAAGTTTGAGTTTTCCTCCAAAAAAAATATACAAATGTATCAAAATGATTTTTTTTTTTGTTTATTTACACACCCCTGATAATTGCACCAATTACCACGATAATTACACCAACTACCATAAACCATCAATGTTAACGATTCAATTTAGGAACATTATAACTGCATTTTAAAGCAATAAAATACCGAAAACTCAAGTTACCACTTTTCCCTTTATGGCTAAATTGCATGATTTACACATATCTTAAATTAATAAAAATTTGAAACCAAATTTATTTCACTACGTATGAAGTTAATTTAAATGCCAAACATTATTTACTTAAATGTTTCAAAAGTTACTCTGAGAAAAAAAAAGGATGGTCTAAACTACTATAATATAATAAAACTTATCTTTCTTTCTGACTCTTTGGAAATACCAAGTAGCTTAGTAATTTTTACCGAAGCTCTTTGGTAATGATAATGGTAAAATTAGCAATAAAATACAGTTTAAAAACATGCGATAATATTTGGTAACTGTGGTAAAATTTGGTAATTTTATCATGATATCTTTAAACATGGCATGAAAACCATTTATATCTTCAGTTTTGCATATTTTACTATCTGTGTAGTAGTTAGAACTAAAATTTTGAAAACCAGAATTTCCGGTGAGCCGTTATCATATAAATAGAAAAATTACCGTATATTGGCTCTACTGAATATATTGAATGATTTTAACACTGTATATTTTCATTTTATTAACCAGAATAATGTTTTTTTCTTCTTCTTTCCTCTTACTAGAAATGTCATTATCATACAATCCTTAGTATATATATCTAATTTCATTTGAATAAATATTTAATTACATTAACTTTTGGATCAACAACTCGAATAGAATCGGACTTTAAATTCATATGATTACTAACAAGGTGCTTTTTTCCAATGTTTTTTTCCCGATTTTTTTCTTCCGGTGCTTTTTTTCCCGTTCACTATAGGCAGCAGAATAATTAAATAGCGCAAGTGTATTTCCATGTGGACGACACAATGGGTAAAAATATTTATGTTCTGAATAAAGTTTCATATTTTTGAATAGTCCGAAAAAGTGTTCTTTGATATAACATTGTAAATAACTCGGTACATTTTAGCTTATGTAGGTTAGTTTTAAAATAAAAATAAGTTTTAATTGTATGAATATCCAAAGATAACATACTAACAAACTTAAATAAAAGAAAAAAAAACTCAAAATAAGTGTTATTTCCATATTATATGCACGGAGGAAAAAAAAATTATGGTAAAATTACCGTACTGTATCGTAATGGCATTTCTGGTAAAAAAAAAANAAAAAAAAAAAAAAAAAAAAAAAAAAAAAAAAAAAAAAAAAAAAAGAACCATAAAAGGGGTAATAAAACTAAAATATACTATATTTAAACCATTCATAAGGCAATGTTTCCGTTCATACGATAATGATTTACTAGAAATTTTGGTTATTAAAATTATTGTTCGTTTTTACCACGCATTTAGTAAAAAATACGAAACTGTAAAGTAATTTTAATCTAATGGATTGATTGAATGGCATGGTCTAAGGTATCGTAATAAAACTAACAAATTTTACNAAAAAAAAAAAAAAAAAAAAAAAAAAAAAGAACCATAAAAGGGGTAATAAAGCTAAAATATACTATATTTAAACCATTCATATGGCAATGTTTCCGTTCATACGCTAATGGATTGATTGAATGGCATGGTCTAAGGTATCGTAATAAAACTAACAAATTTTACCACAATTACCAAATTATATTGCTAATTTCTGCAAAATAATTACCAAAACGCTTCGGTAAAAATTACCATGCTTCTTGGAGTTCCTATAGAGCCAGAAACACGGTAACTTTTATCATATTCTGGGAGATTTGACCGTTCTTTTTTCTTTTTTTTTCTCATTGCTATTATCAACATGGTGTTGTACCTTAAACTGGTTTTATTTCTATCAAAAAATGTTAAAATAAACGCAAGGAAAAGAAAGGAAAGAATTAAAAAATTGCATTTAGAAAAATTTCAATTTTGGAATTAGGCTCAGAGTAATAACAGTCGGAAAAAATTTCTTCGAAGAGTTTCAAAGACTACAGAAGGAAAGACTACAGAAGGATAGACTACAGAAGGAAAGACTACAGAAGAAAAGACTACAGAAGAAAAGACTACAGAAGGAAAGACTACAGAAGAAAAGACTACTGAAGGAAAGACTACAGAAGAAAAGACTCCAGAAGGAAAGACTACAGAAGGAAAGACTACAGAAGGAAAGACTGCAGAAGGAAAGACTACTGAAGGATAGACTATAGAAGGAAAGACTACAGAAGAAAAGACTACAGAAGGAAAGGCTACAGAAGTTTTGATTACAAAATATTTCAAAAGAATATTCAACTTAAAATTTTATAAAATGAATGAAAATGTAAATTTTGTTTTGCTTGACATCTCTTATTTGAATATAAACCAAAAATTAGATTACTACAATAAAAGCCAAAGTGAAAAGCAAAAGGGAATTGCGTCTTGCTTTTGCAAACTTTCTTTCGTAAAGGGAATCTTTTGAGATTTTCTTATTTTTCTTTGCTAAAGGGGAATTCAAAATTACCAAAAATATGCTTACGCAATATTTGAGCGGTTCCTTACTTGAATTATTACTTTCTGGTTAGAAAAAATAATGTAAAATTGGCTCAAATTACAACACTTCTCCCTACATTTAAAAATAGAAAAATATTTAGAAAGAGAAAAATTGAATATTGTACCTTTCCAAATGAGGCTGCATTTACAGGTTGCATATAGTTTTTCGCACAGAAATCCACATAATGCATATAAAGTGTATTTCTAGGTATGCATACTCCTTCTGCCGTTTCATAGTTTTCTTCCAACCTTCAAAATAATAGGTTATAAAAACAATCATTGAAAAGTTCATCAATATAACTTTTTCATTTTTCATACAACTAAATTTATATATAATATTGCCATGCCATTTACTTAATCTTACATATATTAGTGTAATTTATCATTAACTTCATTTAAAACAGAGAAGGAACATATAATAAAATTGACTTTCACAATATAGGTTATAAAACGATTATTTAAATAAATAATCAAAATTTTTTTCATTCTTCATATAACTAAAAATATATATTACTGCTTTGATATTTATTTTACTTTGCATATCTTAGTTTAGTTTATTATTTTAAATTTTATTTAAAAGAGAAGGAATACATAATAAAATAAATTTAGCAAGCAACCCTTGTAATAAAAAAGGGAAATTCTTTTAAGTGAAAATTATTATTCATACCCACTCCTGCTGTTTCATTATTTTCTTCTGACTTTCAAAATATAGGTTATAAAGCTAATATTTAAATAAATAATTTTAAAAAAAAGCTTAACTCTTCATACAACTAAAAATATATATTATTGTTTCGATGTTTATTTTACTTTGCATATCTTAGTTTAGTTTATTATTTTAAATTTTATTATTGAAAGAGAAGGGATATATAGTAAAATTAATTTAGCAAGAAATCCCTGTTATTATAAAAAAATAGGGAAATTAATTTGACTCAATATATAATTTAAATTAATTATTATTAAGTGAAAATGGTTATTTATAGACACTTCTTCTATCGTTTCATCGTTTACGTCCAGCCTTCAAATTACAGGTTATAAAAACAATAATTGAAAAATTCATTTATATGACTTTTTTCATTCTTCATACAACTAAAAATACATATTGTACAAATGCATATACACAAAATACAAATGTATATATTATAACTTAGCTATTTATGTTGCGTTTCATATACAGGAGTTGGACAAAATAATGAAAACAGTTCTATAATAAGACATTTTTTATCATATTTTTCAAGAAGTATTTGAATAATTTATAACTTCAGCAGTATTTAGATCAAGCGATCTAGTTTATCATTGACTTCATTTAAAACAGATAAGGAGCATATAATGCAATAAATTTAGCAAGAAAACATGGGAAAAATTACAGAACAATGAAAAAAGGGGAAGAAAAGAAAAATAATAATAAAAATAACAAAAAACCGGAAGAAAAAAAAATCCGAAAAATCCGGAAAATAAAAGATGTAATCTTTTCATCAGCTCAGACGATTATATCCGCAATTTTTGCGGATATAATCGTGTGAGCTGATGCTAGTATATATACATACTATATATATATATATATATATATGTTTTGTTATTTAAATTTTCCAAATATTTTATTATTGAAATGCATATTTAATAGATGGCAGCACTAAAATATAATTAACTTCATATTTTTACCAAATATTTATATTTTTAACAATTATTTTATTCGATATCAGCTATAAGCAAATTTAAATCATATANTATATATGTGTGTGTGTGTGTATTAAAAATTATTTTTTTCATCTCGATGCAATAAATAAAGCTCATTCAAATTCTATCTAATTTTTTCCCTTAATGATTAACCTTTTAACCCCTCAACTCCCCCATCTCACTAAAATCCTATCAATTCCGTCCAACTCAACTCTATAAGGGGAGCGATCTTTATACTAACCGCTTTTATATTACTTTTCGAATTACAAACTAATTGATTTGTCGTTTCCCATCACTTTTCATCAACTAAGCTGTCACGTCGTTCGCTTTTATCGTACATACGCCATAGAACTGCGGAGATTTTCGAATTTGGAATGTACTGCGCCGTTTTTAACCGGAGCGGCACGTTTTAAGCACGTGACTTGTCACGTGAATCCTCTTAACCCGGTCATGTAATATGAAATATTTGTCACATAAATAAGGGATTTTCACCACTTTGTACTGCCTCTTGATGTTAGGGGGAGGTTCAGATTGATGAAAAATTCTTCTCTACATTACGTGATTTGGTATGTTACAGTAATTAATTTTAAAGGTGATTTGATTAAAATTAAAGATCGAAAAAATGTGTTAAGCTATATATTTTTAAATTTAAGGAATTATTCTCTAGAAAAATTAAAAATTTAGTTAAGAAATTTGGAGACTAGTTTGTTTTGAACAAAAATGCGCGTTGAGAAAATTGTCATAGCTTGAAATGCGCATTTAAAAATAACATATGAATTTGTGGAATTATTTTCTAGAAGGCGTCAAGGAAAATCAAAAATCTATTTAAAAAGTATATCATCGGAGACTAGCTTGTTTAAGACAAAAATGAGAAAATCGACATAGATTGAAAAGCACATTTAAAAATAAGATGCAATCAGAAGTTGACAATCTATGCAATTTCTGCATATTTGGTAATTTTCTTTTTTCTTCAGAGGACATAATTTTTTTGTTGTCTTTTTTCTCTTTTAAGATTTACCCCCTTTTTTATAAATATTTTTTTAATGAATTTTTAATAACATTTGTCATTTTACACGCATTTTGCTTATGAACTAGTGTTTCCATATAACTTAGCATAAAATTTACAATAAATTTTGTTAATTTATATAGCAAATATTGATGTTGAACATAGTTCTTCAAGATGAAAAAAAAAATTCTTCAGAACAATAGAAAATTCTTCAATTTGAAGAATAATAAAAAAGTATTTTTGATAATACAGTTATGTTGTTCTTGAAAGTTGAAACTAAAACTTATAAATTCCTACAATTATCTTTATCGGGCATTTTTTTCAAATTACATAATTACAAATTACATAAGGTAAATTACATATTTATATGAACCTTTTAACGCAAAATTTTTAATAATCATATACTTCATACTTTTTCATTATTTTGTACTAATTTAGGTCAAAATAAGCGAGAAATATTGTATTTAGCATTTTAGTAATTTCTGGTTATGAAATAGAGCTCCGGTCAGCAATGTCCCTTTTTGCGTTAAATGTAAAATTTTCCAAACAAGGCTCACTTCCAAATTATGTTTCAAATTTGCAGTTATTTAGATCTAAGAGAAACTGTAATTCATCGTTGAAATTTCTTTCATTTACAAAATCAAATATCTATAAATTTTTGAATATGAATGAAATAAAAAATTTCAAACTCCTCTTTTTGAATTTTATAATGAATTTTATAATCTTTTTGAATATGTTAGAACAAATATAGTTAGTTCCGAGAATCCAACAGATTTTCTTGGTAACAAATAGACTGTATTTTATGATTAAAAAATACCAAAATATATTTTTGCTTGTAATTAGCGTATATAAAAGCATACATATCAGGGACACTGGTATCTCATTTTTTTTTACCCGAGAATTAATATTGCTTTATATCTTACTGCATGTATAAATAAAAATTACGATCTAGAATTTTCCTTTTTATCAAAAGAAGCTAATATAAAACATACTTCCGAAAATTTTTAAAGGCATTAATTTTTAATTTAACGTGATTTTTTTCTTGCATTTTTAATGGAGCTTTTTTAAAAAGAATTTTAATGGCATCAACATCTGGATCTAAGACCTCTTGATCCAGATTCCTTGATAAATCTGGATAAATAAGACTTTTATCTAGGTTTATCCAGAATATATCTGGTATCTGCTATCTAACACCTATATTTCTCAGATATAAATTCTTTACTTGATATTAAACATTTGAAATAATAAATACATAATATATTGAGAATAACCATTGCTGTCTCAAAATGTTTATTCTATTAATAAATTTTAATTCGAAAAAACACGCAATCACTTCTCCAATTTACAATGAAATTTTAATGAATACAAAATTTGTATAACAAATCCCTTATTTTTTTTTTAAATATTATGAACAAATAACGATTGTATTTACTTAAACCATAATTTCTATCTCTACCGAAACTTTATTTCTAGCATCTAAACTTTCTATATCATCTTTCTTTACGAAGAAAAAAGCCAAATATTTTAGTTCTCAATAAACATTGTTACACACGTTCACTCTGCGGGTGTGTTAATAAATTAGATTAGAGAATTCTTGGCTACCAAAAATATGTCATGGAATGTAATATATTCCATCTTTATGATATATTTTATTTCAGTTTTGTGTGGCTTATGACTTAATACATTTAAGTACACCTAATATATTTACTGAATGATAAATATTTATATTTAGTTAAAATATGTAGACTATATTTCGCAATAAATTGTTTTCGCGTGTATAAATAACAGGTGGTTTTTATCTGCGAGTTATTAATAGTAAAAAAACAGAAGTTATAAATAGTTTAACTCCTTTCAGTTTTTAAATTTGTTGTAACTAGTATATATTGTTAAATGTATTTAACGTAACATTTAATCAATAATATTGAACTTGAAAGTTAATTTACCAAGAATGATAAAAAGTAATTGGTTGATTAAGAGGCAAATTCTAAAATTGTGCAATGTTTTGAATTTTATGTAACGAATTATTAGAATCAAGAGTAAAATTTTACAAATTTGCGCAATAGGAATTCTTAAAAATTGATTTGTCTTAGATTTTATGCAGCAGAAATAACTGAATAAAATTAGTTAAAAATAATTTCATATTTGTCTAAAGATTATTTTTAAGTAAAGTGAAAAAAAAAATTTAATATTTTAAAACATGAAAGAACTTTACGTTTTAAAAGCTTTTTTTTTTTTTTTTTTAAGTTCTTTTCATAGCCTGTGCTTATTTTCGAATCGTATTGAGTGTTTTCGTTAACAAAAAGATAATTCTCGCACCTTCATTTCTTTTTTTTTTACTAGTTCCTTACTTTCAATATAGTATTTAAAAAAATATGTACACAAAGAGTTTTTAAATTTTTTTTTAGTTTAGCATTAGTTTAAAGTAATACAATTCTGCATCAAAATACAGTTCTTTTTTATTTAAACTTATTTATTTTAATATATATATATATATTTTTCTGCACAAATGGAACAAAAATTATTCATTGACAATTTGTTTTAAAATAGTCATTAAACTTTGTCCCCCCCCCCTCCCTGGAAAAATGCTTCTCGAAGTTTAAATTTCTACATGATGGAGGTAAGACGGGTTCAGGATAAAGTTTTCATATCATAAGTTTGCTATCACTTAATTTAGACTTACTTGTGAATTTAATAAGCCTAATTCTTACTTATGAATTGAATTTAGGCAAACTTATGAATCCTTGTGTAGGTTAATGTAGTTATTATTTTCTATACCACGCATATTTTTAGACGACAGACATTACAATTGTAAAATGTCCAAAAAATAAATAAATAAAAGTTATTGTCTTAACGGAAATCAATCATCTCATTGAATCCAAGAGTTTCTACGGTAGCTACTTAATTTTTTAATGCAGTATCCCCTTAATATAAGTCAGTAAAATGTTTAAGACTACTCGGAGAAAAAAATGTTGGTATAATTAGCTTATTGCATGGTGATGACATTTCTGATTAAAAAAATACATTTATAGTTCATAAAACCAAAATATGCGTACCATTTAAACCATTCGTTGGATCTTTTGTGTTCACTTTTTTAGGTATATAACAGTCACAGTGAAATTATTTTTTTTCTTTAAACAAATTCAATTGAAATTTCTGTTTTCAGTTTTTCTTTATTTGTTTTTAGGGTTTTCGTTTCTATCATTTTGAAAAAGAAAATTTTAAAATAACAAATATAACCTTCGGTGTAAAAAAATGAACAACTGCCAGAGACTTTTCTGCAATATTTATACTTGAAGTACACTAAGAAAAAAAAGTATGGCAAAAACTGCAAAAATATGGTAAAATTTACAGTATTTCTGACTTTATGGTAACTTTTAATCAAAAGCGCTTTAGTAATGATTTTGGTAATGTTAACGAAAAAATATTTTTTTATATTGTCTAATGAAATTTGGTAATAGCAGTGAATTTTGGTAATTTTATCATAAACCCTAAGAGCTTGGCAAAACAAAAATCCTTTATTTGACTAAATTTACTTTTCAGTTTTGTATTTTTAACTAAATGTGTGGTTTAAAACCACACGTGCATGCTAATAAGGCATTATAATTTTGAAAGGATATAATTTTGGCAACATAATTTTGAAAACTACAATTTCCGGTAAGCCGTACCATGTGAAGAAAAAATTACCAACTGAATGGTTTAAACTTCGTATATTTTGGTTTTACTAATCAGAGCTGTGTTTCTTTCTTTTTTTTTTCTTACTAGAAATGTCATTACTATATAGTATGGTAATTTACCAGAATCTATTTCTCCGTGCAACTGCAGAAGAATTCCCCAAAGTATATAGTATATATTCTAAATTNAGACTTAACATTGATCCAACCAAATATTCTCGTTTCCCTCGGTAAATCCGAGTTCTCGTTAAATCCGAGCTCGTTATAAACGAGTTCGACTGTATATAGTATATAGTGAAGGTCATTATTCGCGAGTTTTTACATTTAATATCAGCTTAATAATAGACTACAACAAATCTCATCTCCCTCCCAATATAAATGAAGAGTAAAAAAATGAATAAATTTCTTACCAGACTAGAGTAGCAGGCGTTGAGTGTGGTCGGAGAAGGGTGTGGCCGTTTTTTGAATTACCTCCTGTAATGGAACATCATTTTATATTATTATTTATTTTTTACTTTACTTGAAATTTTAGAAGGAAAGATTTAACCTGGGAATAGTAATGTGGATAATTTTGACTTACATTAGCAGCTTTATTTGGATAAGTAGATAAACAAATAACGTTAGTATTCCCATGTTATTAAACCAGCTAAAACTATACTAACCTCCGAGTATATCTCTAGAATTTTCTGTCCACACTGAATCTGAAACAATAATTTTTAATCAATATTCTATAGATATATATAATATGTCGTCTCTAATATTATCTATTATACCAAAAGATATAAGATTAAAATATTTCTATTAAAATTACCATATTTAAACTACTGTATAATTAGTACACTCCTACACAGGGTATTTCGTAATCAAAACTCTTAATATGTATTTTTAAAATCCGTGTACAAAATGGAATTCACAATGAACATGGAAATAAAGTGTTCTCGAATCCTGATGAATAACTTTGTAAAGAAAGCGAGATAAAAAATATCAAAACCGGCTTTATCTATAGATAAAATTTGAAAAAATGCTTTAATAATTACTTCTAACCCTTTTTTAACTTCCTCTGTCAATAAAATGTGCTTTATTAGTTGTTTTTTTTTAATTCACTTTATTCGCTTATAGTTCTTCAGATTTCGGCAACGCTTTTTTTTCTCTCGCTTAAATATTCATTCGCGACCTGTGCTTAGATATTTTACTCTAGTTTTAGGAAGGATTATAAGAGTTTATATTAAGAGTAGTCATTATAGAATCCCTTGGATAAGAAAGTTCTAAGTGGAATAGTTTTTTAAGTGAAATCTTGAAAGCACTAAGGAAATGTCATGGTTGGCTGACAGTATCCAGCAATTATTTATTGAATAAAGTAAGTTTTTGCTTAAGTAAAAGAGGTTTTCAAATTTTTTTTGTTAGTTTTTTAATACTAATACATATTTAAAAACTATTTTTTAAATGCTCTGAAATATCATTTATGATATTCCACGAATTCGTACACGTTAGTATATCATAAATAATTTTTAAAAAAACAATATGAAATGTGGAATATGGTCTGGTAAATAATATTTTTTCAATTCAATAACCTATCATAATCATTTTAATTTTTGATAAAGGTTATTTTAAATTTATGTAATACTAATTTATTATTTAACTGAAATTATAATTGTAAGAACACTGCTTTTCATTTTAACTAAGTGTATGAGCATAAAGTATTTAATTTTATTAGACTTCTTCTATTTATCATTGCGATCCTAGCTTTTATTAGGTTTTTATTTTATTAATTTTTTTAATAGTAAGTATTTGCTTATTTTACAAATATTTTCATACACACATTTATGGCTTCGAAAATAAAAATCTAAAATTTAATCACTGATTTTTAAAGTTTTAACGTGTTTAAAAAATTCTACATAGTGCAAACTTAAACTAATGTAATAAGCTGACTAATGTATTAATAATGGTAACTAATGTATTAAGCGTATTTAATCTATTTATTTTTATTCGATTACTTATATCTATTATTATCATCCCAGCTTTTTTTAAAAAAGTACTAAATAATTACATAAAAAAAACATTAAAAAAACCACAATCACTGATTTCAAATGCTCTTAAAGTGTTTACAAAATTATATTTGTCGCAGACTTAAAATTAATGTATTGAATGTATTTGAAATATTTATTTTTATTGGATTACTTATAACCATTATTATTATCCCTGTATTTATTAGTTTTTTTTAAATTGTACATATTTAATTATTTTACAAATATTTACCTACACATTAATAACATCACTGTTTAAAAAAAATTTGAAAGTTAATTAGTGATTTTTAAAGATTTTTTAAAGCATTTACAAAATTCTACTTGGCACAAACAAATTGTCCAAAATCAAGAGTTTCAGGTAATTGGGGCTACCAAGCACTGCATTTTAAAAGGAAAAATAGATCCATCTACAATGTTTCGGAGTTATCAACTTTTCCATTTTATCTGTAGAGTATTTCGCAATGCTTTTTTCTCATATGTACACTTTTAAATTTGTATATTTTTCATACATAAAATTTTTCTCATATGTATGACATTTTTAAAAATTTCTGTAGTTGTATAGTGGAAATTGTTTATTTTCTGCACTGTGTTAAGTTTTCACGAATCCAAATATGAAGATTTAAAATTATTAAACTTTTTTGCTTTGCCAAAATATTTTTTATTAATAAGTTAACTTGAAATTTTTAACAGAGTACTAAAATGTCAATAAATAATTAAATACTTAATTTTAAGAAATTATTTTAAATTGTAAAACAGTTAAGGATTTGATAGTAAATAATAATATAAAATATATAAATATAATAATCATAGTAATATAATTATAAATGTTATTATATTTTCATCATACATTTTTTTTATATTAGCATATTTTTATCATATTTTCATCATATATTTTTTTCATGTTATCATATTTTTACCCAATTAGAGTAGAAAACAGCATCGGTTTCTTTCTTTCTTATTTTTTTCTGATGTTCTTAGTAATATAAAAATAAAATTGTTAAATTTAGTTTTAATGATTGATTTTCTTTTAAAGGTAAAAAGCAGAAATCTAGAGAAAAAAATTCATCAGAAAAAATTCATTGTAATACTGACTTTTTTATCATATATTTATGACATTTTTACCCAATTAGAGAAAAAAATTTGCGCAGGTTTCTATGTTTCTCATATTTTTTTCTGATGCTCTTATTAATATAAAAAATAAAATTGATTAATTTTGTTTTAATAATTGAATTTCTTGTTAAGGTAAGAAGCAAAAATTGTTCAGAAAAATTCATTGAAGTACTGACTTTTTTATCATATTTTTCTGATGTCCTTAGTAACATAAAAAATAACATTGTTAAATTTGGTTTTAATTGATTGATTTTCTTTTAAAGGTAAGAAGCAAGAAGTATAGAGAAAAAAATCATCATAAAAAATTCATTGAAATACTGATTTTCTTACCATATTTTTATCATATTTTACTCAATTCGAGGAAAAAAAAACGGCACTTGTTTCTAGGTTTCTCATTTCTTTTTCTGATAATCTAAGTTATATTAAAAATAAAATTGATAAATTTAGTTTTAATAATGGATTTTCTTTTTAAGAAGCAGAAAGTATTGAGAAAAAAAATCCATTGACTTATTATCATATTTTTACCCAATTACAGTAGACAATACGCTGCAAAAAATTTCAGAAACTAATTTCGACTTGACAAAAATGTTTCCGAAAATCTCAGTGCATTTCATTTAATATCATATTTCCGAACAATTGAGAAGCATTTTTTTTTTAATTTTCAAAAGTAGGAAACTGAATAGCATCGACGCGGATTCAGTTTAAGAGTGTGGCGTAGCTACCACTACAACTATTAAATTCCAATTCACTAGTATATGAGACATGTTAACTCTATTCTATCTTAAAGTGTTTTTTGATAGATGACGGTAGACATTTTTAGTAGCCTAGCCTCACAAGAGGTTTCCGAAGTATTAAAAAACGCCTACAGGAAAAGCTTCAAAATATTAAAAAAATCCGAAATTGAAAGAAATGATTTCAAATATTTCTGAAGTACTGCGAAACGCTTCTGAAATATTAAGAAATGTTTTTGAAAATTACATGCACCATAACATCCCCATATATTCAGAAACGTTTCGGGATCTTTTTTATAGTGCAGCACCGTTTCTATCTTTCTCAATTTTTTTGTTGATGTTCTCAAAAATATAAAAAATATAATAGTTAAATTTAGTTGTAATGATTAATTTTCTTTCAAAGGTAATAAGCATTCATTAAAAAATTCATTTTGAAAAAATTCATTAAAAAAAATTCATTGAAATACTGACTTTTATTTATCATATTTTTATCATATTTTTACCCAATTAGCAAATAACTAAAATAAATAAATAAATCAGTACTGACTTTATGTTTCTCTGATGCTTTTAGTAATATAAAAAAATAAAATTGTTAAATTTAGTTTTAATGATTGATTTTCTTTTAAAGGCAAGAAGCTGAAAGTGTTCAGAAAAAAAAAAAATCTTGAAATTCTAACTTTTTGTCAATCATATTTTTTTTCTCTTTAGATAATTTTACAAAAATGGAAATTAAAAATATTTTGGAAAAATTTTGTTTGTTTTAAATTAGAGATCGATTAAAAAACGGCAAAACTAAATAAAATTCGTAAAACGTAGGAAATTTTAAAATTCACGCGAAACAAAAAAAATTACATGTTTCGATTTATCATTTACAATAGTAATCATAGAAGTTAACAAAACAACTAATCAACTATCAAATTCTCATTCATATTTATCGTTACACTCTTTCAAAAAGTTTCAAAACAAACCCTTATAAATAACAAAACACGCTACAAAATGCTTAAAAAAAACAAATTGATTACTTTTATCTTTTGCATAGTAACAGCTACTTTAGAAAACTTTATTATTCTTTTTTATTAAAAATGAGCTAAATTTCATTATTAAAAAGTTTATAGTTAATTAGATTAAAGCGAAATATGATTATAATAAATTCACAAAAATCTTTTACGTTAAAAGAAATTTATTTCAAAAAACATATTTTAAAAGAATTCTCATTTGTTTTCTTACCATTTTATTTTCATTTTTTCGTTTGAAAATTGGAAATTTTTCGCTCATGCAGTTTCGTTAATAAAAAGTCTAAATCCCATTTAAATCAGATTTAATACGTTTCTATGCACATGAGAATTTTATTTAACTTTCTTTTTCAGTTCAGTTAATTTTCAAAAAATTAACTGATTAGAAAGGATTTAACATAAAACAATATCTTTCTTCAAAATAACTCGTTACAATATTTCTTAAAAGAGGAATATTTTTTACTTATTTAGGAGATAATTTTGATATTTTGAGAAGTAGAACTTAAACTAATAAAAAAATGCTAGAAATAAAAAAGCTAATACATTGTAACTATAAAAAATATAGGATTAAATTTCGCTATAAAGTAACGGCACTTCGCGGGCATCATCAATAAAACCTGTTTTACAGTAAAATATATTTTTACCCTAAATTGTACCGTATTGAAATATTTTACAGTAATGTTTATTTAATTAGAGTGATTCGGTGATTTCACGGGAATTATTATTGTTAAAATTTTTTCTTTCTTAACATGTTCCGGTCAACATGGATTTTACGGTGAAAAATATCGGTATCTGAAGTACCGATACTTTTTACAGTAATTTG